TGAAAAGTGTCTGACGTTATTAACTCGAAATTTGGTTAAATGCCTCGCGACAATTTTCACTAGCGGGAGGGTTCTAGAAAAAGTCAATTGTGTAACATTCTAGTGATAAGGAAGTTTCCTAACACTGTTTTTTTTTGTCTTCTCGCAACTTATCGTCTTTTACAAATTTGAAAGTAAAAAACATTTTTGCAAAATTTTAGAATATGTACTCTTTCCCGAGCTCTTTCCACTTCGGCTATTGAGCTATAGGGATGTCTTTAATAGCAATCGAATTTTGGGTACTATTTGATAGCGAGACAACGTAACAGTAATAACAATAATGAGCGACAATATAGGTCAAGAAAGGCTAAACGACTTAGTTGCGGAGATGATTGAGTTTATTAAATATGAAACCTATTCCGTTCTACCTGTAAATCGTCAATACGGACCTATCGTAAAATTCCATCAATTAATCTTTAAACTGACTTTCGGGTCCACGAAATTGTAAGGACGAAAAACAATCCTTCATTTTTGTTATAATTATACGCATGTTTGCCCGCTCACGTGTCTTTCAAACAAAATATTTTCAAAAAACATCGCGCAATGACGCATAGAAAGCAATTCACGTTGTCGTTATCGGTGCCAAAGGGCGTAACCTCTCAACCTGATGATATACCAATTGAACGATTCCTATAATTGATTGAGCGATAAAATTCTACCTACACGTTCGACTTCTGACTTCCTCAAGAACAATGTCTAACAATTATTGCTATTTAAATGGTACAAAAAATACGATCTGCAGGATGACAATTTTACTATTTTGGGGATAAATTGTTTTAATTAATATATGGTGCAAAATTCCAGATTGTTATTTAATTTTAGCAATTATACATGGTATTTGTTTGGTCAGCACCTCCTCCTACTTGTAAACCACTTCGGAAATGTAGTGCACGGAAGGTTAAATAAGTATCAGAAATCAATAAACATAGGGTATCTAACATTGTTTATACAGGGTGTCCCATTAGTGCGATATGGGACAATATCTCTTGACAGGGCGGTGCTACAAAAAAAGTAAGTTTTTGAATGCATAAATCTTTAACAAAAAATATGCAAAATTCTTTGCACAATTCATTGTAATAAAATATAACACTGCACTTCAAATAACACCCTATACATACAGAAATATTTTTGCGTTATATATATTGGCCCAGTAAACAATTTTGTGCTCGCGCCACACTGTCTAAAGTGGTGCACCCTAAGACCCAGCTGTAAAATTAAGAGAAAAAAATAAATCACATTTTTTTTAATTTCAATTTTATAAAATTAATTGTTTGAAATTTCATTATGTACTGTCCTTTTTGGTCCCCTTTTAATCCCTCCATTACCCCTCCAGTATTTATTGTAAAAATTTAGTAAAATTTCAAAGATTCTAAAACACTCTTGGAGAGTCTACTTCTCCCTGTCCTTTTCACCTTCTTCAATCCCTTAGCATGTGTTCTATATCCTCTCCTTCCTCTCAACAGATTCTACATTTTCTTTCTTCTTCTTGTCTCCATTTCTCCTTCGCTCTCTCCCCATTTCCACATCTGCAGAATCTCGCCATTATTTTAATGTTTTCTTTCCCTCCCATACAAAATTTAGTAACAACTCCCTTATTAGATCCTTTTAACTATACTAATGCACTCTCTATCTGCTCACTCTGTTGTCTGTTGTATTTGTATTCCTCTCCTCCTTTCAACCTCAACCCATCCGTATCCATTTCTTTCATATGTTTTTCTTTATTCCTCTTAAATTCCTTTTGCGTTCATCCCCGTTGTCAATCATTCTTTTACCAATTCGATTTCTCTTTCACTCCTCTCCTCGCACCTTACCGCCACGCGTCCTGACGCTATCCTTATCTTCTCGACTTTGGTTTCCTCCTCTGGTGTCTCTCCGTTTAGCCCTGATACCCTTCTAGTTCATCATTTTTTTCATCTGTTCTACCTCTGTTGCTATTACCTCTGCATCGTGTCGTCCGTGTATGCAGGGAACGATACCTCCCTTCTTCCCACTACGATCCCCCCAACTTAGTCATGTCTTAATACTTTTTCCATGACTGTTATGTAGAGATTAAATAAGATTAGCCCTTTGAATATAAATTTAGGCTAAGTGGACATCCCTGTCTTAGTCCCGAGCTTAGTCCTTTACATGTCCAAAACACTTCAAACTCCTTCCCTTCTATTCTTACTCTTAATCTTGTCTCTTCATATAGTTCCTTGATTCCGCCCTTTAGCTTTTTATCTATTTTTCCATCTTATATCATCTTCGATACTCTTCACCTTTCCACTCTGTCAAACGCTGCCTATTCCTTTCAATATTTTCTTTCAGTGTTTTTCCATTTTTTTAACATTAACATTAATTTATCTATAATCGTATTCTAATTAGAGGTCTCAACGAAAGGAACCGTTCTACCAACTACTGCCCTTCTTTCTGTCCTCTTATCAAAGTACGGGTTGGAGGGGGGGGGGGGGAGTGGAACTACTTATATCCTTCATAGTACTCTAATGAAAGGTCTCAACGAAAGGAATTAATTTCTACCAACCATAGCCCTCCTCCTCGACCTCTTATCGTGATCGGGTATATTCCCGCGATTGAGACGTATCCAACAAAAGTTTTTCGTTTAAAAAAAATGCGCTTTATCTGCACAAGAGTTGTGCACAATTTATTATTTTTGAATGTCTAAGTTTATTAGATACTATAAATTACATATTTTTTAATTGCCAATTTATCGCCACAAACAACAGATAATCTTATTTCCATTCTTCTCAGACTGTTTAAGTCGATTATTTCCAGTATAGTGCAGTCTTCAAACTTTTATATTTGGAAAACACTGTATTTCTCAAAAAGATTTGTTCCGTCTTTACTTATACATTCTCTCCATAACATAATCATTACAAGTGTAAAAATCAAAGCGGCAAATTTGTTTTTTTTTTAATTTTGAACATGCCAGTAAGCTACTTGTAGCTGTGAATGCGGAAAAAGAACAGATACAAACTCTACGAACCTAAAGACTCTTAGAAACTTTTAAGAACTCTTAAACTTTCCTCAGCGTTCCTCAAAATAGCTTTTAAACACTATAAAACACTCTCAAAGGTTCCTAGAAACTATGAACGTTTCTGAAGGCACTGAAATCATTGGGACTTCTGGAAGTCCTTAGAATGTTAGCAACTGTTATTAAAATGATATTCACCAACGACGACATGATCCACGTGGTCGATCAACGAGTATTTACTTACTTAGTATACTAATAGAAAAAGTAACAAAGAAAAACAGAATCTCATCCCACGTACGTAAAGTTCTTGTGGTCTAAAACCGAATATCTCACGCTGAGTGCTCGATAAAAAAAACTATTTGGGACCGCGCACTGGACGATCTGGTGACCCAACACCGAATCTTCTAATTCTCTTCCCCTGGACTAATCCCTACTTCTCGTAAGTGACACGCCTCAAAACCGGGGCGCGTGAGTTAACGCGGCCATCTTTAATCATGAACAAATCAAATTTGTTCAGTCCCACGAACCATTCAAAAGCCAGCAATCAAACTCATGACCGTTTAATATTTCCCATTCAGCGCTTTCCATGGACCCACATGATAATTACGCATTATGCTGACCTAGCTGTTTTGTTGGGCACGTAAAACCCACAGGATTGTATTATCGCCTGTTAACGCCCGTCGGACTGGCGCCGGTAACTTTCTCAAACTGTCAACACTCATGACACACACGAAAACCAGTAACCTGTAAAATTATAAATCGCCATTTTAGGCGAAACTCTGTATACTTACCCTCTGATGCTTATTTTACAAAATGAAAAATCGAAAAATGCTAGAGAGCTCCCGTTACAATTTTTTTCGTCCATCCTACATATTAACACATTAAATAAATCAAAAACGCAAACTTTCTGAGACGTCTGAGTACTGAGAACGGACGGCCATCACAAGAGTGGAAGCGGATGGTGATATTACAGTGAAGAAGTAGTTCAAGTAAAATTGTTGGTGTAATCATTCATTTCGGAAATCACGTTACGTCAGCAACAGAAATTTTAAAAGTACAGCCCAGAGTTCTTGTTAGAGAATATGCAATTGATAATATATTAAAATGTGATACGATTTGGTCGGGTGCTTTAAAGTTATCTGTAGCGAGGAAAACCAAAGAGAATTTTTATAATTCGGGTTCAAAAGGTGCACTTAGATTTAAACCTTTCGATTACTATTTAAATTCTCTAAACCCAACTTCAAGTTTTCGCTAGAAGGTACACTTAAAAAATTATTTACTTTATGGTATGCCGTTTTTGATTTTCGTCGAATACAAATTCCTAGATCTTGTATAATGAATTGCACCTTTTATTGGCAGTTCAAATTACGGTCATTCAAAATTTGCGACTACAAGTGCAGAACCATGAAAAATATTATAATTACGAATTACATAAAATTCAATAAATCCATTCTTCTAGAGTGACTGGGGTTACAGAATTTAATTTCGCGCTTTTAAAACTTCCACTATTATTCGATTTTGCCGTAATAATTTCTAGTGCGCAAATAATACTTTGTACATAAGGGTCACGAAAACTTTCATTCACGCATTTAAAACTTCCACTATTGTTCGACTTTACCGTAATAGTTTCTTAGTCGCAAATTATCTCTTGGAAATACTGGTCTAATTCACGCATTTATTTTACACGTACGTTACTATCGTATTTCTGGTGTTCATTTTCTGATATTTTTCTATTTCTAATGAATTGCGACCATTCACAACATTCTAAACAATTGAAATGTACATAAAATTTAAAATCTGGTGAGTCCCAATGTAGTAGATCACACTCAACACAATGTTATACAGCAATACATTCCAGTCCTCTTTACTCCAACATTCGCTTGAAGCACATTATTCGGAATTCGATGGTGTCTCTTGATAGCTAGACAATCCTTATATCTACATATTATTTATGTAGTAGGTATATCCTGTTAACTTATTGTCGTTTCAGATCGCTCTCGCCTTCTTCATTCATGGGATTACCGCAAGTGAAATTTTTCAGTTTGTCTGACAATAACATCGGAGTCGTCCCAGAAGCGATACTAGAAACACTCCCGCACATCAGCTCGTTGAATCTGGGAAGATGCGGGATTCAATACATAACGGATAGAAACTTTAAAGTAGGTAGTTACCATTACAATTGTTACAATCACATTGTACTGGCTGATTTTCAGAGTTTACCCAATTTAGATACACTAATGTTGGGCGGTAATCAAATATCACAAATGGATTCGAACTCCTTACCTAAGAACGTAATCCATCTGCATTTAGGAAGAAACAAGATAAAGGATCTGAACGGTACATTAACGAATTTGACAAACCTAGAGTGGTTCTTCATCAACTGCAATGAATTAACGACACTTGAAGATCAACTGCCTTTGGTGGCGCCCAACGTTATATTAGTACATGCTGGTCATAATAAGATTGAGAAATTACCGCAACATCTCAAAACCTACACCGGACTATTGTCGCTGTTCGTTAACAATAACAGACTAACATCTTTGGATGGGGTGATCTCTAGAATGAAAAAGCTGGAGAGGGCGCAATTTGAGTACAACAGAATTAGTACAGTAAGTAAAGCATACCATTATATTAGCAATAAAAGACTTTATTTACAGTTAACCAAAGAGGATTTCCTAGAGACGGAATCATTGGATTGTCTCTGCCTGGGAAACAATCTTGTAACGTCACTAAACAACTCGCTGTCACCACTGAAAGGCATAACCATACTCAATTTGACTCATAATTTGTTAACAGACTTTTCTCTACAAGAAATTAAGGGGTTGATGAAGCTGCGCATAGTCGATTTATCTCACAACAAAATCAGCACAATTTCCGGCCCGACAGCAGTAAGTTGAGGCGATCTTCTATGACCGACTCTACTCGCAATTTTCAGAATTTAATTGAATGGGAGACGAAAATAACCGTACTGTTGTTGAATAACAATGAGCTGACCACACTGAACGGTGCGCTTTCCGGATTGCCCAGTCTGCTGACCATCAATTTGAGCCATAACAAAATTACGTCGATCTCACCTGACGATTTAGTTGGTCTCGATCGTTTAGAGGTTTTGAACATTTCGCACAATAATCTTACGACACTTGAGGAAACTGGAAAGGTAGGAAAGTTTAGATATAGGAGGGCTGCCTATATTGGACCAGTTTGGACGTTTTATTTTTCGGTCTATATTTGAATCTATAGCATACTTGCAATTTGTATTTTCTTTTTCTTTACTCAGGCCACGTTGCATGTACAAAATTAGAAATTCCAAACCCCTTTTGTTAGTTACCTACGTCATGCAACTGCAGGAATCGGTTTATTCCTGAATACAAGAAGATTATGATATATTATACAGTAATACTAATGGCGATATCCCTTGGTCGATTAAACTCGAAGTACTGACTGATCAAAATAATTGATCCAAGTCTTACAAAGAAAAATCGATGCAAATTCCTAGGGGCCGTATAATGAATGACTACATTGACTGGCAGTTCAAGTTACGGTCACGCTAATTTAGTGGATCCAAATGGATGACAAATATCATTATTTGCGTAAAACCAACCGCTTCAGACATGCGAATAATTACAACATAAAAATTATGAAAGTCCATTTAGTTTGAAGAATTAAGATGACAGAATTTCATTTCTATGCTGTTGTCCGTATTCCCAACAATAACCTCTATTTCACAATTCAACTTTATCTTAACTTTGATGCGTTTAAAATTGCCGCTATTATTCGTATTTACCGTAATAGTTTCAAAGTCACCTCATTTGTAAATGAGGGTCACCAAAAAAACCTTAATTCGCACCTTTAAACTTTACGCGTTTGTTTTACACGTACTTAACCTCGCTACCGCAGGCGCACTAAATTTCTCCGAAAGTAATACACGCTCTCGATTATTAAAGTGTCACCACAAATAATTAAGCCACCTTCCGCTAACTTACAGATAGTCAACTGAACCCTGTCTCACTTCTAGGCGCGAATCCTCTTTTTCACAACTAAAACACACCCTACGGTAATTTACAGACACAAAATAAAGTCTATTCTACGGTAGTTTACAGGTAAATTCAAAATCAGGAGTCTGTGGCCCTACGTCATTAATTTGTGAATCAATTTCGGATAGGTGATTTCGCACATTTGTTACATGTTGCAGGGTTCTAGCGTGTGTTCGAAATTGGTCCACAAGTCAATGAAGCATAACTACATACTCTTCATTTTAACTTGTCTTCGCCGACCGCTCAACGTGAATGGTAATTTTCATAAAATAAAATTACCTTCCACTAACTCACAGGTGCTTGCTCTAACTCTGGTCTTGTATCGACACGAATTTTGACGCAAAATATAAAACCATCCTGTGGTAATTTACAGGTGTTTGACCCAACGTCGCTTGTGGCTGAACACGAATATAAAAACAAAATATAAAGCCCCCTGCGGTAATGTACACGTAATTAACTTAACCCATTTCCAGGCGCGAATTCTCCTTTTCATCAATCTGGCACGCCCTACGGTAATTTACAGGTGGGTGACTTAACTACGCCTACGCGAAGTTTCTTTTCACAAAATATTGCATTGCCTGACGGTTCTTTCAGAACAGCCAACTTTCCACTGGTCTTTTTTTATTGACACCCATCACTTGACGTACGCGCTCCTGCTACACCAATTAGTCTATGATTATTAGAAGCAGTTTTTTAGATCGCCTCTACTTTATTTGTGTTAGTTCAATAAAATTACACCACATATAGAACACTGTAACGTAATAGGTTTAAATCATCAACGGTCCAAATCAGGAAGTGGTCGAATATAAACATCCTCTCCCTATGACATGACGAGTGTAGAAGTATCAACATGTCTGCACAACAATATATATTATTATTATTATCTAGGTAAATGTATAAGATCTCAATTTTTACAGACTGTGCTACCGTCTCTGAATGAATTGATCGCATCGCATAACAGCATCAAGATCCTAAACCAAGATTTCCATGGTCTTCCCGTTTTATGCTGGGCCGACTTGTCCAATAACCAAATAGTTGCGTTGGGTAGAGACTTAGTCCGCAACACGCGGTGCAAAGAACAATACACTTGGGGTACCTTAAAGATTTTGCTGCAAAGTAAGTAGGTTTGCAACGCTCAAAACTAATCTAATTGTGACCTTTGTAGACAATCCAATCTTGTGCGATGCAGCCTTGCCAGAAATAGTAGCATCTATGGAAGTTAACCACACCAGAATTAGTGGCGTTTCGCATTGCGCGCCGTTAAATGAACAACCGACTACTGCCAAGCCAAACGGCTATTTAGGTTTCGTACCAGAGCATGACATCAACAGTGTCCTAAACACACATCCCACATACCAACAACCAATACCATACGCCCATAGTCACCATTCACAAAATGAGTTGGTTAGTAGTTATCAAGAACCGAAAGACACGGCGCTCACCACTGACGCAAGCAATCCAGACAAGCAGATAACACCTTCCTTCGTAGAACCAAGCGTTCCAGAACCGCGGCCAAACTTGGAACAGACACATGATTCGACCAATTCAAATAACGTAAAACCATTGGACGATTATGCTAGCGTTGAGGTATCAAATTCCAAACATAACAAGTTAGATCCATTACTAGAAACGCAAATCACAAACGAAAATGCACAGACAAAGGTAAACGAACCGAGCACATCGGGCAGTGGGAGTCACTCAATCGAGAAACCCTTAGATCCCGTAGCGCAACAGAAGCAACTGGATAAGTTAACAATGCAAATTGAGCAGTTAAGGCTGCAAGTGGAAGAACTGACGGTACAAAACAAGATACTAAGCCACACGATCAATCAGTCAGTAGCGCCAATAACAGAAAACAACAAAACGGAGCATATTCAATACGAAGAAGTTGCGATACACACTCTACCAAACGATGAGCCCTACCTCGACAAAGTAAAAAAACTGACATTTTAAAACGGGAGTAATGACAATTTGTAAGTAAAATTGCCAAAAACTAGTCATTTATTTTGAAAACTTAAACACTCTGTTTCGCTGTTTTACGAAAGGAATTGCAGCCGGGAGTATTCTATGTTTCTTCAATCATAAAGAACAGTATAATTATTTTTAATTAGTACAAACTTTATTATTCGCTTTAAAGCTTGTTTCGTTCAGAGTAAGTTTATGAGGCCCTCAACCGCTGTAAGCTAACTCTGCATTGTTAACATTAATATTTGCCTAGCCTAGCAGACATTGTGATATGATGTAAAGATTTTATATTTATATAAGCAATCATGTAGTAAAATGAGAAAGCTAACGTTGTATATACATTTCTCTGAAATATTTTTGATAACTTTTTGTAGTCATAGAATTGTAAATTTACTCCAAATATGTACAATGTATTTATATTTGCAGTATCTTAGTTCACATAGGATTTTATGTAAACTACATATTATACAATTAAGCTAAGGTTTAAAAACCGGTGACAGTACATAAATTCTTTATATTATTGATGATATTTATCGCATATTTGGTTTGTTAAATTATGGAAATGTTTTATAACACATAAAAGTGTTAAAAATGTTAGATTTTGTACCTGGAAGATTTTAATAAAAGCATGTGCTTGTACACCCATCTTTATTTTTTGCAGTTTAAAAATGAGGCGCATAAAACTCGAACATTTGAATATAACTTTTATATTCAAAGCTCGAACTCATGCTAGAAAATCGTAAGGCAGCTAGAAACAATTTGCATTTCGCCTAGTAAGTGATAATATAGGCAACCAACAATGTTTATGGCATCGACCAGTAGTTATATTGCGCAGAAACTCAAAACTATAGAGTTGATGCTGGTGTTAAATCGAATCTCTGCAATAGATAGGTATCCGAAGAAGCTCTAACTAAAGGGTTCCATGTAATGTTGTAGGTATAGAGTACGACAAAGGTGTAAAATAAGAGAGAACATGTAATGATTCTATGGGTCCCCCAAGAAGGCACTTTTATGATGACTTACCCTATACTTACAGTTGGCAACACTGGAGAAAAACTACGAAGAGAGCTTAGACGGAACAGAGGCACCCTTAGACTATGAAATAAAGTTCCTTCTCTAAGGAGGCACCTAACTTTCAAGCAGGGACCCGGACCGGACCGAAAGCTGAACCGAAACCATTATTCCTTGAAAAATGAAAACGTATTGAGAACCGGAACCCATATTACTTTTTTCGGTTTTTTACGGTTCTTACGGTTATTGGAAGTTGAAGGACGCCCCGGCTACCACGTCTTGAAAATTGATAAAATATTACTCTATGTTGTCATCGGTGGATTATAAATTTTTAATAAGGTGTCGAAATATGAAGGCACTACGGGTGGCGGTGGCGCTAATTTAGCCACTACTTTAAAAAAAGAAAAAAGGAGGGGCGCGAGGTTTTAGAAAATAGAATTTTCTATTTTTTAGTCATAAATTAAGTGTAAATACATATTTCCCTCTTCGTCTTTTACTCCCCTTGTCGTTATAAATTAGCTACACTGACGATACGTCACGTTTTGATATTCATGACTTTTTCTTCACACCTAGTAATTAACAAATCACATTAATGAATTTTTTATTATACCTGAATCACAATCTCCGTTTTATTAAACACTTAAATGCGTGCGAAAATAGTACATTACATATCAAGGTAGAGAAGTACAGTATTATTGCCTGAGCACCAAGATTACATCTCGAGGCGCTTGCGCCGAGGGGTGTAAGGTGCGAAGGCAATAATAGACTTCTCTACCGTGGTATATATACTATTTTTTTCACTACTAGTCCTCTAAATTACCATATTATATTGATAAGAAAGTGAACGATTGGACAGAGTTTTGTGTTTATTAGTTTAACATGTGAATCAAGTACGTGGAAGTAAAAGTCAAACAGGCCGTATTTTGTTCTGTCATTGAGATATTTTCAAAGAGTAATTTCGTTCGAATTTTTTCAAAATGTGATAATTTAGGTACCTATGTAATTTCTCTGGAAATGGCGGATGGTGGCAATTATTCATTTTAGAGAACTTGTCTAAACGATTATTGAGCGAAATTTCGGGTTGTGTTTTCTAAAAGTGACAGCGTGACAGTTCTCTGTATTGACTACTAGTTAATAATGTCCACATTATTAACCACTTTGAACAACTGCCGAGAAAGCCTACTTTACAAGTGGAAAAAAGGTTAATAATCATGTCCTCAGACGCTATGTAGTGAAAGAAAGGCCTTTTTCGTCGACATAAATTACACCTTAGTTACAGGTGTAACAATGAAGCTCATTAATGGTTAGAAACCATTATACGTTAGCAACCATTAATCGTTAGCAACACCTTATACATAACAACTATTTTATTAAAGGGAATGACATTTATATAACAATTCACTTTCGGCATCAGCTGAGAACTTCCATCCACCTAACCATTTTAATCTCGCTTTTAATGTAGTGAGATCAGTATAGCCAGTATGGTCGCCAACGGTCTCAGCAAAGCATATCCTGATGTGTAGCTTCTCGGATAAGGTATTGTTAAGGTATTCAGTTACTTATTTACCTTCAACATTGAGTACGTCGACCACAGAGGGATGAACATTTCCATATCTTTCACTGTTAATACACGTACTTTAGTACAGTTGCAAAAGAATTAATTACATTCTAATTTCACATACCTTTTCAAGGTAAAATGTCAACATGACATTTTCGAAAATATCTCCTCTCAAATTCATTGTATTCCATCAATTGCCGAACTGATCGAAACCGTTCCAATAAGTTTCTTTTGATTTGAGCGGATATACTTGTTAAAATCGCCTCCACAGCAGAGCAAGCAACATAATCTTTCACTGAGATTACGAGGACTGACGGTACAGCATAAAACAACACATTACTATAGCAACGACAATAGCTGTAATTTAGTGAAAAATCGTCGGAGCTCATAATTTCGTTTGTAATTTCTTGTAGTTGAATTTAAAATTACCTACCCCAGTGAAGTCGACGAAAAAACGTTGTATGCAATTCATGTATATATCGGCGATTATTGGTTCGTTCGAATTTAGTCCACTCGCTGCGCTCGTGGACTAAACATCTCACTCACCAATAAAACGCCTCATTTATACACTCATTGCATAAATAACTATTAAAACACACGTGCTTTAAAGTTGCTAAGTAACGATACTTCAAGTATGACTTTTGAAACTGTCATCTGAATACAGAATACAGTGTTCATCGAGATATTATATTTAAAGGCCAGCGTGTTTACATTCCAAACAAATTGCGTTCACACGTTTTAAAAGAGTTACATTTCACACACTTGGGAATTTCAAAAAATGAAAAACTTATCACGCAGACATTGGGCGCGTTCATAAGACACAACAGTTACCGCTACGCTACCTCGTAGCGTATCGGTAACAGTTGTGGTCTTATGACACGACCGCTACTTTGACACGAGCACTTGACGTTAACGTCACTCTCTATACTTTGACAACTGTCGAACGTGCACAGTTTACATTTCTTATATCGCGGGAACAGAGTTATTTTAAAATGGCCCAAGAATATATGGCATTTAAAGATTTTAGATATAATTCTTCAGGAAACATTATTATGACTGAAGATGGAAAGTTGCAGTGCATCTTTGAAGATGGGTATGGTAGGTCATTAACTATGTAACCAATGACATGTAGACAAATTATGTTATGATTATAACGATGTACTCCTATCTACACTATAAGAATCTAATGTTCATTAATTGTTTAGGTAATGAGCAATTAATTGCTGTAGATAAACAGCAATTAATAGCTGCCAATATTATGGTGAATGAACAAAGTATTGATGATCCCCAACCATCTACTAATGGTTCAAATGCAAATTGCAATTTAGGTAGCTAATTATTACTCCCAATTAGACTATCTAATTCTACATTGTTTAGGTACTGAATTCGCATGGAATCGTAATACCACACTTTTACTGATTTCTAATTATAAAACATTAAAGGATAAGTTCAGAGATCCAAAAATTAAAAAAAAAGCACTTTGGGCACAAATTAAGTCAATTTTTAAAGGAAGGTTACGAGGTAACCGAAGAAATTTTAGACAGAAAATTTAGAAATTTAAAGAAAACCTACACTGGATTAAAAGATACAATAACTAGGACTGGAAGGGGTAGAATTTCGTGGGAACATTATGAATCATTTGACGATTTATTTCAAGAAGACAAAAGTGTAAAACCACATACAATTTCCAGCATGCCACCAATAAGAGATAAACCAGAAGCCTTATCGCAAACATTTGAAGTGAGTGAAGCAGAAAGCGCACCTACGAAAACCCCTAGCGGCAGCGCACATAAAATGAGCACATTGTTCAGGCAGAGAAAAAAACAACTCGAACTCGAAGAGAGAAGGATAATGGAAATAACTTTGCTGCGCAAAGCAATAGAAGAGAGTAATGATATTCAAAAAGAAAGGAATGAAATTTTAAAATTAATGTTAGAAAGAAGATAATCCAAAAAGTAATAATACCCATGCATTGTTTGTTCTAATGTCGTAAAATATTTACAATAAAATTGCGTTTTTCTACGCCATTTTGATGGTCGGCGACAACATCGTTATCATCAGCTTCTTGGTGATTATTTTCTCCTTCTATAATTGCTTCATTGTCGTGCATTTCTTCCCCCCACATAAGGGTAAAGTTGTGCAAAACACAAGCAGCAGTAATAATTTCTGTTGCGAAGTCAGGTTCTGCAATGTCTAAATATTTCAGACGCCTGAACTTTCCCTTTAATTGACCGAAGGCCCTTTCGATAACTGCTCTTATCGTTGACAATTTAACATTGTAACGTATTTGGTCTTCGTTTAAGTGCCCATTGTCCCGAAAAGGTGTTAAGAGATTTTCCATTAGGGGGTAAGCCGAATCTCCAAGAATATGGCAATTGTGTGGCATTATTGTGTTGTTGTTATTTACCAGATGACCATATACTGGACTGGTACGCAGAACATGTGCATCGTGCACTCTGCCAGGCATACCCACATATATGTCCATAAATAGTTTTTTATGATTACATATTCCCTGAAGAATTACAGAATGCACTTGTTTACGATTATAGTAATCGTTAGCGTTTGCAGTTGGTTGTTTCATTTGAATGTGGCAACCATCAATAGCCCCAATAACTCCAGGGAATCCACCTGACTTGTCATGAAATGCCCTAATTGCCGTATCATGATTATTTGGCCACGTTATATATCTATTTAGCAACTCTACAAAGACTGCAACAACATCTTTAAAAATACCATGTGCAGTACTTCTAGCCAATCCGAATCGATCTCCTGCTGCCAAGAATGATTCTGGTTTGGCCAACACCCACAAAGTAAACAGTATCTTCTTTTGCATTGGTATTGTCGAGTTTTGTAGTCGTTGATTATTTCCAATTACAGTACTTAATTCTCCAAAACATTCTCGCGACATCCTAAAGTGCTGAACGAACAGATCCCCCAAATATTGAGGGATTGTTTCCTCATAATAATTTAAATTTCGAGGAATAGCATTTCGTTCCCTTACCTCATTGCCAATAATGTTTAGGGGTACTGCTAAATCTAAAGCAACATTTTCAATTATTGCAACATTAATACCTCGATCTTCAACCAAAAGAGCAATAATCGCTTGTAAATCCATTATAATCAATCACACAAAAACAGTGAAAACAGAAATCTGCCTCCAAAAGCCGAAACACATCATTGGCAAGAACCTAGATATAATTTTGAAAGGGTACATATGGATTATGCCGGTCCATTTCAAAATAGACATTTCCTTATTTTAGTCGATGCAAAGTCAAAGTGGCCAGAAGTCCGTATTTTGAATGAAAGTCGAACCACAGAATAAGACCTTCACAGAACAGAAACATAAATGGCGCTAAATTGTCACTGATTACAGCGTTTCCCGTGGTTGTACGGAGAACTATTTATCTCAGACTCAAATCTCGTTACAGGAAATATTTTTACCGTCGATTTTATACGTACACAGGTTTTCCACATGTCAATTTTGACTTTTGAAAGATTTAAAATATGAACAAGTTATGTGACCGTAAAAAGTGTTGTGTGTCGGATTGTAACAATAAAATATCAAAAAGGCATCGTTTCCCACATTTTGAAACAGGTTGTTTTGTGCTTGAAACGCGAAGAGGGTTGAAATGTGCTGTTATTTCTTTCCTATTTATGCAAGGTAAGTAACAGGTACAAATTGACGCAGAATTATTACCAACTGTACCTATAGGCGCAAAAGGGTGTAGACTTGAGTTTTATATTCATATAGATGTAGATACTTATATTGTAATTCGTTTTAGATAATTCAACAACTTCCACTCTCGCTTCTCAAGTAACCAGTAAGCACCACGATCAAGTTAACATTTGTTGTCGAAAACTTGTGTGACAATTTGCTGAAACGGTTTTATCACCTCTTGGAACAAAAAATTTAGTTCTAAAGATATTTTTTAACAAACATTTAGTCCAAACAGCAATTAAAACCAAATATTTCGTAGGACAACTTGTTACGTAAGGATCTTTTTGCAAAGTGTTAACTTCTACAAAGCGTAAGTTGCACTTACTTCTGAGTTTTATATGTAATTTGTAAACATGTAATTTAAGATGTCTGTGTTAAATAATGTAATGTGATTGTATCTAAATATACTTGCAATTTAACAACTGTGTATTCTTTATCTATATTTGTGATTTAGATCGAATTGGGGAAATTATGGATTTAGAAGCTGGTCACCAGATGGCGCTACTCTGATTTTGATGCTTTAGTTCACAATACACCCACCAGGGTCCGCCAAAATACCATACAAATCATAGATATATAAATACATAGATACAGCCATACCCCAACATAGTTCAAAAGGACGTACCATCTATTACCATCACTTTCGGCACATTAATTACGTATAGCGCTATCCTTTATAGAGGTACCCTGAGCATGGAAGACAAGATTTGCATTATTTATTATAACTGTCAATCAAATTGTTAGCACAAATCACACAGAAAATTATCAGATTTGAGACTTTACAACATAAATAAACCGCCTTTTTATTTATTTAAATCGCATAGCAGCAAGAAATGTTGCATTTAAAATGGAAGATGTTACTTAGAAAGCTGGCAAATGAAGAATTTGAAAAAATTACAGCTGATAACTGGAAGAAAGTGTGTGAACATGTGGAAAGTGATTAATTTAAAAGAGAAGTTACATTTGGTTGATGTTGCTGAACTTTATAATAAGTGTTAATAATGACAGTGATGATTCGAATTTGTCAATTTCATCTGACGATGATTCGGATTGTGAGCTTTTACAAACGTAATGAATGTTCACTAAATGAGTATTATCACCAATTGGATATCATTGTTAAGGTGTTGTATTTATTTTAAATAAATGTACACGTGTAGCTTACTTACTACAATTAGCACTATAATTTCAAAAAGAAACCCCACCGAATGGACATATGCCGAAAGGTAGGCAAGACGCGTAGCGACCAAAATTTGATATTGCACGCACACACAGTCTATAAATCTCGTTTTCCTAAGAATATTGCACGGATCCTTCTTTGTGATCATGATACAAACGCACTGCATCAACATCATATAGGCCAAAATGATAATTGGAAACGAATTCACTTCCTGTCGCAACTTAATTTCCTTTACCATTACGCCTAAAACCATACAATTAAAATTAAAATGTTGAACATAAACTTTACTTACTTACGGTTTTTTTGATATTCTGCAAGCCAGCAATGAATTCACTGCAGCACATCATGCCAAACAAGGTAAACATAATCCCAAATTTGAATGGCGTAGCTCTATGTAATAAAACTATTTCAGGAATAACAATTATGGACGCGTCTATCATTGTGGCAAGCACTAATGTTATTCGTATTCAATTGATAACGCAATAATTACATAATATTTAGTGAAAAAACCGCCCATCATGTTTAGGGCGAATATTTTTAGTTAGATTTGATTTCGCGCGATCGTGAAAAGTGTCAACTGTCACATGACTTATGGGACGCGCTAAGTTTGTTTTAAGCGTCCGATCCGCGTACGACATAGTGGTTAATGCAATAAAAAGAGATAGAACATGTTTCATCTTGGTTAGAAAGTAATGGAGAGATGTACAAATTTCTTTGATATGTTTTTTAAAAACCGAGGTACGTTTGTTAAGGATGGCTGTATCTAGGTATTTATATATCTATGATACAAATTTGTAACATTGCTGTTTCTATTCTGAGAAGGCCGTATTCTGTGAGTCGAACATCAACTGCCACAATTAACCTGCTACAAGATATTTTTGCTTCAAGTGGATTTCCTCAAGTAGGTATTAGTATCCGACAACGCAACAATTTTTAAAAGTACTGAATTCGAGGAATTCTGCAAAATGAGTGGAATTTCACAAAATTTCATCGCTCCAGGAAACCCGTCAACGAATGGTCTAGCCGAAAGAATTCGTGAAATATTGTTTCGATTCCGAGCTACGCCGCTAAAATCTGGAAAAAGTCCAGCTGAAATTTATTTAAATCGACCATTTCGAACGAAGTTAGATGCAATGCGGCCAAATCCAGTTCAAAAGCCAAATGATATATCTACAATACGACATCGTATATTAAAAGTGGGAGATCGTGTACAATCAAGACACTATCCGACTAAGGGCCGGTTTTACAATTACACTTTTACGCAGAATAAGATATCCTTGGAAAAACTGCCATAGCAACATGTATCTCATTGGTTGACAGAATTGTAACCAACGCAACCGTCGACATTTATTCTAGGTATAGCATATTCTCGGTATATACCTGCATTGTAGAATCGGCCCTAAGAGTTGGAAATATGGAATAATAATCAGGAAACTTGGTAATTTGCACTACATTGTAAAGTTAGATGATGGTTACATGATCAAACGCCACATAAATCAATTAATCAAGTCTGAAATTAATAGCTGCGGAGATAACATTAAGAAGTCTGTATCATTTAAAAATCCTGTACGTGAAATGAAGACTCCAGAAACAAGAAGAGACATTTTAAATTTTGCAAATAATAATCAAATGATGATTCCAGCTCCAGCTCAAGATGAACAGCTCAGACGTAGTCAGAGAAATCGTAGGAAGCCACTCAGGTTACCAGATTATGTTCGATAATTTAATAGTTAAATATTCTATTCTAAATTTATATATTGTTGTTAAATGTTATCTATATTAGTTTCAAATTAAGCGCACGAGAATTGTTGTATCTTAATAAAGTATGCACTCTAAGAATGAAAAGAAAATGTAAAAAGACAGTTAGGTAAGCATCGCACGTCATTCATAATAACATTATATAATTTGTTCGTTCATAAGTTCAGTTTTAATAAAGAAATCTATTGTTATGTTCTTGTGTTCTACCATCCAGAAATTATAAAAGTGGCGACGAGGATTAAAAGTTTATTGACTATGTTAAAAAGTGCCGTGTTTTCGAAATAAAAGTTCCAATACTCAACGCACGTACCTACGTAAACGTCAAATTTTCTTTCAATTATGGATCCTAATCAATTTCAACAAATGATGGCAATGCTTGCCCAATGTTTACAGTCAAGTCAAACTATTCAACCGCCAGTTCATAATGTTAATGTTGTGGGTAACATTGACAGTTTCGATGCAGAGAAGGAAAGTTTCGAAAACTACAAGCAAAGGTTAGAAAATTTTCTACAGTTGAAAAACATTTTTGGTGATAAACACGTTTGTGCAAAAGTGTTATTAAATTGCATAGGACCGCGATATTATGAATTGGTTAAGTCATTGGCTGCACCCGAAGATGTTACGGTATTGGGATATGACAAAGTTGTGGAATTACTTTCAAGCCATTTGTGTCCTAAGCCAAATGTAGTGGTCCAACACCATAGGTCCATGTGTCGTTTTCAAGGAGCCACAGAATCAGTCGCAGATTTTATAGCGGAATTAAGACGTCTAGCTTCTACTTGCAGTTTCAAATGTGACTGTGGTAAGTCATTCTCTGATATTTTTCTACGTGCTCAATTTATACGAGGGTTGCGTGACACGAACATTCGCGAACGAATTCTAACAGAAGAAAAAGAGACATTAACATTACAAAAAGCAATAGATGTAGGATTAGGATTAGAAGCTTCTAGAATTGACAATGCAGAAATGTCAAAACAGTGTCAAAGTCAAGTAGGTTCCAGTTCAAATACGTCAAATATTAATCTAGTCAATAAGTCAATACCTAAGAATAAATTTTATCAAGACGATCGTTCAAAATCAAGAAGTCGTCGTGAAAATCGCGATAATAGGAGCCGTCCGCGTTCAAAAAGCAGACTCAATTATAAAGATTTGGGTATCGATCATTTGTGTATAAGAGCGATAATCGATTTTCACATGAATACTTGCTATTGACCAATGGCATTCTCACATGTACTTTTCGTGTTAAATTAAATTATGTTAACTGAAGGCTGGAGTAGAGCCACACCATTTAATGCTTCCTATATACATGACATTTATTATTTTAAGAGTTGTTATCTCTATTGATCGTACAGGTAATTTGATTTTGCTTTTGTACTGAATTGATTTATCATGTTTTCCACTGCATTTATGATGTCTTGTGTATTTTGTTTTTATGAACTTGTTTAATTGCATTTGATTTGATTATCTGATTTTTATCATACAATTTGAGATGTTGTATTTATGTGTATTTTCTCTTGCATTTTATTGCTGTAGGTGATTTATTTCATGTATTTGTGTGGCCTATGCCGGGGTTTTAGGCCCGTATAAGGTTTCCCTGGCATGGTCTGTTGTGTGCGTTCATATATTTATTTGTTCTTGTCATTTCTTAAGCACAAAAGTTGTCTTTTATTTAATTCCATTCCCGATGATGTCTCACGTCCCAACACATAAAACAACCGATTACACAACGTAGGAGTCATTCGTGCCATCCATATCGAGCCGACTGGCATCCAAATTCAAAAGTGCCGCGAAACGTCCCTCGTTTCGACTTGAAAGGTAGATGGCTCTGCTTGTAGTTTTTTTTGCCAGAGTTGCCAATGGTAAGTATAGGGTAAGTCAACGTTTTCAGGGTCGGCTTGATAGACCCCTAGGAACATTACAGTTTTGAACTATCCTTGAAACGTTTCAAGATGATTGCTGCGATTATTTGCATGGCAATCGCTTGCTATATTTTCTTATATACAATTATACTATGCCTGATTGTGACATTGAATTGGCCTTCTATGAAAAATTTGGAAAATCCATTGGTAAGTAGGTATAGTCTCGTAGTTTGATTTTCAATCTAAAGTAAGTGCATTATGCAAGTGCAACAGATAAAATTAAGCAGTAGGTGCACGGTGGTATGTATGTTACCGCTAATGTTAGAAAAACGTTAATGTGCACATTGACGGATTAATCTGCAGACTGCAGATTAACGGTTCAGATCCGTTAAAGTGCGAAGATGAACTAAGGTTATATGCGTATTCATTCAAGTTCAATCAAACGAGAGCATTATATAGATTTTGAATTTCAGGTTTTAAAGAGCCAAACTTTCGCAAGGTAATTAGGTATAGGGTATAAAAAACATTTTGACTACTGAGCTAGCCATGGGCAATTAAAAATTGTCACTTATAATTGCACAAGAGGTTTGTATTTCATCGAGTAAATTTGGGTTGTTAAGGTAATGAAAATCTGTTGCCTAGCAATTAGACGAGAAAAACTGTCAACTAATAAAAATGCGACACCGCAGGTGGAGCATTTTTAGGTTGACAGTTTTTCGAGTTCAATTGCTAAACGGAAACAGATTTGAGTTGCAACAACCCAAATTTACTCGGTTTAAATAGAAACCTCGAGTGTAATTCGGCAGGACAATTTAACGAACAAGAAATTCACCAAACTAATCAATTATTGACAGACGTCAAACTAGTCATATGGGCAAGGATAATGCGATAATTGGTTCGAAAATGAATAGTGAAAAAACCACTAGTGCATTTGTCGCTGGAAAAGTTGCAGGTAACTTTTGCCGCTGTCAAAGTGACAATTACACTGCGGCTTATGTGATTTTTTATACATGAGTTGAATTGTCGCTGAAATACCACACGTGAAATTGTCACTTATAATTGCACAAGAGGTTTGTATTTTACCGAGTAAATTTGGGTTGTTTAGGTAATGAAAATCTGTTGCCTAGCAATTAGACGAAAAAAACTGTCAACTAATAAAAATGCGACACCGAAGGTGGAGCATTTTTAGGTTGACAGTTTTTCGAGTTCAATTGCTAAAAGGAAACAGATTTGAATTGCAACAACCCAAATTTACTCGGTTTAAATACAAACCTCGAGTGTAATTCGGCAGGACAATTTAACCAACAAGAAATTCACCAAACTAGTCAATTATTGACAGACGTCAAGCTAATCATATGGGAAAGGATAATGCGATAATTGTTCCAAAATGAATAAGTGAAAAAACCACTAGTGCATTTGTCGCTGGAAAAGTTGCAGGTAACTTTTACCGCTGTCAAAGTGACAATTACACTGCGGCTTATGCGATTTTTTATACATGAGTTAAATTGTCACATGAAAATGTTTGCCTGTGCTGTAGTGTTCCAATCAGTGCACCAGCAGATGTAGCACAGGAGTTGAACATCAGGCATCCTCTACAGTCTACAGTATAAATAGCCACATTTGCTACTATTATACTCGTTTATTGAAAGCTATTCACGGTACTTCCATATGACCAAAATGATGTAGGTATTAAAAACACTACAAAAAAAACAAGATCTGATTTTTTCATCACAGAAGACTACTTGGTAGTTAATGTGGAGACAGATTTTCACTTCAAAGTGTCCGTCGTCACCCACTGCATATACAGAATGCAACCTGAGGAGCAACTTTGATTGCAACCTCATTAACTTAAAGAAAACCTATTTTTTTGAATAAATATATAAAAATATTTCTTTCAAGAGCTACTATGTAACACTAAATGACAAATACTTATCATAACAGCACAGTAGAGTTCCCATAAGTATAAAAATCATACCCAGGTATGTCTCTGCAAATAATTTAAGATTACATATTATGGGCCACGTGTTACTCGCTTCTTTACTTACTTTGTCCTGCCGACTGTTCGCCTAAATATTTTCCAGTAATGGCAGTAAACACAAATGTCAGCGAATTTGCAACTGGTACCATTAGCGATAAATCTAGGCTTTGTAACAATACAAAGTATAACACTGAACCAAGTTGGTTTAAGCCCATTGGTAGTAAATACTAAAATTCATTTACGTTACCGAGAATGGTTCCGTGCTGTTCACCGAACTTAAATGTTGGTACATTACCTTGTAATTAGTAAACAGATATTTTAATTCTAAGAAAAATTGTGCAATGCAATTGTCGGCTTTCACTTTAACGATATCCTTAGATCCACGTTTTATTAATGGATTAGTACATCCCCACAGTGCAGCAACAGTTAACAGAGAGGCTAAAATAAATACTTTGCTTATACTTGAAGCTGTTTGCATACCTACCTATTTCATAAATCATTTCTGTTACCAAAATCAAACTTTTCCGTATTTTTTAAAATCATAAAGTTAACCTCAAAATCAGTGCAGTACATGGCATAAATAAAACATTAGTTTTGGAAAAATCCCGGTTTTTTTTCTGATTAGGAGTGCTTGTCCCTCGTTGTATAAAACTAAAGATAATTCCTTTCTATAAAAATTGTTACTGGGAAGCTCTATATTACTCTTGTTTCTGTGTACAATCGCGTGACGGTCTGATTTAATCACCCGGTATCTATGCAATCTTGATTCTGTGGTATTTTCTGTGGATGACACGCCACTGAGTGGTGATATTGGGATTTGGCCTTTGGGACTTTATTCTTGGATGTACCGGTTCCAGATTAACCATATAAGCCACACGGTGAATAATTATTTTTTAATAGTACTTTAATTCATAACGTACTCTATTGACAGTAATCGTGTCACAGTCACACGAAGTTAGTGAACTCGTTTACCCTTGAAACGTTTCAAAATGATTGCCGCGATCATTTGCATAGCAATCGCTTGCTATATTATCTTTTATACAATTACAATATGCCTAATTGACTGTGACGTTGAATTAGCCTTCTATGAAAAGTTTGGAAAATCCATTGGTAAGTTTATAGTGTTTGTTCAGTTTAAAGTAGGTAAGTGCATATCAAATCTGGCAATATTGAAATCACAGTAGGTGCAACAGAACAAACTTCTAAACAAAAAAGTATAAGCTAATTTATATATACAGGGTGGTCCGAGAGATAATTCTGTTTTTAAAGTTATTATACTGTTGCCAGTACAAATGCCAAAAGTCCCTAGCACCCTTATGCTGAGTGAAAGCTTTATGTTTAGGTCACTTGAAAGGGAAGGTGGTTTTTATAACTGGAGCCTCTAGTGGAATAGGGAAACATACTGCACTCACTTTGGCCAAATATGGTGTTAAATTGGTACTCGCAGCGCGTAGAAGAAATTGTTTGGAAGAAGTTAGATCACAATGTATCAGTAAGTGCCACCCACATTTTTTTAAATTTAATTGGTAGGTCACCATTTTAGCAAATTCAGGAGGTCAGCTGACTGTAAATGATGTTTTGGTTCTTCCAATGGACATGCTGGACATAAACTCTCATCAGAAACAGTTTGACATGGCTTTAGCCCATTTTGGCCAAATCGACATTCTTCTAAACAATGCAGGTAGATCGCAGAGGGCATTTTGGGAAATGACTCATTTGACTGTCGATAAGGAGTTGTTCGAGTTGAATGTATTTTCCGTTGTAAATTTAACAAGAATCGCTGTAAATTATTTTAACAGCAGAGGACACGGCCATGTTGCCGTAACATCGAGTTTAGCGGGTGTGGTGCCAATCCCTTACTCAGGATCCTACTCTGGAGCTAAATATGCTATTCATGTATGATTAATTACTTAATGTGTTGTTTTTTATTACAAATATATGTTAGGGTTATTTCAACAGTTTGAGGATCGAGAAACTGCGTACAAATTTGAAGTTGGCAGTTACTTTACTTTGTCCTGGACCGACATACACCGAATTTTTGCAACACTCATTCATTGAGGTACCTGGAAAGGTAAAGCACTTGTTAATTTTTTTTTATATACAGCTGTTGCAACATCTGGGGGTGATCTATTACTCGTGTTTTTTGCATTAAAAATGCTACATTCTCTTGTCAGGTGTTTCAAGTAGGGGTTAAGGCGACGGCATTAATTTTTTGAAATGGAACACCTTGTATATATTGTGGCTATTTTCATCTTGCAACATTTTGAATAAATAAAATAAATACCCCAAACTCGCTGGATTGCCTATGCCTATGAAATTCAATTTGCCCCGCGTTTTGAAATAAATGCGCGCAATGGCGGTCTTCATAAGACTCCAGTGAGCAACATTGACGGTTTCAGTGAAAGTTATCTAGTAGATAAGGTCCTATCAAAGAGGGGGGGGGGTAATCTTTCCTTTTCTAAACTAAGTTCTTTGATTTAGCTTTCTCAAGATGGAAATTCCAAACCGTAAATATGTACAAAGATGTTTCGCTCAGTCGTTAATTTTAGGTGTTACTGTTTCAGTCATATGGTATTTCTGCATCGACAACTGACCGCCGTTTGACCGGAGAAAGATGTGGTTACTTGTGCGCCGTCGCATTGGCAAATGAAACAAGGGAATCTTGGATGGGCATTTTCCCCGTTTTACCTTTCTCATATTTATCAGTGTATTTCCCAGTAATTACGAATTGGTAATTTTATGAGCACATGTCGTTCAATTTATCCCTATTTGTGATTATAGGATTGTTGCAATCGTCACTCCACAGAAAATGTTTAAGATGCGCGACGGTAATGAAGGCATAGTAACAGAGGTACATACTGTTTAAGCACATACCTATTTGATTTAAATTATTATTTGTTTACTTGTTACAAAGGTAGGTGAGTCCTTTGCAATCCGCATGCGTATTCCTATTTGCATTTATTATAGTTAATTATGTGATTTGTATAAATATTGTTGCGATGTAATTTGTTTATTAAACTTTTGTACGTTTAATTCTTCATAGTTTGTTTAGCACAGACATACATCTTGTCAGCAGAGTAGAGACGGCTACTCTCAAAAGGTAGTTTACATAAATTTCAACTCGTCGATGATTACAAGAAAATAGAATCACTCAAAATCAACATAAATGATAGATAAAATAAAAAAGATGTATTATTTTAAAAAAAAATTTTTATTTCCTACTAACTAATAACCTCTGTACATTTATTCTTCTTTCTAATATCGCCTGACAATATTGGTTAACTAACATGTCTGGTGGCAAGTACACTATCCACTTTAATTGCAAACATCATTCGCTTTATCTCCAACCTAGTGCTACGCTTGTACTGAGAGGCTATTTATGTACGTTACTTGGACTTAAACTGTTATCTCTTTTATTTGCCAATTCTATTATTTACATATTTATACTTTTCAGGGGAAAAAAGGAAATTAGATGGACTTCATTTAATTTGGTGGTGGACATACATATTTGCATGCTTAATATTAATTCTTTTTTTAATTATCATGATGTGCAAGTTTAGAGCATATTTTAAACTAACAGTAGGTTATGGGACTTGTAAAGACCAGTAGTATATAACTTTAACATTTAAAATTTTTTAAATTGTACATACTTATATCTTTTAAAATGAAAATAAAGATAGTAGTTTGTTTTTTACGTGTCGCTTTATACTACCTCATTTCTTTAATTAAATGTTTCTTTGCTATTTAGTATTACGTTGTTGGTATAGTAAAAAGTTCATGGTAAAGGATACACCTAGTTAATACAACAAACGATAGATCAAGCAAAGAAGACCAGGAGAACAACTTGTCGAAACACGGTGCTTCAGAATCAAAAGTAAAGAACGAGCAAAATTAATAGTTCCTTCAAAATTGGGAAAAAATCAAAAATGTAAAATAGGTAAAATCGCCAAATGAAATACTAATAATGTACATTTAAAGAATCTAAGACAATTATATTAATGCTACTGTGAAAAACAAGTATTAAATAAAATATATGAAATAAACATCAACAAATTCAATAGAACAAATGACTGGTTATTCAAAACTTTGTAGGGATGTAAACAAGCATATTCAGTCATCTTTTCTAACAACTGTAAAACCAAATGTCTTATGTTTTATTTTTAGCACAAAATAAGTAATCGTTATAGGTTGTCCCCAATTATTCTTAAACCTCTTATGGCCGTTTGCACCGACAAATTTAAGTGGAGCTTAGCAAAAGCGTAGCTTAAAATCCATGGCAACGATTATTGAGACAATGATTGCCATGGATTTTAAGCTAAGCCCCACTTAAATTTGTCGGTGCAAACGACCATTGTGTTTTGAAAAAAAGTGTTTAGTTACTCGTTACTATACTGAGACATTTTTTTCTTTATACGTATATCCTGTATACTTGTAATTTATATTTACTTATTAAACGTAAGTATTTTCCAGAACTCTGCACTTGGGCATAGAATTGCAAGAGTCTATGGCTCTACCTCAAATGGATAACTAGGATATTTTGGAAATGACCATAAAGAAATGGCAATGAAAAATGTGAAATGCATCTTACTGATTAACTGAAATGTAGGAAACATTAAAATGTCAATTATAACATATAGGTTAGTCTCAAATGTTTTATAATAAGGATAATTCTTTTACAGATTCGGGAATTGTTTGAAAACAATCACTTATCTAATCTCACATATTTAAATATAGTATATTGCTAATGTGTGGTGATTATGGAGTCCCATACACATGGCTTGCTATTATTTACATTGTTTATTGTCTATGAAAAACTTAGCGCTGAACGTCAACACGAACTTATTTTAATGCAAGTGAATCTGCGCAGTCAGGTATAGCGGATATTACCCCTCTCATTCTCCGTCGCGAGGGTTTATAGAGCCAGCAACACACTGTAACGTTTCCACTCTTATCTGCTCGCCCATATCTTAACGCCCTTAATTTCACGAATCTGTTCTGTTCTCTTTCCTTATGAAGCGGTACACGTATACAATTTCTTATACCAGCAAATTTGTAAATGTAACAAAAGAAAATCTTTAAGCCGAATTGATGACAACACTGTCAACGATGGTGCCACTAGCATAAGGTTTCCATTTTTCATAACGATTATATTATTTTCATTAGCCGTAACCCTGAAATATGAGCAGATGGTATCCACTGCAGACGTTGTACTGACCCAAAAACCTTAGGACCTTGGCCTGCAGTGCCCAATAAAATGTTAGCACACATGGTTGTTCAATCATTGCTGGTGTATTTCGTGACCCATGAAAATATTCCGTGTACTTAATCCTTCATATTTTAGTGATAAACAGGGAGAAGAAATCCCGCCCTGTGACGAAATCCAATCATTCGGTTGGTATATGAGGCAAACCACGGAACCGAGTGGTTTGATGTTGATAGACAACGAAACGTATAGAGCGTGTCTACAATCCGTGCGCCGCATATCTCAGAACCTGGTTTCATTTAAACAATATCTCGGTCCATTATGGTCTGGAAAAGTAAAATGAGCATCACATTCAAAAGTATGAAACCGAATTCATTCATTTATTGTGTCGCATAGTCACCATATCAACACTCTGCCATCAAATTATTGCCATAAGAAATACATTCAAGGCAATAAGAACTTTACAACTAGCAAGACTGACTCTCTTGCAACAAATAATACGCTCAAATACGAAAAACCTCCACCAAAACAAAAAGCAATGATTAACGTCCAACTGCATTCTACATCTTCCGCCACTGCTTCTTTATCAAAATTAATGCGTCATCGAACGAAATTAAACACCTGTGTTTTCTAATCGGCGAAACGTGTACCTGCTTAGCTTCATACTTTAATTAGCTTTACGCAGCGATAACAAACTCTTATCGCTACTGAGCGAAGATAAACTTTTATAATAACACAATGCAATAATTTCCTGACGTCCCTTATCTTTAACACGCATATTTCCTGATGCCAAACAAAACGTCCGCACGATGTAATTTACACAATAAAATGTACCTATTCGTGAAGGTCACCGACGATTCTTTAACAAATGGATAAGGTTAATGTTCCGAGTTCGAGAGAGCAAACTACGTTCGGTCTCAGTCGAATCATGAGGTTCTTTTAGCATTGAGAGGTTCCACCCTGTATACACAACTTACGACGATGCACACATTTTTGAGAGTTGGCAACCATGCAATTTCTAGGTGGGGAAAAGCTGTCTGCGCCATCTAGAAAGCACGAACGGGGGTGACGTTTGGCATCTTGTCTTGAATGGCGGTCGTGAACGCGTCGCTCCATAAATGCTGTTGTTAATTTGTGTTATTTAATGCAGGTAGTAATTTTTGCATTTCTTTATATCGTATCTGTGTTTTGTATGCCGCATTTTATATTTTTTGTTTGAATCTTTGTTTTTGAAATTTATTTGGTTTAACCGCAATGCAGAACATATGTGATACCGTTATGCTATTGTTTGTAATTGTTTACGTTTTTGGTGCAATGCTTGCTTAATTATAGGGGCGACGCTACCTCTATCTTGCGGGGGCGAGATTACGCTAATCAAAGCTCTTCAGTTTAGAATCTATGTGCGATAAATGAGTGGCGATCCAATAATTTCCACATATCTTGTTTTTAGTTAAATTTGCCTACAAGGCCATGCAATTTTCCATCTTGCTTTTAACAAAGACTTTATTGCACCAAAGATGAGTCACATCCTGTGTATTTCACCCAAAACTTGTTTTTAACCTATATGTTACCTCTGGAAGTTTACCTGCTACTTTTTGTGATGTTATAATTTTATGTTACGCATTCACATCATTACAAACAATTAATTTTTCAACACAATTTGATATAAATTTGACGGCTAGTTTTTTATTGGTAAGTTCTTTTTTTCCCAGCCTATTTCTATTTTTATTCAGTGAACTACCATTTTCAAAGTTTATTTTTGCAATGTAATTTATTTCGACTTAAATTTCCGAGCTTTCACAATCTTAATAATTGTGATCATTATTAAACAAACTTTTCACAGTTTGATTGTTTTATTTTACGTTCCTTCCCTACTGTGCTTCAGGTCAAAGCGTTGTCTACAACTAACGTAAGGGGATCCTGCCTAAGATGTTTGATCACATGCCACTTTTCAAATTTAAGCGGGACCTTGTTTAGTTTTGGAGTTGACTTTATTTCTGTGTTCTTGTAGTGTGAAGTTAGCGTAGAACCTGGGGGTTAAGTACACTCATATATGTATTCATACATATATGAGTACACTACAGCATATATGACTAAAAAATAAAATGATTACCCGAACGTCTTTCTAGTGACAAAAACAAAGGGTGAATTTGTATTTTTAATGCGGAATATTTTGGAAACTAAACTAATCATAAAATCTAAAACAACATATTCAATTTCAGAAAATAAAACGACACAGCGCTAAAAGATTAAGAAACTTGTTATAAAATCTCCCTCTGTTTCATTTATTCAACGATTCAATTATTATATATTTGTTTACTCCATGTAGTATATACATTTCGTTTTAGTCAATCCGACTGGTACACCAATGCAGCTCAGGGTGGGTAAAGTAACAAACCTTACCCGCAGGTAATTAATTCATGCGGAGAGTTTCATCAAATATCAAATAAATAATATACTTACTGACTGGATGATTATTCACGATAGGAAATGACAAAAAAGAATTTCGATGAAGCAGTAGGTCCTTCAGTACAAGAATGGAGTACAGCAATTGTCTTCATTTACGAACGTTTAAGGGACAAATCTAGATAAAGGAGAAAAATCTCTATTAGGATGAGATCTAACGAAATAATTTTTAAATGACAAGCGGCAAACACTCACAAAGCAATCGATTTTGCCAAACGAAACGAATTACATTCAATTGTAGAATGTATTTTTATAAAAAATAAATTATAAACTGTCATAACATAAATCATATAATCAACATGCTAAGTAACCCAAATACCAAATAACTTTTACCACACATTCGCATCTTGTATAACTTATCTTTTGTGGGATCATAGCAAATTCATAATAAATACACTGGTGAATTTGAATTACCAAAAATGAAACATTCATAATTTACAGTTCTTTCACTATGCTTAGAGAGTGTGTCATTTAATGACTAGTACTCTTATTTAAAGAAACTTTCCACATTATATTGTAAACATGATGTAAGCTGAAATATCAAATAAAATAAAACATTTACAAATCATTCTGAAGCGATACATTAAAAAATTATTATTAATTTGAGAAATTTGTTTTCATCCGTCTAAAAGCGAATCTGATTCAATATAGTGTTCCCGAAAATGCCTGCAGTTTTCGTGAACGATCGCCGCCAACTGCTTTACACGTGTCGGAGGTGCGGGATGATTAACAATGTCCTGCAAAAGGCGTAAACCACTTTCGAGTTCCACTAACGCGCAATATTTCGCAGCTAAAAACAGACAGAGAGCATTGCGATATTATTTACTTTAAGCGCTTACGATAGACTTTAGTTAAATTCGCCAACGCCCAAACGGCCCAGTATTGGCATTCGGGCGTTTCGTAAATTTTCACCAAATTCAAAATTGGCTCAAACGATCTATAGTTTATGTTTCTTTGCGATGCCAAGTCCCATCGTTCGATAGCATCTACCATTCTTCTTAAAACCGACGCACGTGTTGGATGCACTATGGTCCATGCTTCGGGGCCATCCGATGCCATATGCGATAGGACGCCGGCGGCGTTATAGCTAACCTCGATCCCGTCACTGAACGAATCCAACAGCTCCGAGAATACGGTAACGTAGTCCGAAGTCATTAAATAATGTCGTAGATCTTTAACCTCGGCCACATTACCTAATAAACCCATCATGTTTCTAAGCAGTTCCTCTTTATCGGGAAATTTCTGAAAGCCAGCGTGTTACTTAGGTGCTCCATTAACAACAACGCGCGCATACTTCGAGACATTTCAAAAAATACTCCATGCCTTTGTTTTCTAAAAACTTTTTACAATTGGCAGGCGTCTCGTCAGTCACATTCCACATTGTTGACCACGCTACTTCTAAAACGTCATCGCATAGTGCTCTCTCCAAGCGATCGGCGATTAACCACAGCATTTTCTGAAACAGAATTGCATGACATGCGCTAACAAGAGATTGCCCTTACGTTTATAGCACCAAGTTCGCCTAGTTTGACTTTTTGTTGTCCGTCCACTTGACACGCCAATGAATTTAGTAAGTATATACCAATCCGTTGTACAAAACTTTCTTGTTGCATGCCGTAGACAGAGTGTAATAAAATATCAACTAATCTCTCATACTGGAAAATCTGAAAACAAGCCTTGATAAGTGAATTGAACTAATTGATTACCGCATTCTTCAGATTGGAGGCAGTAGTGACTGTACCATATAATTCCAAAGGATGATAAATTAATATACTCCTAAATAAACTCAAATAGTGAAGGTAGGTCAATCAAAAATATATATTTAAATAATAATATAATAATTCTATGGTCGTCACGAGTAACGCTCAGCAGCCAAAGGCCAGCTCGGCGTAACCAACCGCTCTTCTGGCCGCCTTCCGATTATGATGACGCGGATTCAAATCCCGGAGCGCCTGCTATTTTTTTATATAGTAGTCTCGTCTCGGCAAAACAAAAGAGAGCGAAAGATTGTGAGACTGCTGTCGACACTTACCAAGTGCTTTGTTACCTACCCTCGTTCGATTAGCAACTTACTACTCTTAGGACCAGATCATAATCCTTTGGTTTCTCCTACCAGCCCACATCCACTGTCAAGAAGCCTTAGGGAGGCTCAGGGCACAACTTACCATGACTGACCTCTTCACACGAGAAACTGTTGCGAAAAGCAGATCTGACAACATCGCGTAAGTGGGAAGAATAACCAATTTTCATTTTAGGTATCAGTTTCCTATTGTAACATTTTCTCCATGCTTTGTAAGAGAGTCTTGAGTCTAGAGAAAGGTTTAGAGGTTAACTACAAGGCTTTGACTCATTTCCCAAGGCCATCACGTGGCAGCAGAGAGGAGGGGGGATATTTAGGAGTGAACAAGCGAATCCATCTCTCGATTTCACCATGACTCATTTGGCAAGGACATCGCCAGGTATCGATTAGCCATTAAAAATCAAATATGACACCGCAAAAAAATGAGGTATTGAACTTTGAAAATGAAATACAACGCAAAAGTGGGGGTCATTATGTCTAATGACCTTGAAAGTAGAATGACACCTGAAAGAAATGAAGGATATTGAGCTTAGATAACCTTGCAAATAAAATATGACACCACAAAAAATATTGACCCTGAGTACCAACAAAAAAATTAAACTCTTATCTGGGTCGTAATTTGGACTCTATAGAACAAAACACAACACAGAACATTTACAGATGTAACAAATTTATTCGGCATCAATCAATCAAATAACGTAAAAAAATGGGCATTCAGGGTCAGAAGACAAATACAACGCAGCAAGCCATCGATAGAATAAATTAGTACAAATTTTGCACAACCCTTGTGCAGGTAAAGCGCATTTTTTTAAAACACCTCTACGAAATTTCTTCCATAAATAACAAAGTTGGCACTGCACATCCTACACAAAACCAAATTTGGAAAATGGCGCTACATTTGCTTTTATTCCACGTGGCTATGTATCAAATTTCATTTGAATGCCTCCATAAATAAGAAAGTTGGCACTGCGCATGCGCAAAACCAAATTTGGAAAATGGCGTACATTTGCTTTTATTCCAAGTGGCTATGTATCAAATTTTATTTAAATGCCTCCATAAATAAGAAAGGTGGCACTGCGCATGCGCAAAACAAAATTTTGAAACTAGCATTAAATTTGGTTTTATTCCAAGTGGCTATGTATCAAATATTATTTAAATTCCCAATGGTTATATTTCTTCCAAACGTCCCAATCGCCCTTTGTAGGTAGTTTCCTTCGACAATTCACTCTTAAGATATAAGGAATTATAACCGATCACGACAAGGGATCGAGGAGGAAGACTGTGGTTAGTATAAATTAACTCCTTTCGTTGAGACCTTTCATTAGAGTACCATGAAGGATAAAACTAGTTCCACTCCCCCCCCCCTTCTCCCTCCAACCCGTTCTTCAATAAGAGGACAAAAAGAAGGGCAATAGTTTGTAGAAAACTGTTCCTTTCGTTGAGACCTTTGATTAGAATACAACCCCGTCGCTCACTGATCTCGAAAAACAGTCGCACGCGAAAGTTATAGTTTGTACAAACCAATTCATTTCGATGAGGTCTTCCATTAGAATACCATGAAAGGTAGAACATGTGTTTTACCCCCCCCCCTCTCCTTCGTAAACTTCACTTCTTTAATTCTACTTAAACACTCACTTTAAACGGCGTAATAAAAATCTCTTACCGTCCACCAACAAACAAGTTCACCATTCACGTCTTCCTCTGTTATATAAAACATCCTTCCCTCTCTCACTTGCCGCCTCCACTTGCTTAACAAATTAATGCGTCGTGGAGCACCTGTGTTGTCTTATCTTGAAACTAATTAGCTTACGCAGCGATAACAGATTTTCTTATCGTTACGACCAGATTTACAGAAGATAACTTTAACAAAAACCTATTTCCAGATGCCCCTAATGACCGACTGACGCACAAACACTCAAACACCAAACGATGTTCCTTCAGAAACTCACTTCTCAATTTAGACGACACTGAATTCGTTGTAATTACTGATGTAATGCAGACTCCTTGCTGGTGGATACACTCTCTCCTTCGTAAACTTCACTTCTTTAATTCTACTTAAACACTCACTTTAAACGGCGTAATAAAAATCTAAACGGCGTAATAAAAATCTCTTACGGCAACGAAGTAACTTTCTTCTAAAAGTTACTGGCAAAACTAAATACGCTCAAATACCGTCCACCAACAGACAAAGTTCACCATTCGCGTCTTCCTCTGTTATATAAAACATCCTTCCCTCTCTCACTTTCCGCCTCCACTTGCTTAACAAATTAATGCGTCGTCGACCACCTGTGTTGTCTTATCTTGAAACTAATTAGCTGACGCAGCGATAACAGATTTTCTTGTCGTTACGACCAGATTTACAAGAGATAACTTTAAAAAAAAATATTTCCCTAATGAACAATAAAATAAAATCAAAATACTACGCGATTATGAAACAAAATCACATTGATCTCGAATTCAAATGATATGATTAACATTGTGTTTAACCACAAAAAACAGCCAACATTGAACGTTAAAAATATTTGAAATTCATTTAGTACCTTTTTTTAGATCTACAGAGGTACTCACTAATAGAAGAAATCAAGGAATCAAGTAAATATCTCTGGAGTTTTAAAGCCTCCCCGTCGGCGTATTTCCCCACCATTCTAGCCAGTTGTTCAGATATTCGTTATTTTACGAATCTTATCCGCGACCCTCTCGCTACGCCTGCTCGTCTTGTGGGGGGACGTTTCTTCTAATTACAGGGTGAGGTAACAAAGCGTACAAATATCACCGCTTTTAATTTTTTGGGTAATCTTTTGGATCTTTGCATTTTCCAAATCTGCAATAAAATGAGGTGTTTCATTTTAAAAAATGTAAGTTTGCTACGCCACTGGTGATCCGAACATTGGCGCCGGTAATTGTGCACTATTTTAGTCCCGCTATGTTTCGAATTTTCGATATGTTTTATGGTAAAGGAACTAAGATCCGAGGGGTCTTAGATGCTACATCCTGTATACCACCTATACCTACTATACACAACAGCAACGTGGAAAAAAAACGGCACGAAAACAACAAATTTACCTGTTTATCTTATACATTTTTGTGTTTTTTTGCGGTCTCTTACTTTATTAGACACAGCATTGTTTAAAATAAAAAGAAATACATACCACGTCCTGCGGAATTTTGAATTGGCACAAAGTTAAACATCCGTTCCTCATCATTGTGTCATCACTTTTATGGGCGAACATTCCATTTAACAAGGTAGTAATTATTCTTCGTTTTATTCTAACCACGTCGTGCAATTCCTTCCCTGCGCCTTTTACGATGTAAAATAAGGTAGCACTAAAATTTTACTTCGGAAAGGTGTTATACACGAATTCCCGCTTACCTTCCCGAGATTTGTATGTGTCTTTCATGTATATGTCTATCCATTGACTCTAAAACTACATTGAGAGCTTGGCCAACATACTGACAGCTTTCGAAACGAAAAAAATGGAAAAGCTCATTTAAAACCTTTTGTAACATTTCCGGTCTATCTAGGTAGGCGAGTGCGGCTATCAACACTTGCTCCTCGTTCGCGTTACCCGCAATCTAAAATTTAATTATACACATTACAATGTCCCGTAAAATGGGAGTCTGACCATAGCACACAGCAAGTAAATAGGTATTTCATAATTCGTTATGCATTTGTTTCACCTAACTCGGAAAGTACACAGAGGAATTCAATTAATAATTTAATTAATAACCTAATACTATGCCATTGGGCCCGAGCCCGACTGAGTTAGTGTTTCACAATTTGATACTTTGTTACTGATTTTTACCTTCGTCAATTTTTATATACAGTGTGCTCAAGATAAGGATGTTGGGGATTTCGGAAACCATGGAAGATACGATGATAGTCAAAGTAGAGAAAAGATGTGCAACTAAAGAGTTATTGTCATGCTTTAAAGAAAACCTGAAATTTCGGATTACTTCTGAAGATATGCGAGAAAAACCGAAATTTTCGATTTTGTTTTTATTTTTTTGTGATGGTACAGGTACAAAAAAATAAAAATACTTTCTCATTACCATTATTTGAACTCTATCAGACAGCGACAGAAATTTTCAACACAAAATTTCGTTTTGAGGAAATCATCACCAACTGAATTCTTATATAGATTGTAAAAGTAGGTACATACTGTATCGCGTAGCATTTTTTATTATGAATACAACGATGTACCGTTCACAAAAAAAAACAAAAATTGGAAACTGTTTCAACAGGATGGTGTACCCGCGCACAACGCCCTAGTCGTGCGAGACAAATTTCCTGGAAAACAGAAACTTGAATTGTGACACAAGATGGCGTTTTATAAGTAAGTGATCACCTCGCTGCAATTTCGTAATGTAACCACTATAATGGTCCATTTTTTGAAAAAATGTCAAATTTCATTTTTATTTTAGAAATGGACAGTTTCAATCAGCACTTTTTTTTCGGAGAATCTGAATTTCTTATCAGAATTTCCATAAGACGCCAAATGTAGAAGTTCAGGCTACTACTTTCTTATTTATTATGGACGCCATATTGGATTTTTATGGAATTAGGTAGAGGACAAAAAAGAAATTCATTTGAATGCAACGCCATCATGGCCATGTTGATTCAGCAAGATCTAGTTACCCGTGGATGTTTTGATGAAAATGTAAAACTTCTGATTTTGAAATGTTTCATGTAAATTTATGTAAAAGTATCGTGTGGAAGGAACAGACAGACAAACGACAGATAGACACTGAAAAATTGAGCATATAAGCATTACCACAACTTTGTTGTGCTACGCTAAAAAACCAATATGATGCCCATAATAAATAGGAAAGTAGTAGCATGTAGCTTGTACATCTAGAATGCTCTGCAAATTCTTATGCCAGATTCAAATTCACAGAAAAAAAGTTCCCATAAGAAGTGCTCTAAGGCCCATTTCACACTGAGCGGACCTGTGGCGGAGACGTGGCACAGACTTATGTCCTCTCCGCGCTGCCCCATAGAAACAAACGATGTATCGCACACTGACGCGACGTGGCACGGTCGGCCGCCTACCCGCCACCGTCACCTCTCTTCCAAGTCGCTAGTGGCGTGTCTCTTCCAAGTCAGTACTTAGGTGACCCACGATGCGTGACGATATTTCATGTCACAATCTGGCCTTCTCAATGTGGTTTGTTTGCGTCACGTCTCCGCCACAGGTCCGTTCAGTGTGAACTGGGCCTAATGGGAACCGTCCATTTCCGACTTTCTTAGCAAGGGAAAATGAAACCAAAATTTGACATTTTCAGTTTTTTGGTGATATCTCAATTTCTGCAAAGATTGTTCAAAAATTTCAAATGTTTAGTCACAAGAAGGGGCAACTTTGTCCCCATTTAACTTACAGTGTGTCTCTCACGGTTACTGCGTATCGCCCTGTACAGGGTCGCCGAATTTAGTCGCTAATAAGAAGTAACTCAACTATAAGCAATAAAAAAAATTAACCTTATAGTCACTATGTGTTTTTTTGAGACAAACTCGATGTTGGAAACCAAACTGGCCTAAATACAGTCTTTTGTTTTTGTGTTATGGGCAAAAGTTGCATTTTTTCGATTCCTAGATAAAAACCTTTTTTTAATAGGTTATTATCGGAAATATGTTTATTACAAAAGTTTCTTTGTAATGATTGTTGCATAATCCGCCGTTTTCAAAATAAGTATACGGGGTCAAGTTAAAAAGTTATGACAACCTAATTGGAACACCCTGTATATTCTCATCTAAACATTAAATCCTCTTTTCACAAATATGGCACATCAGGGATATTAAAAACATTCACTTGATTCAAAAAAATTCAAGATTCAAAAAAAGATTTTAATTTTTTGAATCTTTTTGAAACGATATTACATTTTTTGAGTTTTTTAATGGTACCTGTACAGAGTGGCCGAATTTGGTTGTTAGGGTAATTAAATTAAACTATGTGATAGAACAAATCAGTCTTTATTCGTGTTTTGACATAAACTCGATGTTGAAAACCAAACTGCCCTACAGTCTTTTGTTTTTGAGTTATGCGCAAAAGTGCATTTTTTAATTTGTAGATAAAAATCTATCACTTCTTTGTTTATTAAGTTATCAAAAATGGGTTTATTACAAAAGTCTCAGTTTGGCGTAATGGTTTAAGACTCGGACTCCAACTTCATAGGTGATGAGCTCGACTCCCACAATTTGCCAGTTTTTAGTGGCACAAAACGTCTCCTGACTACCGTGCTTCGGAAGGCATGTAAAGATGGCGATCCCGACAAATTAATGAATTAAACTAACTAGATTAAATATAAATATAAACGTTTCTTTCATATAAATTCATATACCTATTGCTTTGATAATGGCCATTAAAATTATATGGCCGAAACATATACCGGGATACCGGGTGGTGCCTAGCGCGACGCAGCATAGGGATTTCAATGGTAATTTTTTATAGTCAATTACTAGCTCCCCTAATTATTTTAGAGCAAAAGTCTAAATAGGTTTTTTTAGAGAAAAAAATACTGCATCTGTTCATATCATTACCTACTTATAATTTTCCGTTTTTTAAAACCGTAGAAATCGAGAAAATAAAAAGGTTCATTTTACAATAAATCAGATATGCCTTGGAATTACCAAAAAAAACAGCGATCACGTTTCATTATTTGCCTTTGACATATATTAAATTTATACTTGTTTATAAATTAGTTAAAGAACTGCAGGTGCAATAACGTTCAAAATGTCCGTCAAAATCATCAGGAAAACGACAATACATTCAACGTTTTGGCTGCAGTAGCGGAAAATCCGAATATGAGTTTAGGAACAAATCTTCTTCAAATCAGTTTTCTTTCTTACATTATGTAGGTACTCTGATCCCGGAAAATGATAAACAAATAGTATCTGATGTAGATGCAGCATACAATCTCTAAAAAAACATTACCCTAAGATGCCTTTTATTGCGTCGGTTATTTGAAACAGAATTAAATATGAATATCGTTCGACGTCAAACAACGATAACTTAGATGCGATGCGCTAGTAGTTTGTTAAAAGATTCCAAAGCATCACTGATTTATAAAAATGTAATTTTTTATTTTGTTGATTTCTACGGTTTTAAAAAACGGAAAATTATAACTAAAAGTATGAACAGATGCAGTATTTTTTTCTCTAAAAAAACGTATTTAGACTTTTGATCTAAAATAATTAGGGGAGCTAGTAATTGACTATAAAGCAATTACCATTGAAATCCCTATGCTGCGTCGCGCTAAGCACCACCCTGTATATATGTAAGCCAACAACAGTCAACAACAAGAATAAAAATAAATTTGGGAAAGACAACGATTTCTTAATTATACATCCCAAACAAAACATAGTTTAAGAGTTACCCCATACTAACGACCAAATTTGGCCACCCTGTACATTGAATCAATTGAAGAAAGAGTGAATCAGGTTTTATTTAGAGAACGAACAAACATTAAGGGTAATTTAGCATTTTTTACTTTTCCGCGCCCATATGTGGGTAGGTAAAACATTCATCATAAGAATAAGTCGGTTGTTCTAGCTTTGTCCGGCTTGTTAACACAATAACTCATAATTTAATGGGACAAATTGCATAAACTTTTGCTGGCATATTTGTTACACTGTTGCCAAGATATTCAAAACTCAAAAACAACGAAGTGGCAACACTGTTATCCTATATCCGTGTACTGAATCTGATTGTAATTCCACTATAGCAGGGGTCGGTAACCTATTGAAACGGAAGAGCCAAAAATTACAATTTACAAAATTTCCCAGTTTTTAAAGAGCCACAAAAAATTTTTGATTCAATATTATAGTATTGGCTATATACAGGGTCCTGCAACAGTGCGTTGGTTTTTCCTACATAGCTGATGCCTGGTAAAAAATATTGTTGGTTGCGGATCTACAGAAATTATTTTTGAATGTACAGGGTGTCCCATTTTTACGATGTCAATAAATAACTGATCTTTTTAAATAGAACATCCTGCATATTTTTACTTGTTTCAATGTCATTTGTTCAAAGTGCTATTCTTTTTCAAATGGAACTACCACTATTTGATTGTCTTTTGTGTTCTCTTCAATGTTTATAAGGGGTGCCATGTGCTTAAACCCCGCAGTTTTTATGTTATTCGGAGTAGGCAGCTATAATAAAAAAACAAAAGAATACCAGTAAGTAAACAAGTGTCACAAATTACATAATTATTTGCTGCAAGTGTACTTTTGATTTCGTAAACAAAGATAAATACGGAGAGCCGCAACTTTATATCAAAAGTCGCATGCAGAATTATTAAGGAAATAATGAGCACTTTTATGCTTGTAAATGATGAACATCAAACGCCACCCTAGGTAGCACTGTGGTGGATTTTTTAAAACCGCTGAAGATACAAAAAATGGTTGGAAAAATCAACAGTAACGAATTATAAAATACTTTCGGTTGCTCTGTATTACAATCGGACTACGTACTATGTTAGGGGACATAAAACAATGGCACTCTTACCAATTTCGCCGGTATGTGATGCCTCAAACACGCATCATGCTGCGCATCGTACAACCCCAGAAATTGAAACGGATTATTCACACGGGAGGCTAACCCTGATATATCAGAAGCTATTGCGACTTCCTCTCCGGCCTCTCTAGGTTGCGCAACTCCTCGCCCGGCCAGATTTGTACCCGAAATATCCAAAGACACCAGTTTGGTCAGATTCTCAACGATCACTTGCAATAACTGACTACCGTTCTCATATTTGCCATTCTCCTCTTTCGATTGCGAAATATCTAAATGACGTAGATTCTTCAATTTACACAGCGCCGGTATTATGTTCTCGATGGTATCAACGTTGTACAAAATTAACGATGTCAAATTAACTAAATGGGAAGTGTAGCAAAAGTCTGCGAGCTTACTGCAATTTGATAAGTCTAAATACGTTAAATTTTCTAAAGGTTTCAGTAACAGCATATAAAATTCGGGTTGAAGGGATTCGAGATTCTTCACCGTCAACCTTCTTAAGTTTGGTGTTAATATGATGAAGCCCTTCTCGAAGAAGTAGTTCACGTCACGATGTAATACGCGAAAGCCTCGTCTTGGGAAGATATCAGTGTTCTCGCCAACAGTAAGTGACTGTAACTTAAGGCCGTACGCCGTTATGTACCTTAAGCATGTTATTCCTAGTGATGTACAGTTATTTAATTCTAACTCCGTTAATCTATGCTGTAATAAAACTTTGAGACTTTTGTCTTCGATATCTGTATTATGCAACTTGACCCTTTTAAGTCTTGTGCATTGTCGATCACGAAATATATTAATAAAGCTATCAATTTGTTGTTTGTTTCTATTCAAACGACCCATTAACAGTCGTTCGCATATTTCTACAGGTAAAGCTACGTTATGATGAAGACGAAGTTGGTCTGTATTTGGTTTGTATTCGCATATCGTGTCCAGGTGATTTAAAATGTAGTCGACACAGAGTTCTATCAGGGATTCCGGAGCGGCACTACTACATAGTATGCACGATTCTGTAGGTAGAGGTAAACAGTGTCGGCAATTGGCTGACTGAAGCATCTAAAAATTATGTTTTAATCATTGCAGGTGCTAAAAATAAGGTAAAATCCTAATATAATTACTTTGTCTTCATTCAGGAAATTTCAATAATCCAAATCTTATCGGTAAAGACATATTATACAAATGATTTTAATAAATTTCTTCCTGCGGTTACGTGTATAGTTGTACAAAAATAAAAACTCAAAATTGTAGTAGATTTGGAAAATTCCAGATGTTCAGAAACAGAAATAAACTATTTTTGTTATGACTTATCGTTTGACATCTGATTTGGGGACAGTGACAATTGTGACATATAACTACTACCAACCTCATCCCCCTATTTCCCTACAGAAAATATTCCATTGATATCATCGAAAGATACGAGGGCTGCTGGAAAGGTTTTTGACAACGTTTTGAAAATAAAATATACAATTTATGACCGATTGCACCGACAAATTTTAGCGGAGCTCAGCTTAAGCGTAGCTTAAAAACTTTGGCAACGATTATTGCGACAATGGTTTGCCTTGAATTTTAAGATAATATAAGCTCTGCTTAAGTCTCTGATGCAAATTAGTGACGACTTTAATCAATTTTTGAAGTATTATGCATTTTGCATTTGTTCGAACCAATTTGCATTCAAGGATGATGCGTGCAGTCTGAGCGACTATGCGACAAAGAATTAAGAAAAATTTAAATTGTCATTTATTAAAGCACGACACATCGAAAAATACCTACTGTTTATTTTGTGATCAGTGTAATTATCCCACGAATAGTTTAGCAATTACAATTAGTGCGTGAGTACACTAACGTTAAACTTAGAAGAACAATGAAATCAATTAGAAATTACACAATTAACATACAAATTAACTAAAGGCTGTTTTAAAGCGTCATCGACGTAAGGAAATGTCGGCGAGTTGTAAAGTTGTACGAGTGCGTTAGAATTTGAATGATAATTTGTGATCTTTATTTGTAACTAGCTGCCCGACCCGGTTTCGCACGGGTGTTTATAATTTTCGTATTCGTAATTACATGTTGGGATGGCACATCCATGATGTTGGTTACAGAAAAAATAATACCTTAAAATTTGGGTTGAAACCCCTTTCCCGAATTATATTTGCGCCAAAAAATGATGTCAGTTGGAATACACATCAGCTTATAACTGTTGAATATTCTGCAAGAAATGCTTCGACAGAGGGTTTTGCCCTGAAAGAAGTAATGAATTCAGTGGTTCAGGTGGCGTTGTAAGTTGAGGTAATTTGACCTTTCTACTGGCACAATATAATCCTGCTGGTTCTAGACGAAACCTCAAAAGCGGAAGGAATTCTGTGGAGTATTGGACTCACCCATCAACTTTTTGAAGACACTCGGGTTTACATTAGAACCTAGAACTGCCGTTTTCTTGTTCCCATAAAATACTTTTTCATTGCCCTTTTTTGAGCACCGTTGGAAGATTCTTAATACAACGTTATTGTTTCGGAGAAATTATCACAAACTATACTTTTTTATATGGCCCGTGGAAAAAGTACACACTTGTAGCACATTTTATTACGAATACAACTTATGTACGTCACGTCATTTTTTCTATTTTCCAGGAACTTACCCGATTGGTATGCTCGCAAGTTGTGCGCGGGTGCTGTCTTCTAGAGTTCAAAAAGTGGCAATAAGAAAGTGTCTTTTGTCTTTCTTGTTGTATCTGTTCAAATAACACCAGCAAAAAATAAACCCATAAAGAGCGTTTAAAAAGCGACAGAGCACCTCGGTGTGACTCCACGGAGTCATTGGATTTGACCCATTTTCAATTGGCTTATTAGTATTACATGTGTGCAAAGTCTGAACCAAATAGCTTCGAGCGTTTACCAGAGACAGAGAGGCGTGACGCTAAGGGGTCATTGGATTTGACCCATTCTCAATAGACTTGTTACATGTGGCATATAAGTCTATACTGTGCAGTTTCAACCGAATAGGTTCAAGCGTTTGGCAGGGACCGAGAGACGTGACCCCACGGGGTCATTGAATTTGGCCCATTTTCAATAGGCTTAGTACTTGTGGTATATATGTTAACTGTGCAAAGGTTGAACCAAATCGGTCCAACCGTTTGACAGTTATCGTGTTCACGGAGAGACGGACACCAGCGACTCCCCTATAAAGTTTGCATCGCTTTGCTTTGCCGCTTAATAAACATAAAAGCGGTTTTTCTGTCACATCTTCGGAAGTAATTGTAATTTTTTTCTTTACTCTAAAGCACGATAATAATTGTTTAATTGGGCATCTTTTTTCTAATTTGACCATCATCGTATCTTCTATGGTTTCGATCTCCATGATAGACATCCTTATCTTGGACACTATTTTCAAGCGAGAGAAAGCCCGTACCAATGAGTAAGTACCTCGTCGTACCTACTGTAGTTTATAGTAAATCTTAAATGGTAAATTTAATCTCTTTATGGCTTAATTGTATGTTGGGTCGTCCTCAGAGGCACAGGTTGGAATGAATTTTGTAGTCACGGTAAACCTTGCCCTTTTTATAAATAGAATTTACGGACATGTTTTTAAAGCAGCTGCAGATGTAGGGTAGGTAATTTTATATCTTGACGATTATTTTCCTAAATTAATTAGGCTATTCTTTGCTTTCATTTTTAAGGCCGCTTGACATGGAGCAATACTACGCGCAAGAACTTGCAGAAAGAAATTGCAAGGTCAAATCCTTGCATGCAATAAGCATTGCATGGTATTTGACATGGTGCAATTCTATTTCAATTGCCACATGTCTGCCAACAGAAGAAACATATGGATTTGTCAACAAAGTTGTTAACCTCAAATGAAAATTAAATTTTGATTGCTTGAAGAAACATGAAAATTACAAGAATAAATAAGATTAGTAAAAACAAGTAATGAGTGCGTCTCTCAGCATCACAGTTGCCGCCGCTGTATTTTACTAGGTTGGTGCCACAAAAACAACTAGATTTATCCCTAGAATTGCACGATTCATGCAAGAAAAATAGCACCGGTCCTATAAAAATTGCATGCAAGTCTCTTGCAGCAATTGATCAGCTGGCTTTGAACTGCGCATGCCTTTCGCAATTTTTCTTGCAACTTGCATGCAATTGCAATTTTTATTGCTCCATGTCAAGCGGGCTTTAAGAAAAGAGTTTCCTATTTACTTGCCTTAGAGCGTCACATTTTTCGATAATGCAAGCACAACAAAAAAAAGAACTATCTAATTTGATGCTCTTTCATACAAACTTTAATTTGGTGCAGTCGTTCTGAAGTGATGCGCGTACATAAATTTCGGCGATTCATTTTTATATATATAGACTTTCGCAGTCATTCGTCCTGCAATTGGACGAACAGTTTAGGGACGTACAGACAGACCGAAATTTTTTTTATTGTATAGAAACCTTCCCGAACATACTTCCAACTATTCCCCAAAGTTTCATCGCAATCGGATGAACGGTTTAGGCAGGCATAAGAGACATACAAACATTCATTTTTATTTATATAGATTAGAACATTAAGTTAATTGCGTGTTCGACCTAATTCAATAAAGCCTCGAGTTCTTAATAGAAAAATGCCTTTCAAGTAGGATATAGGGTTAAGAAGGTTATATTTTCAAGTCTCAAAAACGACATGATAAACTCAATTCACTTTAAAGTTAGTAGAATTTTACTTAAAAACCTGCTAACTACACTACAAACGCCATTTGTAAACTACACCAGCGCCTCTAGTGTGAATATATGATCGCCATTAAATCAACAAAACGACTACACTGGTGTGGAGCTTGGATGAAAATGGTCGAAGGTGTGGAGCATATATGTAATACATATATGGTGTGCAGTCTGAAGTGTTGTGTGGACTGATATTATAGTTTCAAATTCCATCGTGTGAACTGGATTTTACAAATTATTTACTTGCTCTCTATTTTTGATTAGTAAACAATCAAAAACATGGCATACAAGGCGAGGTATATTTGTTTCGTAAATTTAATGTGTGATTATTATTGTTTTTCAGATTAAAAGAATTTGATAACATTCTAAATAAGGACGTCATAAATTTACGAGATCTTCAAAAACTAGCATTTAATGGTATGTATTTATCCCATCACAGCTGAAAGTGTTGTTCTAAACATGTGTTTTAGGTATCCCAGATGACCAAGGTAAAAGAGCACTATGTTGGAGGTTGTTGTTGAATTATTTACCTACAGAAAAGGCAAGCTGGAGTACACATTTGAAAACAAAGAGAGATTTATACCAGCAATTTATTGGTAAGCAGATGTACTAGGGGCGATTCGCTAGACTAAGATTCTATCACTCTATTATTTTAGTTATTATTTACAAGGAATGTTTTATTAAATAACAAATGATTGACAATTGACTAATGCTGTGTATTCAAATCTAGTTACCATAACACACACTATGTCTAAAGTCGTAAAACAAATCTGTAAAGTCCTTTATACGTAATTTCTATAAAGTTCAGGATGCTTACTAAATTTCTATGATCCTAACTCCTGAAAACTTTGTCTTTAAAATCCCAGGTACAGTTGTAAACTACTTATATCTCTCCTTTTATGTCTTGACTTTGGATACTATTTGTTGGAATATGGACATGCATGGCATGCCATGAAAAAAAAAAGAATTTATGTGTTTTCGAATGTCGTTGTCTGCCCTACAAATTGTATCCATTTTAAATTTCTATATTAATTGGCGCTCGATCAAAAGCATATAAAATAAAATCGCAACAGCTTTAATTTAATTAATTTTATCACGCTTTTGATCTCTAGTTTTTTCGTTGTAAAAATAAAATTATTCGATTAAAAATCAGAGACATTTGAAAAAAATTTTATGTTGTTCTGTAAAAGTATCTTTTTCGAAGCCGGCTAAGAGTTCGTTATCGGCGCCCAAAGCTAATTAGTTCCAAGATAAGCAGATGTTTTTCGCTGAATTAAAAACAGGTGTTATCGAAAAGAGAAACAAAATCTCTATCAAATGAGCCTAAAATAAAATATTAAACAACTTTTATATAGAAAATTTTTGTACACTGTCGTTATTTACAGAGATACTATATTCCATACATAATGGACACCCTAGATATTTGTGAGAGATATAAAAAATACAATGCCAACTTCTACATTCTCCTGTTCGAAATCTACAACCTCTTCTCAACGCTAAACAAAATTTTAATCCAACCAAAGGAATGGTAATACTGAATTTAAATGCAAATCAAATTCCCATTCGTGCCCAATAAATTTATTTAAATATCAAACATAATTAAGCCACTAAAACCAAATCCTTTCCTTGGATTCACTTCCTCACAATAAATACAATACAGAATCTTTTTATATAAATGGTTCTCATAGGCCGATTTCTTCAGGAAGTTACTTTAAACAAAAATCAAATTGCAAATTTCCAAAAACAACCGACCACCAATTTATGCAATTCAAACAAATATAAAGTATCTTACAGTTATGTCTGCTACGAATTGATACTATTTGACGCCGGAAATTGCCGCCCTCTTTAGAAATGTGGAAATAATTTGACATTTTCCCCAATTAATTAAGCTTTTTTGTATGAGTAAATATTAATTGTCTGTCTTTAAATTTGCCGCCGCATGCAGTTGTGTATGATATGTTATTTATCGCATAAGACGTTACAAAAATGCAGTACGCAACTTTGATCAAATTGCCCTCAACTAGCTGTTCTGTTAACTACTTGCGTCAAACCGAAAAATAAACGAAAACGACCCCGGTACAAATAGCGTCTCCAAAAAGTTTTAATTTTCTTTCTGTTTTCGTCGGTAGTGTTCGGGTAGTTTAGGTAGTGTTGGGGTAAATTGAGGTTGATTTTTAGACTCGATATAAGGTGTTTGTAATTGATTTTTACAATGTCACGTGTGTGTTTATGAACGCGGTAAATTTTGAGTCTCTTGTTAATTTGGGCAAGCCGAGTAATTATTCTAAAATTAAATTTAGAAATCACTGTAAAGTATGTAAAGACCTCACAAATTTCGAACCTACGGATCGCCCGTTCTAAGCGCTTCTGCCAAGTAGCTTACCGTTGACTTTTACAGATGAAATGATAGTAACGCCCGGCTGTAAAGAAGCGGATGGAGGTGTAAACGACCATCCCTTAAGTGTGAATCCCGATAGCGAATGGCAAGCATTTTTTAAAGATAACGAAGTCCTCTTACAAATCGATAAAGATGTAAGGCGTCTATGTCCTGATATATCATTTTTTCAACAGCCCACCGAATTTCCTTGTAGCGTAGTTGTAAATAGTATGGACGTAAAACGTCTTCACCGGAGGGTTGAAAGACGTGTCTTAAAGTCGGCGAACGTCGAGAGAAAAGGATTAGGAATCACGAAGGTAAGTATTACACGTCATCAGCATTTCATAAACGCTTCATTACTTTTCATGCTTCCGTAATATCAGTAGCAGGTATACAATGTTAATTAGCGATCTTACGTCATACTTACGTGCCGATGTTTAGATAGCGCTATCCTTAAAAAAGGCAACGGAGGATTACGCGCCGATGGACGAAGGCCAGGAGGCTCACTGGGAGGTGGTCGAGCGCATTTTATTTCTGTACGCGAAACTAAATCCTGGGCAAAGCTACGTACAGGGCATGAACGAAATTCTCGGACCTATTTATTACGCTTTCGCATCGGATCCTGATGTTACGTACAGAGGTAAGTTTTACACGAGGGGCGATTCTTTAACTACAGTTCTTGTGTTTTGCACATATCCTTACAGAATTTTTGCGGGTGACTTCTAGTGATCTTTTGAAGTTCATAGCTTTTATAATGACAGAAGTGTTTTTTTAATAGGGCGACACCCTGTATACATCCTCCAAGTAGTTCTTAATAATTACAATAATTTACAAAGCTCGTCGATAACTTTCCTTCGCCGCCGGAGTGCATTTTCATCAAGTAAAATCTTACTTTGATTTGTAATTGTAAATTTTAATTACGTGTAAAAGATCAGGGACATTTGGAAATAATTTTGTGTTGTTCTGTAAAAGTGTCTTTTTCGAAGCCGGCTAAGAGTTCGTTATCGGCGCGTAACGCTAATTAGTTCCAAGATAAGCAGATGTTTTCCTCTGAAGTAAACAGAAGTGTTATCGAAAAGAAAATCTCCCTGTCAAGTTCACGATTAATAATCATATATAGTTTATATACTAAAGATACGCTATTTTGATTATATATATTAAACTAAGTAAAATATGTTATTGAGAACAATGTTTAAAATATAGGCTTGGCCGACAATAAAGAAATAAAAATAATAATATACAAAAAAATGTCATAAAATTCACGAAAGTTTTCATAAAGTCACAATGTTTGGTATGCCTTTCGGATCAGCAAATCGCCCCTCGCTTTTCCCCTTTTGTGTGAACTGTAATCATTCAAGTGCCGTTTTAGAGTGGGCGGAAGCGGATAGTTTCTTTTGCTTTACGAATTTGATGTCTGAGATTAGGGACTTCTTCATTAAGACTTTAGATGAGGCGGAGTGCGGCATAAATAACATGATGACTCGAATGTTGACGCAGTTGAAGAATAGCGATTTAGATGTGTGGTTAAAGTTTCAACAGCTCGAATTACGACCGCAATATTATAGCTTCAGGTTGGTAATTTTGTATAGGCGTACCGTGAATAATTTACATTATTTTAGATGGATCACTTTGCTGTTATCGCAAGAGTTTCCGTTACCAGATGTGTTAAGAATATGGGATTCTTTGTTTTCTGATGAAAAACGGTTTAGTTTCCTTATTTATATTTGTTGTGCAATGATTATGTAAGTACTCATGGCAGTGTTCCGTTATTATGAAAAAGTTTGTGGAAATTCATTTCCTGCTGGCGTAAAAATCTAAAATCTCCCTCTGAGTGGACGCCCATGTAATTTTCAAAAAATATTAGCGATAGTGTGACATTCGACATTCAGTGGGTTCTCAGGATTACAATAGTTTAATTTTAAAAAAGCAATTGAGTCTCTGGTTATGGAGAAATTCAATAGCATTTTTTTGATGAAACGCAATACATTTACAATTTACATATCTTGAAATATGTACTTAAATATGTAAAAATTATTAACTGTGAATTATTTACAGAATAATAAGACATCAACTTTTGAATGGCGATTTTCCGTCGGACATAAAACTGCTACAGAATTACCCTTCCATGGACGTACAAATCATTTTATCAAAAGCGGACGAACTGTCAAAGAAGTTATATTAGCCATCATACACACAAGATATAGTTACCGGTGATATTAAAAGTTGCTTCTGTACAATTATTCAATATTTCGTCCCTTAAAGATTATCGTTAGCAATCTTTAAGCTACTTACTTAAATGTTGTGTTTATAAGATTTATGTTATTCCTATTTCTAATTTTATAATGTATAAATCTAGACTCAATTGTACTTCTTAGCTCTCTAGTAAATATTGGTATATACTCTTTGATTTACAAACAACTTCACCAATTTCAATTCATGGTACCACATGCCTTACTACTTACCAGTAATCAATGTTTGATTTTAAAAAATCTGTTCCCTTTGAGGTGAATCAAAAGAAATAGATCAGGGCAGATTTTCAAGTACCGAATTATTGCTCCAAATCAGTAAAATAACTACATGTCAAAAAAATTTTAATCATATACAAGTTGTAGGTGAAATTTAATGGTAGGTAAAGAAGACCAATTCTAAGACCTTGAGATCAGCGCATGCGCCAAAGTCATTCGCTTCGGTTCTGTTTATCGACCGATACAGGTCTGTTTATCAGAAACAGGTTATTAAACAGACCTATTTCTACTGCCTTTATGGAACATCTCATTTTAATGAACAGACCTGTAGTGAATCTAACTCCCCAGTTCTACGGCATTCATACTACAAGAAGAAATTTGATATCGAAAAGTGGCATGTAATCAAACATCTAACACAGGGCCCCCTTATGTTACGCTATCAACGCTATGACCTGAAGTACGGTATGGAAGAATCGCAAAACAAAACACTGAAATGCCAAAAGTTTGTTATTATTATAAAGATTGTGAAAGCTCGGAAATTTAGTCGAGATAAGTCACATTGAAATTAACTTTGAAAATGGTAATTCACTGCTTTAATCCTACAAAAAGGACTAGGTGGCCATATTATTGGCGGCAAACGGAACTAAAATTTGCTTCACTTAAAGAAGATCTTTTATTCCTCCTCTAGCTTTTCCATCTTTAAGGGTTGGAGACTGCGCAAACAGCTCTCCTCTTCCAATAAATCGCGCGGTTGCCAACTCTCAAAATGTGTGCTTCATCGTAGGTTGTATTTGTATACCTATAAAGGCCGTATTCTGTGTACCTATACAGTGTGGAACCTCTCATACCTGTGTGTTTAACTGATCTGTTTCTGTTCAACCAGCCCTTTGCCGATAAACAGATATGCTTTCGTCGTTCAGTCCAAAAATCGCTCAACCAACCAGATTCTGATGCACAGACCTGCCTCCGTTGACAAACGGAACTGAATGTCAGAATCCAAGGGCTGAATGAATGACCTTGAACTTGGTCAAAGTGAAAGGAACCTAAAATCGGCCTGTTTGTCTGCTGTAATTAATGACAGACTATAAGTTTTACGCTTGCACACAATCGCTGTCTAAGAAATAGTGTACAGGGTGGCCAACTAGGAATGCGAGGTACTGTATCTGAGAACCTATCCATCGTAGAGGCTTGCGGTAAAAAAAGTTATTACTAAAACGTCCACGAGCAAAACCTGGACAATATTTTTAAGTTTCTGAAATGGCCGCTAGGGGGCGTAACTGCAATCTGGAATCTAAAAGTGATGTTTCTGTGAATTCCGCTATATTAACGTAACAAAAAAATGTCCGGTCTTTGAAGTCGACGATAATCTGAACCTTTTTTGTTTGACAATTTTTCCTGTACCTCTAAAAATGAAGTGGTGAGTTTCCGTAAAGAACACCCTGTATCTTCGAAACGGCTGAGCCGATTTGAACAAACTTGGGTTAATTGAAAAGAGTTATTCTTCGGCTACAAATATAACATTTTAAGTTTTGTTAGTTTCACGTATCACCGCTTGAGGGCTTTTTTCGACATTCCGACAGAAATGGCTAATTTTCTCAAAAAAATTAAATGCATTGGTTCGATTTTTTTTCATGAAAAAGTAGCTAAATGATGCCTAAACAAGCTCGCGAAAACAGCATCTCGATATCTTGAGATATATACGAGTAGGTATATGACATAGATAGATATATATCGTGATGGTCGGCATTTCGAGCATTTACGGTGGCATTAAAAGCACAAATTATATAATAAAAATAATTCCGGAAAAATTAGCTTCAAAAAATTAAATTTTGAGGGTATAAAATTTTCTTTAGCCTACATTTTAGGTTAGGAACAAGATATCAAGATGCGGTTTTCGCGAGCTTGTTTAGGCATCATTTAGCTACTTTTTCATGAAAAAAAATCAAACCAACGCATTTAATTTTTTTGAGAAAATTAACCATTTCTGTCAGAATATCGAAAAAAACCCTCAAGCGGCGATATGTGAAACTAATAAAACTTCAAATATTATAATATTTGTAGCCGAAGAATAACTCTTTTCAATTAACCCAAGTTTGTTAAAATCGGCTCAGCCGTTTCGAAGATACAGGTGTTCTTTACGGAAACCTTTGAATACCCCGCACCACTTCATTTTTAGAGATACAAGAAAAATTGTCAAACAAAAAAGGTTCAGATTATCGTCGTCTTTAAAGTCCGGACATTTTTTTGTTAGGTTAATATAGCGGAATTCACAGAAACATCACTTTTAGATTCCAGATTGCAGTTACGCCCCCTAGCGGCCATTTCATTAACTTAAAAATGTTTTCTATGCTTTTCTCGTGGCCGTTTTAGTAATAACTTTTTTTACCGAAAGCCTCTACGATGTACAGGTTCCCAGATACAGTAGCTCTTCAATATTGAACAAAAAATCAACGCATGTAAGCTTAATGTTACAAATTCACTTATTGCCTCAAAAGTCTACTATGAAAATACTAAATTATAGCATTGAATAAGTGCTTATTCAATGATTATAATAAGCCAGGCCAGCAGATATAAAAGCAAAACTACAAATGAACAAATCTTTGTTCTCACCAAAATTAGTACATAAATAACAAATTGAAAGTGCACATATAGGGCATTCTTTGTTGTTCGATAAACATTGTGGCCTTCTTTGATCAAAATTAAGGGAGAAAATTTGAACAAAATTCGAGGCAATATTATTACACTTTACTTTGCATTGCAATAAATTTATAGCATCTTATGGTCAACCTCAGATTTATGGCAGTTTTAAAACAATAATAATCATAAAACCCTTATTTATTTGCAAAAATGATATCTAGCAAACGTTTCGCCCACTAATAAGGGGAATATTAAGCTAGCTTCTGCGTAAATTTTGACTGGTGTGGCATCTTTTTTAATTTTCCCCCAAGATATTGCTTCATCAGGTCTTGCACCAGCATCGCTACCATCAAATTCAGAGGACGTGTTCAGAAATACTGCATATTCTGCTCCATTTCTCTGTGGAAAATATACTACACTTAGCCACAACATAAACTAACTTTACCATTAAATTAGCATTGCAAATGTGATGCTTTATGACTCCTCCCCCAACTATTATGACACCTGTATTTACTGCTCTAATGGCCATCATGTTTAATCTCTTCAAGTCTGTAATAATAAAAGTACAATCCGATCACAGATGTATTTTGCAAGTACCTGACAAGATATCGATAACGAGACCGGGATGCCTAAAGGAATGGAAGAACATCATGTCTCCTAAACTGCCATCGGTTAAAGCAGGACTAAATACAGGAATTTGATTCTTGGCCGCCCAATAATAAATACTTTCCTCATTATTAATCTTTTCGCCTAGCCTTGTTATTATTTTACTTGGAGTCCACACTGTACCTTTATCTTTTTGTTCCGACAGCAATTCATCTAATATCGGCATTAACCAATCTTCAAATTTGCAATAGTTATCATTAGGTACTAACAAATTTCCTATTCGATTAATTGCCTGTTCGCGAAGTGTTTTCCCATCCAGTTGAAAGTCGCCCAAGTACGTGGGAGCCAGACATTTTATAAAATCTTCCTCGATCCCACCTGCCGTTGTGACAATGCAATCTACCTAAACAAAAAATGGATTAGTTAAAATCAATCTTTCCCTTTCTGCTGACCATTTTATGCTGCACAAGGAAACGAATCGTCTCACGCAGTCCGCTAGAAACAATATTCGACGTGAATCCTAAGAAGATGGTACAGCTTGTCTTAACGGAAATAAAAGGATCATCGTGGTCTTCATATTTTGTTTCGGGTAAGGGACGTTGTCTACACGAGATCATTTTGTTTATTTCTTCTATCGCTAAACCGAAGTTGGTGGCTTGAAAGCCTGAATTTTTGTAGGTTTTCAATAGTTTGTGGTAGTCAATTCCGTTATTCCATTCGTAGCCTTCAACCTTCTCTTTAAGAAATGAGACATCGGCAGTTTTTGTTAGAACGGCTTCTGCGGCCGTGTAAAGTTCTTTTATGTTATCATTCATGGTTTGGAAGTCATTCAAATAGAAGGTTATATATTTTTTATATTTATAACCTTAAATTTTTCGGTGGGTACGGCCGTGTCTAAATGATCATATTGTAAAGGATGTGTGTGCCATACTAGCGTAGGAAACATACAAAATTATGGGTGCGTTCACCAGACGATGCGCTACCTAAAAGCCGGAATACTCAAGCAACTAGCAAGGTTTCTCACGCGAGTTGCTGATCGATTCCCGAAGTTAGTCGATATGCTCCGTGATGTGACCGGCTGCCATGACGTCATGATCGTATACGATAGGGATAAGTTCAAGTTTAGCTGCATTCCCGAATCGTGGACAAACTTTATGCGCTAACCAATCACAGATAAGAATTGAACTGTCATTTGTCAGTTTTGTATTTTGTTTTGTTTTTGCATTAAGGATACTGTTATTAATAACCAGAAAATCGTCTAACAATTCCATGTTTTATTTCACAGAAAATATGTGAATGTATAAGTTAGGGCACCGAATAACCCCTAGCAAAACAGTTGCAAGATCCGTCCTGTAGCTGCTACTGCGCATGACTTTCACGCAACGAGTGGTCTACACCAGTCGTTGCGTTCGATCAACTTTTCGCTCGATGTGGTAGGTTCGAGAATGCAGTGACATTCACTTTCACATCAAGGTCAGTCGATGTGAACAAAGCACATCTTCGGGAATCGACGCCCCGGTGTCTGATAGCACCGTGTCAGAGATGAATACTCGTTGATGGTCTGTATGACTTATCCAATACTTATTAACTCTGAGTGTAACAAATACCGCGGTGGAATTGCGGAGATCCACTCGAGAGAGGAGGGAGCAGCGAAAAGCCTCATTTCTGCTATGACGACGAGTGATGAAGGAGTTGGCTCTCGTTGTAATTTTTTGGTATTAATATATCTATTAGCGTTTTCGATTGGCAAAACTCGTACTGCACGAGTGCAATTTTTACGTTCTATTGGTAATTTTAGGGCAATTTTCTGTGTTCCATTGGCAAATGTGATGCAACAATTACGCACTCAGTGCAAATTTCGACGCACGAGGTCCGTGAGCTCGTGGAGCTGCTTGTTAACAAATTTTCAAAACAAACGTGCGACAATTTGAATTTGTTTCTTGCGTTGGAGAGTTTTTTGTCGTCATTTAGCGATAGCGAAGATGATGAACTAGCCATAACTTCTATTTTACAAAAAATTGCACTTACCCATTAAACTGAACGCCAAAAATTGGTCCTTTACAGGAATTTCAAATTTATATTCCTCATCGTTTATCATAAATAATACTGAAATCGTTTGTCATTTTTTAGAATAGAGTGATTTGTCGATTACCTAAATCTAAAATGAGGTTATGGACAAATGACAACAAATATTTACGAATATTTATGTTCCATTGAGAGCAATTTTCACATGCATTTCTTCAGTTTCTCGTGCAGTACGAGTTTTGCCAATCGAAAACGCTATATGTTTTTCATTCTCCCAGTGTTGCAGAAGTGAAAGTATAGGGTAAGTCAAAATTGCAGTGGCGGATCAGACTCTCAGTCCCGCAAATCCACCAATGGCAATGCCCTCGGTAGTTGGTTCATTCATAAAAGTGTACATTCTCTAGAAGAATTAACCAGTCTAACCGTAGGTCAAAGAAACTTAGAAACCTGAAAAAAATCTTGGTCTTTCTTGTTTATAGCAATAATTTTAGTCATTTGAGAGTGAAATGAGGTTGTGAGACTACTGATGCGTTGCGAATGTTAGTGAAAATATGGCACCAAACATTAAACCATTTGTTAAAGTGGATGCTTTCAATACCATAGAGGAAGGGAGATTGCTTTTTGCGTGAAATTAAAGAACATCTACCAGGAATTTACCATGTCTTCTGGAAATGTGTACGATTTTAAATCTTATAATAATGAGTGGTTGAGTGCATACTATACAATATTAGCTTAGGGATATGAACAAGAGGTTACCCAGCTAGGCCAGAGATCTTCGGTTTATGCATTCACATTCGAGATTTCATATTAAACACTTTAGTCAACTGCTACACAGCAAATGTAGGGGGATTTTTGAAAACCGATTTTTTAAAATCGTACAAATACCTATTTCACCCAAGACAACTTCTATAAAATTGCTATGGTAGGTATGTACAATGTACCTCACATACAAAAATACTTAAAGTAACTATACATATATCATACAAGCAAACAAATTTGCAAAACAAAACTATATGTTTCTAATGATTTCATTTATTTATATTTACTTAAGTCCCTACTTTTATTTCCCTCATTAATCCGCGTGAACAGATACTGACAATTATAGGTAAGTGTGTCTTTCAATGCTGCCGGATGGTAGCACTTTTTCAGTCATGTGCGGAAATTGTTTCTTCAATTTGTTGTGTGGAAGGTATTTCGATACAATGAGTAATTCTCCGCCAGCCTGCAAAGCGAGTTTATTAAGTTTCATTTTATATTATTTGATTGTGCTCATCACCGTCCATTCAGCAGGTGTAGCCAAACATTTCCCGTTTACAGCTTGAAGTGCATCGATTACACGAATAATTTCCCTGAGAACAATAATCTAATTTTGCAAGTTTTGTTGTTAATTGCTTCGGATACCTACTCAAAGTTAAGTGCAAGCTCGGGTGGATAAGCCATTTGGAACTGAAGTTTTTTGTTTGGGTCAATTAGAAATGCAGCAGTGATGGTTTTGAATGCATCCTTTTCTAAGTATAGCTCAGATTCGAAGAGGTCAAGATCCAATGCCAAGCTGTATTTTTCATCTGCGATAATCGGATATTGAATTAAGTGATTCGTTTTCGATTGAATATCACTTATACATTCATTAAGTGAATGCAAGGAGTTATGTGATACGACAATTACTTTAACATTTCTTTCTAGCAAACGATTACGCAATCCAACTAATTCTGAGGCAGAAACCTGATTAAAGTTGCAGGAAAGTAACAAACACCACCTGAGAAAGTGCAAGATGCTATTAAGGCTTTTTCAATTTATACATACGAGGTTTCCATCCAATCATAAAATTGTACAGGACCCAAGGTGGTCTCCGCTTTAATATTTGGGAAAATTTCACCTAATTTTAACATTTTCAACCAAATTATTCAAAATTCGTTCAACAACAAAATTTCGAATCACAGTTGTAGCAGTGTTGCCAACACTCTTAACGTGGTTCAAATGCTGCTTATGAATGTACAGGATGCTCAACTAGCAACATATATACGGTCATACAATGATACGGTGCATCACATCATCGTTGCCATATTGAACATACATAAGAGTATGTTCAATGTCCGTTGTACAGAATATTCGTCACAACATGTTACGGTCTTTCCTTTAAACATTCACACATTAATTGAGGACTTACTAGTTATCCACATCATTTTTGTTCCGAATGTAATGGTGATGGAGCAGTGAACTTTGTCAAATATCTTTGAATGAATATTCGTGATGTGACGCAACAATCATCCGCGGTCATGATAACTAATAAGTAATAGTGTGCTTGGGAAGCCCCAAAAAATTAAAATCAGATTCTACAAAATAACATTGATGTAAAGCTCACACTTTCATACTATTGGTGTCTCGTAATACTCCCCTGACATCAGGGGTTAGACCCCATATGAAATATAGGTTCCGGTTCCGCACCATTTAAGTAGAATCATTTTTTAAGGGTTCCGGTACCGTGTTCGGTTCTGTGGCTTTAGTAATTTTCGGTCCCAGTTCCGGTTCCAGTTTTTTTTTCGGTTTTTAAGGGTTCCAACATAAATAAATAAAATTATTATTAAAAAATGTAAATTATTAATAATTATAGAAAATTCTATTCTGTCTTTCTTACTGTTTTTGATCCATTTTATTGGTATTAGCATTGAATAATACATACAATTGTATTAGTCACTCTAAAATATTTTATATTTGTTTAGTACCTATTAAAAAGTGAAGTTGGTAGAAGTTGGTTGGCAGCTCTGAATAAAAGTGACAATTTGAATTTTTGACTTTTGAAATAGTCGATAAAGGATCAGTCACGGATGATAAGGAATGAAAGCGGATATGAAGAAACAAATTTTAGGGGCAACAATATAACACGCATTTCCTCTCGCAAACCGTAACGTGTCGACTCTACCTAGAAAAAGACGAAACCGAAAAGTACCGGTTCTTTAGCACTAATAATAACGGTACCGGTGTCGGTTCCGGTTATCATAACTTTTTAAATCACGGTTCCGGTTCCAAGTCAGAAGCTTATAAATGCAATCGGTTCCGGTTCCGGTGCCGGTTCTTTTCGGTTCTAGTTCCAACCCTTACCTGACATCGATCACATGTGTAACGTACAAAACTGAAGTGTGTTCAGAGTAGGATCCCGTCCATCGGTACGAAGAACGTAAGTTGCCGTTTCTACTTGGCCAATGTTAGATTTTCGAAAGACCTCGGTTAATTTTGTGCCCAAATCATGACACTTACCTCGAGGTTTTACATTTCATTTACAGTTCATCTTTGGGAAATGCGTAAATGAATTAAAAACGTGACATTAAACTGTGGTAACCTACCCCTACGAATAGGCAACACACCTTTATAAATATATTTGACAGAAAAATACGATACACACCAATCGTGCCAGAGAATTTTCATAACGTAGCTTGGGGAAAAAGTTAGCGTGGGTTAACGGAGATGGCGATGGTTTAAATGATTGGGTTCGGATCCACCTGATGGGATCCGAAGGAAAGATTCTTCCTCTATCTGCTCGAGTTTATTGCCTACTGCTTAAATGCTAATATTACATACTAGCATTATTTTCCCCTACTGCTTATTATTAACTACTAGCTACGTCGACAATGTGTCTCGCAGGATCCCGGGTTTTCTCAATGTCTATTTTGCTTGTTTTGTTTTCAAACGTTTTTCTACAGGTAGTAAAATACATAGTAAAGAGTACTATGGGTACTCTTTGGTATTATTCTTTCTTGTACTAACTATTTACCATTGAATTTCATGTCATAATTTGTTGTTATTTAGTATTTACATTTTTTAGTGCTGATATTTGAAGCGTGGCGTACTTCATACTTTAGTTTTCAGTACCGTTATTTGCATCTGTTTGGTTGTTATACTGTACAAATGGTTAACTATTTATTTATGCATTCACGAAGAAATGTATTTAATTATCCGTGTAGTGTCGCTCTGTAACCTTCGATTTAACTATTCCGTGGAGTAAGTACCTCATACCGTCCCATTCTTCGCTGTATCTGTTGCTTGCTCATCTCCTGCGGGCTGCAGCTCTTGTGTCTTAGCAATATACGGAGAAATCCTCTAGTTTGCTGTAGCCCGCGTAATGTAGTGTGACTGTGTTAGACAGTGAGGGGTGGGAGGCAGATTGGGTTCGGATTCGGCCACTATAACGCAATTGATTGTGTATTTACTTACGATAGTATTGTGAAAACCGGTGAGTTAGTGACGACAAACCAACGTATTTTCCGGCGTCATTTCAATATTAAAGGATTTTTTAAAAATTGAATACCACAAAGCTTGCTTTGCACGGTAATTGTATAATGTAAAACGGCATTACCATAGAGCTTCTTTATAGACGTTTGGCAACATCACAGAACAAAAAAACAGCGGCAACCTGGGAACATCTGTTTGTTTTAGGTAGTGTTTGGTTGTCGATTTAAAAATTTTCGATTTTGATTTTACTTTTATATTTTTATTTATTTATGTATGAAAATTCTAAAAGCGTAACACAATTACAAACAAAATGTTACCAACAAATCGTGCAAGTCCTGCTGCGTTTAATTCATCCCCACAATCAACAGGTAAGGGTTTGTTTTTTACTTTATAGTCATACTTCATACTTCTCTCAATTGTAGAAACTCTAAACAAATCTTCAGATGAAATTTTATTTGAAACCCTTATGAAGGATCCTATAAAAAAGGCTTTTCTGCTGAATATCTTATCACAAGAAAAGGAAAATATACAAAGATATAAACGGCGGGACGAAATGGTTAATAAAACTCCCGTTAAGGTGCAATCACAGAAATATTGTGAGAGTCCCACCGCCTTGCTACGACGTAGAGCTTTACAAAGGAACCGTGACAGCGATTCTAGCTCGACACGTTCACCTCCCACACCTTCGACGCCTGTTGACTTTGGTGAGCTACTCAAAGGTGTGGTCGCATACGTAGAAATTCGTAGCAAAGGTGAAGATCGGTCAGCTGGTGCAAAGATGCTGATGCAATCGATGGGTGCTACTGTTTTGGACGTTTTGAATAGAAAGGTTACACATGTCGTGTTTAAAGTAAGTATCATTTCTGACGGTAAATGTTCTAATGCGCAATTCGTAGGACGGGTCTTTCGGTACATATCAAAAGGCGAAGTTGTTGAAGGTGCATCTCGTATCAGTCTTATGGTTGGAGGCCATACGGAAAAGCAATATCCGTGTGTCTGAGCGGAACTACCCAGCTTTAGGTACAGATTCGTACGACATCAATGTTTCGGCCCTCTACCAGGTAGGTATTAAGTACTTGCTTGGCCTTATATTTTGAAGTTAGTAAAAGTGAGGTTAAGTATTTTAATGATGACATTTGAGAGTCCAATGGCAACTTGAGTTAATTATAGGTTTTTTTTAATGGAATGCTCCTTTTTTCTGTTCATTACTGAATTTTAGACCAAAAAATCAGGGTAGTTTGGTCGACTTTTGGCTCTTTTTGGGGCTTTGCTCAGATACATGATGACCCCGACCGTGACTTCGCCTGGCGCTGTTTACTTATTACACTCCTTTTTTCAAATTTGAGTATTTTAGATTTATATCTTCATATCGGTCAGTCTGTAATCTCATTTCCGGCTAAACGGCTGAACCAATTGCAACCAAGTTTGGTACACATATTCTTGGACATAAAAGGAAGAGCTGAAAAGCGTTTGGAAAGAAACGCGCATGCGCAAGTGGTTCAAACTTCCATTTTCTGCGAAACGACTGAACCGATTGGAACCAAATTTTTAGGCATAAAAGGGCAGAATCGCAGGTGTGTGGGTGGTATCTGTGCTAGCCACAGTAAATTTTTTGCTATTGCGCAACTAGGGTTGGCAGATTGAAATTAGGCTTAATCCAGAGTACAGGTGCACGCTCGAAACTACAGAGGGCGTCGTACCAGAGAGGTGATTTTGAACAATTTTACACAAATAATTATATGTTCCCTAGGTGCCAAATTTTAGTTGTTGATTATGCGAGTTTTAGGTCCTTCGTTCATAATGATTGCTTTTAGGTATTAGTATACCAACCTAATATTTCAGGACTCAACATATAAATTTAAAAAAACAATAATCATTCTAGAAGAGGGTCGAGAGGCCCGCTTCGTTTTCACATAATATGGTTTTCAGGTAAAATAAGTTGGGTCATTTTGTTATTGTATTATGGTTAATAATTTAATAAAAGTTACTTGGTATTTTATTGTCTGTCTTCAGCGTCACAACCTCAATTTTTTGAATAAAACATCTTGTAGATTTTAACCCATAAAGATAGCATGTTAATTTTTTTTCGATCTACAATGGCAAATACAGCTCCTATAGATAAGACAGTGAGAATGTGTTAATTTTTTTTCGATCTACAATGGCAAATACAGCTCCTATAGATAAGACAGTGAGAATGTGCCACTACATCACTAAAAAATTTATACAAAATTTTCTCCCTTTTTTAACCTTTTTGAATTTTTTTGAACCGCTTCAATTTTTTTTTAATATCCTTGGTGTGTTATATTTTTGAAAATAGAATTTAATGTTATTTTTTTTTCATTTAATAAAATGAGGTTAGGTCCGATAACTTCTTTACTTAACCCCATATGCTTATTTTGACAACAATAGAGAATTTAACTTGACAATTTTTTGATTTTACTTGTTTATTTGACCCTCAAAGAGAGTGAATGGCCCCTATGTTATTGTTCTGGTATTACTAAGAATTACGCCTAAAATGGGATACTCTGTACATACTTTCTCAATTTTTTAGAGGTGTGTTCAATGCGTGTTGATTTCCTTCCATTTCCAAAGTTTTTATGTAAGTACCTTTGAAACACATTCGATGTATTTACTATCATTTGATTTCCTTTTGTCGGTTATTACCGAGGTTATTACTAAACCCTCGTCCGTTTCCAGAATCGTTTGTCCTTTTCTGCGCCTTGGTGCTTCTTTTGTGATCATTTGATGAAAGCGCTAGCGAATTCTTTAACTACAATTGCAATTTCTTGAAGAAGAACCTGCCTCTTTATTTCTCGACCCGCTCAACTTAGCGGAGGTCGCGCGCCTCTTAATGTACTATTTATTACCGTTTGTAGTAACTAATTCGCGATTTTGCTTTCAGTTGATATATGTAAGTTGTTTGGATTTAAGGGAACACTACTAACTAAAGTAAGTATATCAAAATAATAAAATATATGAAACATTCATTATGTCTAATTTTTTTGTATATCTAAATTGCTATGGCCCCACGTTGGGCGCCAAATAAATAATGCTGTGTGCAATGGTCAACTACACCACTCGCCTTAGCATTGAACACTTTTTACAATTACAAATTTGTATTGCACCTTTTCACCATTCTTCCTGCCAATGTCAAAATTAAATGAAAATTAATCCTCAGGGTCGTAATATGGGTTCGATTCAACATACATTTGTACATTGAAAAAAAATTATTTCGAAAACCCGACATCTCCATACTCCAGTAGTAAAACCAGTCATGATTTCGGCATGCAAAACCACATATCTGATATAGTTATAAGATTATATAATATATTGCGTCCCTTGGGTTAATTTTTCTTACGCTTTTTTGCATTTTGGTCTTGCCATGACTTGCACGTTTCATCCAAAAAGACACATTTGACAATCTCCGCTTGTGTGAAACCATCAACATCGCTAACGAGTTTCTTACATTGCCTTTCTTATTTAGAACTTTCTAGATCCAGAGGTTTGCCCGATTTTGAAATTTGTGAAATGGAAGTCACTGTTCGCGGGCTAATATTTAATGCCTCCTCAACTTTCTGTGAAATGAAACTTACTGGTAAAAGTGGACCATCATTATCTCTTTCTTGTTCAAAATAACGAATAAGATTAGAAAGAAGGTGCTTACTTTTTCTTGGTAAATCCGATGGCATTTTTGCCATTAATTAATGAAAAGGGTAGCAAACAGTTGTGAAATTTGACGTGTCGCAATGTAAACGTAAACTACCACAATTTCGATTGACAGGAAAATTCTACTTTATAAGTACTAGCCACACGTAATTTTCGCCACAGCATCGGCAGTAGATTTAAAAATTGATTTGGCCAATTCTTTATAGGATTACGAAAACGTTGTAAGAGACGAGCAACGCCGTAGTCTCGCGGCAGGCAGTCAACGAAGCGCGTTTGCCTCACAAAAAAGGAGCCGATTAACAATGCTGCCTAGTGAGCTTTATTCGACCAATCGCGAAAGTGTTCGCCTCAGAGAAAGAATGTCGGATATCGTTCGTTCTAGTCAGGAGTACGAAACGGAATCCATTATATCCTTTAAAGGTCCCCTCAGTAATGAACCACCGGATAGCGCAACACTTTTGGGTCGCGGTGAAGAAAACATTATCGAAATGACTTCTGATGATGATTCCGAGGTCGGAATGATTAATGGCCATTCAATGAGCCAAGTAAGAGATTCCGCCATTCTGGATTTGGATGCACAACTAAGTCAGCATCCGGAACAAGATCGGTCAAACTCGACCGGTAATAGAATTTCGAAATCGCTATCTACGCCATCTGAATCTTTGCTGTCCAGAAAATCTTTGTCAAAGACCAATGATATGATAGTCGAGATGAAGTTAACAGCAAATCGTTCGGTGTCTTTAGATGAAGAAAGTACTCGTTCAAATGGTTCAAGACAGTCTTGCAGAAGCCTTCCTCTGCCACAACTTACATTGCCTAGTGTAGCACGTAGGACTAAAAGTAGTGAAACTATGCCGAGTCTACGAATATCAGGAGACAGTGTACCTACTCAGCCCAACATGCCTCCACTTAGGATATCAGAAACCGAATCAGATACTAGAAGAACTCGTTCCTCAGCCGACAAAGTCGATATGGCTCCACTACGCATCTCTACAGAGTCCGAATTAAACAATAATACTGGCAGTGAGTCAAGTACAAAAAAAAGAAATACTCATAGAGTGAGTCAAGTAGTCCCTAATAGCCCGTCAAGTACAAAGCGTAAACTTTCAGATAGGTCAGATGAAAATAATGTGCCTTTAAACTCCGATCTGAATAAAAGCGGAAGTACTGTTGACGATGGTAATCCGCCTAGTCAAACGGAATCGGTCGGTAGCAAGAAATTACGGCGCAAACTTTTTAATCTGAATCAAGCTATCGACCCCGCCACGCAGTCGCTTGAAGTTGTAGAGGATCAACCGCAACCTCAACCTGCCCTAAATACCAAAATACTTGTAGTACCTCTCCCGCGCATGTCTTTCGATGCCATCGGTGGATTCGTAAAACCTTCAAAAAACATTGTCGTCTTTCCGATAAGAAAGAAGAGGAGGTATCTTGCGAACAAGAAGTTACGCAATGGTTTAAAGTCTACGAAAAAGGTATTGACGAATGCGAAACCGACTAAAAAGAATGAGTCCGTTGATGAGTACGACCCGGTTTCTACCCAACAATTAAAATCATCGAAGGATGCACCCGATCGAAGACACAGTACAAGAATTGAAAACGCCAAAACCCCAAGAACCGATCAATCAGACAAAGAAGAAATCGTCACAACGTCCGACGATCAGGCCGAAAGCCCCGCGAAGCGGCGGTGCACTATCAGAATTAACGCTTCGCAATCGCACATCTCGTCCCAGTTGCAGAATCGGCGAAGCACGGGCGAATTTCTCGCTCATTCTAGTACTAAAACGCAACGATCTCAAAAGGCAAAGGCGGGCAAACCAAGCATCGTCTGCACGCGTCTGCATAGGTCCGACGTTCAAATGTTCATGCAGATAGTTCGGAAGTTAGGCGTATTTTTGGTCGAGGATGAGGTTAGCAAGAAAACTACACATTTGGTTGTCGGAGAGTGTAAAAGGACCGTTAATTTATTAAGGGCGTTATGTAGGGGATGTTGGATACTTACGCATGAGTGGGTGAGTAGCTTTTGTTTATGTCTATATCGATTTATCGACAGTCTCAATTTTTAATGCCTAGAAGTGAGTTTTTCGAGTACACATTTTTTTCTTGAAATATACAGGGAGATTCACGTATCCCGTCCGTTATAAGTTTTTAAACTTGCAGTTGAAGTAGAAACTTGAAGTTTGGTTCACAGCCATAATCGACCATTGCGAATTGAAATAAAATAATTTCAAGATGGCGGTGCTTTCGTAGATACCGGAAGTTGGCGCCATCTTGTTTTTTTACATAGAAACATTTTTATAAATGTCCCATTTTATTCTGGATTCAAAGCATTTCATATTTGCGCACCTGTGTGTCATAGTTTTTGACATATGTCAATTTTTGCCTAAAAATCTTTATTTAATTTAATTTATATCTTTTAAATCGTTCAAGTGAGTGCTCTTCTTGTAAGCGGATCCTTAAAGTTCAAGGAAGTATTTAAGTGACGGCTGAAAGTGTTGAAAAAATTTCCAGGGTCGCTGCGATTTTTCAAAATTAACAATCAAAAAATGTCAAAAACTTGCAACTACTACTTACCTATTTCCGATTCACTAATGGCGGCGTTTTTGTTTCAATAATAATGAAAAGAATTAACAATTCAACCATTTCTTTCCTCTTTTAGTAGTATTTTTAAGGTCACTTATTAGCTAAGTGATGAAAAGATATTATGTGAAGTTCTGATCACAATTGTAATATTTAACTCTGATAATAGTTCGAATTACGTAGTACTTCATTTTGGGTACGAGTTCAACATGTTTTAAAGATAAAAGTAAAGGACCTCGTCTCTCTTTGCCCGTGGTGGGCATGGAGCTAAATCATTCCACATGTTCCAAACAACATTAAAGCATAAACAGCAATTTTCACACCTCTTAGTCAAAATACAGGTGATCAACAAAAATGCGTCAAATTCACTTCTTTGGCATCAAACAAGTGCGTGTGGTCATTTGTGCAAATAAAATAAGAATTTGAACATTCGCATCAAATTTTCTTTTTGGGTCTCGAAAGAATGCGTTTAAGTGTTTTTCCAACGAAATCGGTGCATGAATAGATTTGACATTTGTTGTCATGGATATAGATGCTAACAATTGTTTAGATATACGTTAGATTGAGTACTGCTATTCACTTCTGAATTTAAAAAACTCCAAGGCAATAGCTAAGAAGTTGCTGTGGTCGCGTAAAGAGTTGCTAAGGAACGTAAAAGGTTGAAAGGAGGTGGTTCACCTCCTGACATTCTTTGATACGTATATGACCTATGACTGCCCAAACCGAAACACTCCTTTTTTAAAAAATCACCGACATACCGCAGTATATTATACTATAACTTATTACCCCAAACCTCGCCCCAAACAATAAAAAGTAGCCGATCACTGAAGCAGTTCAAAACCAAAATACGACGTTTCCTAGCGGCCAATGTTATTTATAATGAGGGCGAGTACCTCTCTGTATTGTATGTGAAAATGTTATTGTCCATTAAATGTTTGTTAGTCTGACGTTGTAATACAATTGTGCATTGTTTTTTACAAAAATAAAAATGAAATGAAATGACAGAAGTTCTCAACCTTTTAGACACTGCGATCCCTTTTTTATAAAAGTATTAGACATTGTTGATGAATTGACAAAACCACATAGTATCAAATAAGCGTATTCAATAAATTTATAATCTTTATATATAAAATTCTTCTGTACGTATATTGTGACTGAACTCCTCCTGAACAGCTGATGGATTTTCATGAAATGTTGTGTATGTGTCTCTGTGTGTCCCCGGATAGTGTAGATTCACAATTGGGGCCGATTGAAATATAGGGTTTTTTTTAAACCTTCTTTTTTCGTTGATGTCGCACTGTGCTATTTCGCGTACCGCGGAGGAAAGTCGAGTAGTATAATTAATTCTAACTCAGAACACAATTAATTCACTGACAATAACAGAAATTTATTCTGAAACACAGAATAGGATTAAAACGAAATCTGTGAAAGAAAGAGGGGCTTATAAGGCCTATTTGGACATATTACCCCGCACGCAGGTGGACGACAATTAAAATAAGAAATCTTATATTACGTACAGTTTTTGCCGAGGTTTTTTCTTAATAATCAAAACAATTTCTTCGTAAAAAGTTTGTGATACTAGGCGCACTTAACTCACACAAATGCTGACAGTTTCTGAACTTCACTTTGCTTTACAACACAGAATTAGATGACAAATTTTCGGAAGGTGTTCGGACGGTAGAAAACGAAAGGTCTCGCTGTGTACTGCAACCTAGACTACAACTTTTTCCGTAAACAACACGCGTTCTAGTTCTCACACAACTTTGGTTAACTTGTTTCTGCTTAAATTTATTGTAAAAATGACGGTCTGCGTCTTCAACTAAACAGATAGGGCCGACTGCCCGAATATTTAGCGTAACCAGCCCCGTTTTTCCGGTGATTCTCGTATTTAAAATACCACCCTTTCCACTACACCAAAATTTCCTTTTTTATGAAAAGTTCAGAAACCTCACCAATCACCAATAGCTTTTATAATCACAGCTTCGAAAAAGCACGTTACACGTCTCCACTTCCGCACGTCTTCGTAGCACTTGCAGTTGCATCTTCGTTATCAGCACCAGATGTGCATTTCCTTGAAATGAATGAGGTGTTACTTGCTAAATCCCCTTTATCGCAAACGAAATACAAACCTTTTATAAAGTTAGCAAACCGACCAGCATCCTATCTAAATTGAACAATTCAAAAGCGAAAAAATCAAACCGAAAACAACGCAATTACAAACAATTCTAAAAGGAAAAAACGAAACAAACTAACATCGCGTTTATTAAGTAAATAATCTCCCAGATGCACTTAAAAAATTGAAATATTCTCATATACAGGATGTCTCATCATTATATTTGGTGTTTGGGCAGAGATAACGCCTAAATGACGTTTGCACAACAAGATATTATTTTCATGATGAGTTCACCTTTCCCTATACGTATGGTCAACTGTTTTTAATTGTCTTGATTTTTTTTGAATCTGGAAAAATAGAATTATTTTCAACAACGCTCCTTTTATCCATTTTTGACTGATGTTAAGCACTTCTGGGGTAGGTGGCAGTATGTATAGGAAAGTTACTTTCGGATCCTCATTAGCAATTATTTTATCGCATACAGGGTGTCCTAAATGTTAAAAACGTTGGTTTTTTTCAATTGTGACACCCTGTATATCATTTGACGACCATAATTGATTTATACATTGATTGGTGTTCCATTGAAAATAAGCAAGTATAACCGGAAGTGGGTATGTCTTATTGATGTTAGTGTAGTGTCAAATTTTCAAAATATTCCTAGGTCACCTTTTTCAGATGCTGATAGCCGACGTTCGTTGTAAGACACCCTGTATGTATTACGCGGACCGCTTCGCTCTTTAGATCGAACGTATTTCGAAGGGAGCTTGCAGTTTCAGTTCGCGAGACAATTCCATGCTGGTGTAAAAATTTCACCGAAAGTTCTGTTGCTAAAAAAAGTTATTCTCAAAAAAATCTACTTCATTTGGGAGTTAGGTATGTCCCAAAATGTGTGCTTTTTCTTTAATTTTTTTCAGCAGATGAGGGGAGATTGAAAAGAATTGTTACAAGGTAGTGCCCCATCGGAAAAATAACACTACCCGAAATCCAGTTGGTTTAAAAATTTCGTCAAAATTTCGTTCCCCCAAAAAAGTTTTTCCTGAAATAAATCCAGGATCCAAAATGACTCGTAGGGACCTATACCCCAAAAGCTCCAAAATTTGCGTTTCTTTAATTTTTGTTGCAGCAGGTTACCGGTGGAGGAGAGCGGGATGAACAATTTTTACGAGGTAGCGCTTTTTAGATTATGTCAAAACCATTGTGTTCTAGAAGCGATCAGAACAAACTTTTTTTTCTAATTAAACCAATGATCCAAAATACTTCATTTTGTAGCTACGGCCTCAAAATCCCAAAATTTGCGGTCCTTTTTTTCTCAGTAAGCAACCGAGGTTGAAAGGGGGCAAAAACGAATGAGAATGTGCCAAATTCTTGACAGAACAGAACAGAACAGCTTCCTAGCTCAAATCAAAAATCGCGCTTCTAGAAGAGTGTCTTCTATAAATGTTAGGGGCACGGAAAAAACGTTTCCTACGAAAGTTTATTATTTTCCGATATAGAATAAGAATATTCAATAGAAAGTATAGGTTTCTATTTGAAAAAATTAAGTTGCTCTAGATAATATAAAATCGACTGTCTCAAGATATAGACCCCAATTCGTCTGGATTATGCAGATGCAGTTAGACCCCAATCAATCATCCCCTGAAACAGATACATTATCTAGGCAAAATGCTTGCTGCAAAGTATCGTATATAACAACCCCCGATTTGTATTACTGTTCTGTTCCGAATTCCATGTCTTATACTCGGAAAAGAAAACGAAATTTATCCTTTATTCAATTAATAATTCGAATTTGTTAGCGAGAGTCGATAATTTTTATTTTATGATACGTTCTTTCGTAAGTATATCGGGCCGGGCCGCACTGCATTTTTGTAGGCTACAGGCCAGCTTTGTAAAGTGCCACAGTTCAAAGCGGTCTATGAATAGTGCAGAAACAGAGGAGCGTTTTTTAGTAACTTTTAGCTTTAAAACGTGTGAAATTCGTACTCTAAACCAGGTACTACATTTGAAATAGAAGCGAGTTGAAGTCATAGTGAGCACATACAATCAGGTAAGGTAAGGTGAACATTTAAAAGAATTGCATAATTAGGTTATAATTTCAATACGATTCTGTATACCTAGAAATTAAAAATATCTACTTGTGGTTTTAAGAATACTCAGTAAAAACTAAAAATTGTGTTTGTCCAAAGATTGTTAACAAATGTTATGTCATATTTAGTTAACTTTTCCGAGACATCTTCTATATTTTGAAATTGTACAGCTCCTACGATCTCTTGAAGCCGGGAAATGGCTTCCCGAGGAAGATTACGAACTGACAGATTTTTCCTCGGCCGTCCAAGTAAGTACGCGGCGCTGTCCTATCGACGTAATAATCGAGAATTTTCAGCAATGTCGCCGCGAGAGGCAGGTCTTTGGTAAGTTGTACTGCATGGACATTTTTACCGATTGCGGTGCGATGTACGTGTCCCGCAATTCGACGCCAAGAAGGTCCGATCTGGAGGAGTTAATTCGACTGTGTAATGGGACGGTGGCGAAAGAAATTTATCACGCGAAGATTATTGTGGGGGATTGGGTGAGGAGTGATGAGATTACCTGCGTTAATGAAAAGTGGATTTTGGACTCGATCACGTTTAATAAAAAAAAATCTTTTAAGAATTATTTATTTAAATTTCCAAAATGACTGTATGCTTCCAAAATAATGTGCCTTATTTCTACTGCCATTAAATACAACTGTTGCATATATTGGTAACTTTTTTACCTGAAACTGCTATCCATTATCCATATAAGCCATTTTAATATCTAATATATAAATTGAATGTTTTTTGTATGCTAACTTTAGTCCTGCCACTCCCATCCTAAAACTTTGCTCAATTTTACGTCTCTGTTATTTGACTGAAGGGGCTCTGACATACGCATAGTGATCCGCACTAATGTACTTGTAGTCAGAGGCTTTGGAAGAATGCCGAATGTACGCACATATGGTTTATAACTTGGCAGGGCCTTAGCCAGAGGGGGCAAGAGCGGGCGCCCGCTCTTGAAAATTACCTAATATGACGCAATATAGCATGATCAAACATAGAGGAAGGTGCTTGGTATTCGGAATTATGTCACCTATTAAAATTTGATAATTTAACGTTTGTGTATAAATTATTTGCTCTATATAGGGTGGCCAAATTTGGTCGTTAGTATGTACCCCATACAACTACCTCTTAAACTATAAGTGATACAAATAAATTGACCTCGCAGTTTCAATGTATTTTTTTGAGATAAACTCGATGTTGAAATCCAAACTGGCCTGCAGTCTTTTGTTTTTCACTGCAAAAGTTGCATTTTTTTATTTTTATATAAAAGTATAATATCTTTGTTTATTAAGTAATCAGAAATGTGTTTATTACAAATATTGTTTTATAATCTACCATTTTCAAAGTAAGTTTACGAGGTCAAGAAAAAAGTTATCGGACCTAACCTCATTTTTTAAATGCAACACATCTAAACAGCCGCAATACTAAATTCTCTTTTCAAAACTATGGTGCACAAGGGATGATAAAAAAAAGACTCAAGCTATGCAAAGAAATTCAAAAAAGATTAAAAAGGTTCTTATAATAAAATAAAAAATAAATTTTACCCAATTTTTTTAAACCTTCGAATTGAATCCATTTAAAAAAGGGTCTGATAAGTTTTTTACCAGACCCTGTATACTTATTTTAAAAAACAGCAGATTATGAAGAATCATTGCAAAGAAACTTTTATAATAAACACGTTTCCGATAACTTATAATAAACAATAAAATTATAGGCTTTTAGTTAACAGTAAAATGTGTAGTGTACTTAACCCCCAGCTTCTACGCTAACTTCACACTACAAGAACACGGAAATAAAGTCAACCCGGCAACGTTTAAAAAAATGGCCACCCGAAACAAGATCTCGCTTAAATTTGAAAAGTGGCACTGGCACGTGATCAAACATCTAAGGCAGGACCCCCTTACGCTAGTTGTAAACAACGCTATGACCTGAAGCACAGTAGGGAAGGAATGTAAAATATAACACACAAATTGTGAAAAGTTTATTTAATAATGGTCTCAATTATCATTGATTGTAAAAGCCGGGAAAATTAGTTGATGTACATTAATATAAACAAAGTAAACAAAGCCACAAGGTGTCGTACGCTCACAAAAGTAACTGCTAAGGGTAAAAAGAGTACGACGTAAGAAAAACCTCGCAGTTTGATTAATACAGTCCAAAAGTTAATTAACAAAATATTTTGTAAAAGTTTAGGCAAAGGCAAAGATAGTAAATGCATATACACAATGTTGGTTACACTCAAGGTTAAAAGCAAGTTTTTGGGAACAATGGGTCAGGTAGGAGCAGGTACCCAAATTCTGAGAAAGGGTTAAGAGTACAGGACGTGACTCATCTTTGGTGAAATAAAGTTCTTTTGTTAAAAGCAAGATGGAAAATTACATGGCCTTGTAAGACAAATTTAACTAAAAACAAGATGTGTGGAAAATACTGAATCGCCACTCATTTATCGCACATAGATTCTAAACTGAAGACCTTTGATCAGCGTAATCCCGCTCCTGCAAGATGGGTAGCCTGCCCCTGGTTTCGGGGTTTCGAGCCTACAGTTGAATGTCGAAAACAATCACGGAATTAGGTGTCGTACTTCAAATGGTTACAGTTTTTACCATCCCCGTGGCTGCTTCAGTCATGTAGAAAATTGTAGTAACAAACAACAAGCCAGTACATTCATCCAACGAATCGGTAATTTCCACATATTAAAATAAAATGATCAATACTTATTATGAATGTTACTTTAGGGACAAGACCAAGTAATCAACATCAATAAACATAAATTAAGCAAGCATTACACCAAAAACGTAAACAATTACAAACAATAGCATAACGGTATCACATAAATGTGTATTCTGGATGACGTTTTCCCGCCTTCAAAATGCAAGCATTCTATTGGTTTAGAGTTACCAGACCTTTCTAATAAAACAACCTTGATTCAAGACAAGATAATGAACGTAACCCCCGTTCGTGCGTTTTAGAAGGCGCAGGCAGCTTTTTCCTACCTAGAAATTGCATGGTTACGAACTCTCAAAAATGTATGTATGTATCGTCGCAAGTTGTATATACAGGGTGGAACCTCTCAGGACCATGGATAAAAAAGGCTCTTGCTCTATAACAGTCGGGGAGAAGATATGTGTATTGTTAATTGTGTTGAAGTGTGCGAAATTCAGTGATATTTTTAAATCAAGTGAAATGAGGGTGTTTTCAACATACTTATCAGTAGGTAATCACCTTATTGATGATGAAATTTGATTCAAACAGATTTTAGATTTACAAAAGATGACTAAATTTACCCGATCTCATTTTTCAGCATGTAAAAAAGGGCAGAACAATAACTGCACAGGCGTACACTCCAGCCAACAGTTCCTTTAGATCATTATACAGGGTGCCCATTACATTATGTATGGAATATAGTAAATATCGACTGTATACAACATTTTTCCATAAGAAAGTTGTTTAACATTTTATTTCCCATAATAAGGCAACAGTACTTACTGTTTTTATTTTAGAAAACAAATAACGAAACACCATTGAATTTTTTTAAATAGCAATGCACTCTTTAATTAGAGGCTCATTTAAGAGATATTTTTTTTCTCTTTTCAATGACGTAACACGTTAGCACCCGTGTAGAAGAAATTAAGTTTTATTTCAAGCCTTTTGTGATATGTTATGCCACTGCCTTGCAGTTATAGTATTTTACATTATTAGCCAGGTAAGTGAGTTTTTACTGGCGATAGGAGAAGTTGACCCAGTATACCTGCATGTTATAAATTATTGACACAACCTTATCGTTGCTTAGCAACCATATATGCTGTGACATGTATAACACGCCATTTTTAAACAAGACGCAGGTGAAGGTATAACGAAACGGGATGGACTTTGCATTGCAAGAGTAGGTACTTGGTTTTAATTTTAAAAGCCCATATACTAATACTTACCAAAAATCTTCCTCCGTAGTCGTTGCTTATACTGCAGCTGGAAAATGACAGATGACGTAACCTCATCAGCGATAAATGGCGCTTAATGTGACTTTAAAACAACAATTTGAATTTTTTGCGCGGTATGGAGCGAAAGGTACGGATGGTGACAAAATTACATTGACAAATACAGATTATTGGCTGCGACAGGCCAAAATTCTTGACGACAGGAAGGTTACCTTGACAGATACGGGTGTTTGTTTCAACAAAATGAGGTACCTAAAGGTCATAAGCACGTTTCGCCGATCCATAATACTTCTGCGATCAATTTTAGATCAAGAACTATAACTTTCCAACAGTTCATGGAATTTTTGGACGATTTATCTACGCTGAAAAAGTTGGACATGCAAAATTTGCAAACACAACTGACCGAATGCGGGATGCCGGGCGATGACGAGAAGAAACAGGAAAAGGTAATTTGGAAACGTTTCAAAACAGATCTAATCTTCGAAACTTGTTTTAGCCAAAAAAGAAATGAAATCTCGAGATCAGTCTGTAACAATACCTACCAGAAATATAATTACTATTTATTAAATTAGTATAACATTCAAACAATTTATTACATAATATGCATGGAAAATAATTTTTGAACATCAATCAAATATCGATGGCGTTAATTACATTTCACATAAAAGTTTCATATGATTGGTGTAGAGTGTATAGTGTATCTAATTAATTGTGTTTGCGCGTGAAATTAAATTTAAAAAAAGAATCTGGCACTAGCAGCGACTTAGATCTCGGAAGTCCGGGATTCCTGAACTAAATACACTTGGGATCCAGGTACGCTGCTTGTGGTAACGAATGTGCGGTGTTTCGCGCGAATTAAAGAAAGATTGCTTTCGGCTGTGTCGGCGCGATCTTCGGCAGCTTCCAATTCCCTTTGGAAGCGACGTACACGAGTTACACTTTGCTGGGACATGCCCTCCTAGAAAACAAGATTTAGGGAAAACCTGGAGAGGTGCAAAGGAGACGTACCTGTTCGGTGAGCTGTCTCTTGAAGAGCATGAGTTTCTGGTTGGACTTGTCGAGGGCCTCTGATAAGATGGAGATGTTCTTTTGGTCTTCTTCGCATTGAATCATCACTTCTTTGACGGTGCGTTCCTTCTTGCGGAGGATCTTGATGGTTTCGGCGTGGCGTCTCTTTTCTTCGTCAAGTTCCAATTCGATGTCGCGAATGCGAGCTTCAAGTTTGCCAATGATGCGTTTACCGCCAACAATTGCGTTAGCTTCGACTTCCTCAAGACGAACGGATAGGTTTTTAACTTCGATCTCCAGTGACTTCTTAATCGCCTCGATCTTCACCACTCGCTCCTGTTCCTCATGGAGAATCTCGACGGTGTGTTTTAATTCTACCTGTAAGTCTACGGTAAAATTGTGAACGGAAACTGGGCGACTATACCTGGACGCGTTGGTAACGTTCATCGGAAATACGCAACTCTTTCGTGATTTCCTCGTAGTCTGCTACAACAGTTTGGAGTTCCTGCTCGATCTTGACCTTGGTATTGTTCAAGTTAGCGTTGATTGTTCCCAATTCGTTGATTCTCGAGTGAGCTTCCTCATATTGTAATTCAACCGCTTTCTTGGCACGTAGGGCCTAGATCGAAAATGTGAAAGTTACGCCAACAAATAGAATGGAAATCTTACAGATTCGTAGTTGCCACGGATTTCTTCACATTCGGCCATCAAGGCTTGGTACTTCCTTTGGGTGACGCTAAGCGAGTCCATGGTAATTTGCAATTGGCGATTAATTTCGTCATATTGGGCGGTGATCTCGTTGAGTTGGAGAGATTGCTTCTTGACGGTCTTCTGAAGATCGATGTTAGTCTTGTTTGCGACATCCAGTGACATTTCCAACTCGGTGATTTGAATTTGCAACTTCTTCTTAATACGAGCCACTTCGGATTTGAGCCTGGTTTCCGCTTCAACGACGCGTGCATTTAGTTGTTCGATTTCAATGCTGGTCTGCTTGCTACGGATTTGCAAGTAATTAAATATAAATTGTACAATGAATGAGAAAGATGAAAAATGCGACCGGGTTAGTATAGTGATTTTGTTTTGACATAATGTCAATACTAATGAAATTGAAAGTAAATTTAGACTTGCTTTTAACGTAATCTAACTTGGCACTTGTGTACATAAATTAATAATCTGCACAAATGGCCGTTTCTATTTCCGTCCGCGCACACTACCTTTTATCGTAGAAAAAATCGGTAGTTTTTCTACTAAAGCCTTGCAAATCGGTACTGAGTTGACTCAATGGCTGGGTGATATTCTCATCCACACAATCGCTAACACTTCGATTGATAATTTTCACCCTCCGTTTAATATTGACTTGTTGGCCCATACTAAGATCGCTTTCGATATGCTCTGCGATCTTCTTTCTACTTTTGGATAACAATTGATCCTCAATGCACTTCGCAGATTTTCCACGTAAGTGTCTTTGCATTCCCTTCAGTTCACGTTCGACTTCTCTATCAAGATCAGGATCATAATCCAGAGCGTCTGCCATCTTCGATCTCACTTTACTAATTTGCCTACAAAGATCCTGTTTTTTTCTTCGACCCTTTTCGATCTTCACTTTATCGGTTAAAGACGCCGCCGAAACTGATTTACTCAATTCAAAACCACTAAATCTGTATTCGCGCAAGTCCCTTCGCACACTGGCACGTTCCGATAGTCGTGCAAGGTCCGGATCACTATAACTTTGCACTAATTTTCTCGACCTGCTGTAGTGCTCCAAGTCTCTGGGTAGGAGGGGATGCCTTGCATGAACTCCTTTCGCTCTTTTCTCAATGTAATCAATCATGGGCCTATAAAAACTGGAACCAAAGCCATAATTGTTCTCATAAAACCTTGTTTGAGGTTTTTGCCAGTTGTACTTTGAGGAACTCGGGCGCGACATTATTTTCAAATTGGGCTATCAAATACTTTTTGTACTACTTATACTTATACCAAATTTGATGTCTGTTTGCCAAACCAATAGCATATCGTTTCACTCATTAGCTGGCTCGTGTTATTTATAGATGATATTTAGCTCTGCAATTGCAATTTGTTGGCGATCTCACTTGCTTTTGTACTATTTTTGATTAACAACATTCGGCGATTGACGTTTCGGTCACATTTTCCGAAGAAAATAAAGACTGGGAATTGACAAAATTAAAAAAAAAATTCGCTCAGGAAAGATGCGGAGAACCTTAAGGGCAATTTTCGTTACATAGTGTTTGTGATTAAAATTCCTTTGCCTCCAATTTTAATTAATTGGCTTGGATCCATTCGGTTGTGTAAAGCAGGTAGGTACTGAGACACATATTGCAATAAGCATTTCGTAACATACGTTTCTCAATCTAACATTTGGAGACAATCCGTTCATTAACAAGAGACAATGTGCGAAAACTGGTACAGACAGTTACATAATGCCACTGGCGCCAGATTGCGATATTTATGTAGGTACTGTGAGATTGTTTACATACAGACTAAAAGTCTAAAACCCCATTTGGGATCAAGTTTTTGTAGAACTTGATCCATTTCAATTTGAAAAATGTCTTTACACAGATACCACCCGCACATCTGCGCATTGGCGATTATGCCCTTTTATGTTTAAAAATGCTTGCATCAATTTTGGTTCCAATCGGTTCAACCGTTTAGCCGGAAATGCGAGTACAGACCGACCGACAGATAGGCCGACATCATCGAGATTTTGTTTGATTCGTATTCCTGGTGCTTCTAAACGTGTATTTCCGTCAAAAAAGTGGGGGGGTCATTTTTTCCCCAATGCAACGCCTCCCTTACTCACGTGCGGGTGGTAAAAATTTGTGCACTTTATATACAGAGTGTTCCTAAATATGATCTAATTCTTTATTTTGGTTTATGATTAAAAATCTACATCAACATATATCCGCAAAGATTGCGTTGTAGATCTACAGTTTAGTGTTAAAATTTCAAGGTTTTTAAATTTTTTCCTTAAATCTCCTGCAGTTTTTGAGATTCGCTTAGATAAGTTACGCTGAAGGGCTTACATCATTTGCCATTTCAATACTGATGAGAATCTAAAGGGTGTTGTTGTTTAGAGATCATGTTCCTTCCATTATCTAACCTCCCCTGCACTTTTTCGGTGCGCTACTGGTATAGATTGTGAAACGTGTGTTTTGTGTAGAAACTTGTGCGTCTCTTGTAATTTTTTCGTATCTGTCTACAGTTGAACTATAACACCCTGTAGTTCGATAACGAATCTTTTGCGGACCTATGTTTACATGAACTTTTAGTCATAAAATAAGCCCAAAATTAGTCCCTTCCATATTGACATTATATTTAGGAACACCCTGTGTAATAAAAAATAGTGATTGTTATTTAAAAAAATATCTGCCGCCCCTTGACGGCACAGATGTACGCCACTGACCACGTTTTATAAATTATGAATACCATAAAAAGTTATTTGTTGCTTTGAAGATATATTCCACCCTGTATGGACATACATAAATTGTGCACAAGTCTTGTGCAGATAAAACGCATTTTTTTTTACCGAAATAGCTTTTGTTTTGACATAACCAATGGATATATTTTTTGCATACGTCTCAATCGCCCTTTGTGAGTACCCCCTCCACCCCGCACTTTTATAAGAGGACAGAAAGAAGGGCAGTAGATGTCAGAAAACGGTTCCTTTCGTTGAGATCTTTAATTAGAATACAATGAAAGATAGAACCCCCCCCGCCCCGTCGCTCACTGATCCCGAAGAGTCGTACGGGAAAGTTATAGTTTGTACAAACCAATTTATTTCGATGAGACCTTTCATGAAGGGTAGAACATGTGTTACCTCCTCCCCCCATTTTCTAAAGTTTAATTTGGCACCACTAAAGGCATGCGTATGCAAAATCTGAGACCAATTGGTTGTCGTATGTAAAAGTTATGCACGTTTTACTTTTAAAAACAGCACCTCTGGAAATAATTCGAGGGGGGGGGGGGTTAGACAGCGAAATTTGATGGTCGTCTAGTGGTGCCAAGTTGAACACATGTTCTACCCTTCATGGTACTCTAGTGAAACGTCTCAACGAAAGGAATTAATTTATACTAACCATAGTCTTCCTCCTGGATCCCTTGTCGTGATCGGTTATAATTCCTTATATCTTAAGAGTGAATTGTCAAAGGAAAGTACCTACAAAGGGCGATTGGGACGTTTGGAAGAAATATAACTATTGGGCATTTAAATAAAATTTGATACATAGCCACTTGGAATAAAAGCAAATATAACACTAGTTTCAAAATTTGGTTTTGCGCATGCGCAGTGACAACTTTCTTATTTATGGAGGCATTTAAATAAAATTTGATACACAACCACTTGGAATAAAAAAAAATTTAACATCAGTTTCAAAATTTAGTTTTGCGCATGTGCAGTGCCAACTTTCTCTTATGGAAGAAATTTCGCAGGGATGTTTAAAAAAATGCGCTTTACTTGCACAAGGGTTGTGCACAATTTGTACTTGTTTTTAATTCTTAAAAAAGCCGCTAAAAACCAAAGGAAACACGAAAGATCTTTGGGCACAAAGCAAGTTCAAACGAAAATTACAGTTTTGGGAGTGCAATAATGTGGAGAATCCAGTTTACGAAATGTTACAAAATTGTTTCGAGTGACAACTATGCCTACCTAAGAAGCGTTTGCTGCTCAAATTTCAAGAAAGTATCTTCACAAAAGGAAAATTGATTATGCGCACACATGGACGCGTTCTTTCTTTTGGTTAGAAGGGTTTATTCTTGCGGTGAAAATCTCCACAAACAAGAAAGTTTATTTTACGCATGCGCGCACAGTATCTTCGGCTTTCGGCTGATCTTGTACGTTCTGCGCATGCGTGAATTTGTCGTGGGAACGTTGGTAATCAGTAAAGTATTTTCTGAAACTATTTTGGTGGCTTTTCGGCCATAGGAGCGAGCGATTCTTTATCTCATGCAATAGTAAGAAAATGGTCATTCCATTAAAAAAAACTGAGTTTTTAGTCTTTGAAGTTTCATAAATTTGGATCTGCATAGGGGCGGTCGTACGCAACTTAACTTTTTTTAGGTGCAAAGAAAGCCCTATTCATTCTCTATGCACTGATAAAAATAGGTTACCATGACTACAACCGTTTTCAAGTAATCAATTATCTAAGGTACCATCTGCATCCGCCATTTTTTTTCTTAAAGTCAAAATAACTTAAAAACCATAAATGGCAGATATATCGACATGTGGGTATCAAAAGAACTGAAATATCATGTAGAATCCAAAAATGCAATAAAAATTAGATGTTGCCATTTAAAATAACGGAGTTACTATCTACTTCCGGGGTTTCCGGAAGTGCGACCATTTTGAAAATATTACATTGATTCGGCCTTCAGGAGTAACTCCTAAGTACAAATTTTCAAAAACTTACCTATTTTACTTTCCCAGAAACGTTTAACTAAAGCTCCCAAAAAACACCCTGTATACGATATGTACCTTATTTCGCAATACGTCTCGATACCGTACTGTTCATATCTGAGACCCACTAACACAAAGCGCCTCATTTTTTAAAGAAGATTACCCGAATGCTTAGAGCAAGAGAATGATTTATGAAGATTCTAAAAATTTTAAGTCTTCAAGTTCTGGAGGTTCTCAAGATTTTTAAAAGATTCTGTGCGGATTCTTCTGAAACAAATTTTAAGGTTCTAACAAAATTTCAGAGGTTCTAAAGATCTAATATCAATTCTAAAAAATAATTGTAAAAAGGTCTTTAAAACCTCAAAGGACAATTCCGTGGAAGCTGATTTTAAAAAAAGAAGTATGTTTGGCGTATATAGAGGCTGGAGATACATTAACCTTTAAATACAATGTTGTTATTTTACAGTCTTTATATCAACAATTTTTAAACAATGTTAGTCTGTATATAAAAGGCACGGTGTCTTGATTTAGCTTTGCTGATTTTGTTCATGCTAAAAGGTAGCCTCACTTTGTTTTGGTCAGTTTGCTTTATGAGTTCATTCAGTTAGGGCAGTTGAAAAAAAATTGCCATACTATACCTAATTCAATTTTTGTGTACATAGTTTGTGCTCCATATAACAAAAGGGGATGCGCTTAGTTGTAGGTAATTGTAATTATTCGCTTTATTGTAATGCCTTCAGCTACTTGTAAATTAGGGGTAGGCAACCCTTGAATTTATTCGTTTTTGCTTGTTTCACTTTAAATGTTATTGCTATTTTGATTTGTCTGAGATTGGCCAGTTGTCAATGTTCACTCGATGTTTAAACTTAGTTAGATTGACTAGTGAATTCAATTCTTTTTGAATGTCATTAACTGTTTCGTCCGTGCAGAGGGAAATGCCGAAGCTAGAAAATTACTTAGCGACATTCATCTCGAATACCACTTTAGTTTAAGGTTACCGTATCTAGGACCTTAGATACCTTCCGGGGAAGGTCAGGCTAATTAACAAGATATTTCGTGTACTTTTTATGTAAGAGACTTCGGAATGATATTTTTCACAAATGGGACAGGAGTGGACTTCCTTTGAAATCTATTTGATATTGTTCTTTAGGGACACGCGATTTGTCGTTTTAGTTTTTTGTCCATAGATGCCTTTAATTTGTTGATTTTTCCATGTTGTTTCAACAGTTGATTTATTTCTTGGAATCTATGTATGTGCGTCAGGCTTTTTCTTGTTGGTTCTTTTTTCCTGTCGATTTCGGTTTTGGTTCGCATCGTAAAATCAAGTTAACATGCCTAAAAATCTTCACTATTCTCATATCTTTTTACGTGCCAGACTACATTTACTGCTTTCCATTTGAGTGAAAGAGCAGCTCTGAGCTGTACCGTACACGATGCCCCGTGTTCCTTTTAAGAAAGCTTCAAGCTCTGACGCGCTCGAAATTGGATTTCCCTTGTCCCTTCATGCACCACCTATTTGCTTGGGGCTTGAAACACTTTTGTGGTTATTTACGTACTGTGAATATCAATTCAAATGTGTGCAAAATGAACAACTTGCAAAACGAGCTGCTCCGAACGAACTGCATCAGAGCTTCACGCACTCAAATGGAAAGCAGTAATTCTCTTCCCGGTAGTGGCTCACGTCCCTACACATAAAACAACCATCCGTGATATATTAATGTAGGATCATAGTTCCTGCCCATTGCTCGCAAAATTTGAAAGTGGGGGGCGAAAGATCTGTTACTTCCGACGTAAAAATCGCTGCTCGGGGACCGTTAAGAAGGCAGTAAAAAAATTGCACGGAAGGTGAAATCCTGAAGATGAAATGAAACTTCAAAAAGAGTAAGTAGGTACAAGGGTGTCTCATCGACACTTTTGCGATTCTTGAATAATCTCCCAAAACATTACATCAATAATTAATTCATAAAATATTTAAAAACATTCAAAAATTTTTGTGAAACATGTCTGTAGTTAGGTTTATGATATTTATTTTTTTTAATCTTTTTGAATTTTTTTGAAACGCTTGAATCTTTTTCGATATCATCCCTTGTGTGTTATACATAAAAAAAAAGTTTAAAATGCTATCTTTTTAGATTGAAATATACCGAGTGTTCTATTTTAAAAAATGAGGTTAGGTCCGATAATTTTTTTACCTGACCATCTTAATTAATTAATTAATTAATAGTCACAAGTCAGACAAGTAGCAAGATAAGCGAGTTCTAGGTATTTTATGTTGGTTCACATTCTCTTTTTCAAAAATTGAAATTCTATGGTGAATGAAGTGAATTTCGGAGCTAAAACTTTTATTGCAACTTACCGAATAGCTTCGATTTCCTCATCCTTCTCATGCAAGCGCTTCTCGGCTTCGTGACGGAATTGCGCATACTCAGATGATAGACGGTGAGCGCGTTGCTCCTCAGCTTTACGGCCCTAAATAAATTCAGGGCTAGATGGCATCGTGACCTATTTCGATCATACTTACAGCCTCCGCTTCCTTGTACGCGGCGGTGAGCTCCTCGCGCTCGTTCTCCAACCGACGAACTTCGAGTTCCATCTCGTGCAGGCGACGGGTTAGTTCGGTGATGGTGTTGCGGGCATCGGTGAGATCGTCTGCAAGAGTACGTGAGACACGAGCGGAACGTGAAAAAGCTTACCGGCGAGTTTTTTGTTTTCGCGCGCGAGGGCGTCGCGTTGTTCGCGGGTCTTGTCCAGTTCGTGGCTGAGACGTTGAAGCTCTGCTTGTTTGTTGCGGAGATCGCGTTGGGCTTGGTCGTAAAGTTGAATGGTTTCGTCGAGACGGCTCTTCAGTTCAATATTAAGTCGTTCCAATTGTTCAACGCGCTTTTGCAATTCGCGAGCGGTGTTGTTGGCTTTTTCCAAATCAATAATAAGCACTTCCACTTCGGATTGCAAGCGCGACTTTTGCTTCTCGAGGTTATTCACTTTGACCAAGAGCGACTCGATGTGCTCCTCCATCTCGGTAATTCTGATATTGTACTTGCGGCGCAGTTCCTCAACCTCCTCGGCGTGAGCGACGCACTCGGTGTCGTACTTGGATTTCCAAATTTGAACCTCCCCTTGGGATTTGACCAGTTGCCTTTCCAAGTCTAAACGCGCCTCACTCTCTTCCTCGAGCTGAACGCGTATGGACTCCAATTCAACCTCAACCTGGTGAAGTTGCGCTTCCAAAAGGGACCGTTTCCTTTCGTCATCCTCGGCACGACGTCTCGCATCTTCCAATTGACCAGCAAGTTGAGTTTTCAGATACACCGCGTTTTCAAGATTCACCTAAAAATAACCTCGGTCATCGCGTTGTTAGACTATTACGCCATCTTACCTTAATGTCTTGCACTTCCTTGATGAGTTCGATGTTTTCTTGAGACAAACGCGTTTTGTGTGATGTGATATCGACGATGGTGCGGTTGAGCTCCTCGATCCTAACGTTGAGTTCGGAAATGCTAATTTCCAATTTCTCGACATGCTTGATCGATAAGAATTTCTCCTTGTTCAGACTGTCTACTTGTGCGATAAGTTCGTATACTTCAGCTTGGAACTTACTTTTTTCTTTGTCAGATCTAAAAAATTAGCTACTATTGAAGCACAGTGCACTTGGAGGAAAAACATTGTTTGGTATTAATAAGTTGAGGCTTAAAAAATTCTTAAAAAATGCGCTAAAAACTGAAAAGAGGAAATATATAAGTAACACAACACTGAGGAATGAAGGAAAGCCTATAAAAGACTAAACGATTCGAGAAGGATGGAAACTATAAGTCAAGGGAGAAATTGCTAGACTGTAAAGAGATAGAAGAGGCTGAAAAGTTAGGGAGACATGTTGTGTACAAGAGAATAAACGATGTAGTTTGGGATGGAAAGTCTAAAGGAAATTGCGGGAAAGAAGTAGAGGATGCGAATGATGTCTTAAAAAACAAAGAAGATGGAACAAACGCAGCAAGATATGGGAAACCACCAGAAATGAAGAGGGAATCAGATAGTGATCCCATTTGATTCGATTTTTTACTTAAATTTTTTCGACTTTGTATATGGGCGAGTAGTCCTTGAATACGGTTTTCACAATGAGGACTGTTTTTTTTGTATCAGTGGACATTTTGTAGTTTCGGTTATCCAGAGCAATAATTTGTAGGCGCTAATTTAAAATTTAAAAAATATATAACATTTAGGGAAAGCCAGCGGTCACATTTTATACCAAAAGAATTACAATCCGATGGGTCTTAGATACTACACCCTGTATATGCGTTATGCGATTTTGATTAGGACTCTCTTCGACGTGGAGACAACTATATTTCCAATAAAAATAGGTTTTTTAAACTTATTTTTTCCGGTTTCACATAAAATGAAACGTTATACTCAAAACGAATCACCGATCAAAACTTGCACATCTGTTAATTTATTTATTTAGATAGCTATAGGAAGAAGTTTATTAAGAGGGAGGTTTACGTTAGTGTTAGCATTTATCCCAGCACCTCACTTTAAAACTATAATATGCACCGCCCCATCGAAAAAGAGTGAGAGGGGGGGAGGATCGCAATGGATATATTTCTTGCAAACGTCTCAATAGCCCTTTGTGAGTACCCTCTTCCGACAATTCGTTCTTGAGGTATAAGGGAATATGGGTACATTCATGATAAGATATCGAGCAGGAGGGCTATGGTTGGTAGAAATTAATTCGTTTCGTTGTGACTTTTCATTAGATTACCATGAAGGATAAAACTACTTCCACCCCAACCCCCCTCCACCCGGACTTTGATAAGAGGACAGAGAGAAGGGGAGTAGAAAACGGTTCCTTTCGGTGAGACCTTTAATTAGAATACAATAAGATAAAATTAATTTTTAACCCCCCCCCCCCCCTGCCAGGCCCCGTCGCTCACTGATCTCGAAAAATAGTCGCACAGGAAAGTTACAGTTTGTACAAACCAATTTATTACGATGAGACCTTTCATTAGAATACCATTAAGGGTAGAACATGTGCCCCCCCCCCCCCCGTTTTACTTTCAAAAACAGCATCACAGGAAATAATTAGTGCGAAATTGGATGGTCGTCTGGCACATCTTCAAGGTATAGGCTACCTAACCTACTTCAAAAAATTACAGGATTCTACGACTATTCCCCTAGACGTAGTTCGAAACGGCAGAAGTGGGTCCGGACGGACGGACGGACAAAACGCAAACAATAGCACTTTTTTTTTAATTCTTAGCAAATGCGCTAAAAAAATAAATTTTACATATTTTACGTTTTGATTATTGGTGATCTCTTGAAATCACGTAAAAATGACGACATCATAATTGATGAGTGATGACGTTTACATCAACTTAAATGTGTCTAAATCTTTCCAAAAATGATTCGTTTTTATTACTTTTTACTATTTGTTGTTATTCTGCGTTTGCTACTTTGCTAGTTGAATCCTAAGAAATAATTTAAAAATGGAATACGCCTTATCTGAGAGAACTGAAATAATTTAGCGAATATTCTAGAAATCCAGATAGACATCGAGGTGCTATGAAAGATTGGTCATCACTGATTGAGTGATCAGAAACGAGAGCGTATGTGACGCGGTCTTTCCGATAAATGCGATAAGCCGACTTCGGAGACTGTCTGAGAAAATTCTAGGACTTTTCCATTTACTGTTTAAGCATTACCGAAATGCAATATTAGTAATCAATAGTTCGCCCTCGTGTTATGTTATAATTGTGAGTAATAATTACCTACTGTTATAATATAATCCATTTCAAGTCTGTTGTGAATTTATTGTGAAGTAATTGTACATAAATAGATTTACTTACGTTACAATAATCGTTTTTCATGGATCTCTTAAACCGATATGCACGGAGAACTACTCGAGTATTCAATGAAACGCATCCCCATAAGGAATATCGGGCATAGGTAAGTAAGTCATGGAAGTTTCAGGACACGATGTAGGTAATGTGTTAATTTTCATGTAATTCTAATCCTTAATTGCTATTTGTGTTGCCTATATTGTTCCTATATATCTATAGTGTGGTTCCTGAACTTGACCCCTGACCTGTTTGATTAACTTCTGGTCACCTCTGTCACCTTATCTTTGACACACGAAAATTAACATGTTACAACAAGATCAGTGATTGACTAAAATTCATAAAATTCTAAAGTGGGAAAGACGAAGAATTTGTACTTTCTCAGCAAGATGGGGCCCCGACACATTATGCTGTTGATGTTAGAGAGTGGCCCAATCGACGGTATCCAGGTAAATGAATTGGCAAAGGAGGTACCATAGAATGTCTCTTGTCTCTCCACTTAACCCCATTCAATTTCTTTCTTTGGACACATTTGGAAACGATATTTGAAAATTTGAAAGACCTCCCAATGACAATATTTAGAATAACATGTGAATGTAGACAAATTATAAGATACACTTTTGTGAATGTCCTTGAAGAATTTCAACACCTACTGTATATTATTGTCTGTGTACTAGTTGAGACCATTTTGAGTGTTTCACAAAATAAATTTTCTACAATGAAATGAGTGAAATTCATTTGTTTTGATTTTTAAAATTAATTCCAGACCATCCAAATTTGATTTTTAGGGAATTTTTGTAAAGAGAATTTTATAGCTTTTAAGATGATGTGATGTGAGGGGGGATGCGGGGGTGAATGTTAACACTAGGTAAACCTTACATTAAACTTCCCTCTAGCCATTTAATGGACGTGTTTTTGTAATTTTTAATTTTTATTAAACTATAAATTACAATCGGTGGTTCGTTTTGATTTGTTAATGGAAAAAATATGATTCGGTTCGAAGAACCAATTTGATGCCTACTATTGTTCAATCATCAATCGCGAATAAATCAACGAACCCAAAATATTTTAATAGAAACCTTTTAGAAATCCTCAAAATAAATCCCGTTTATTTTAGACAACAATAGAAATGCCAACGGTTCCAAAAACACTTCAACTGATTGTTCAATTAAATTTCATTTCCCAAGTATAGGTAACATGTTTATAATCGCCTCTAGCATTATTTTCCTCCCGATTGAATGGTCCTTCGATTCAAACGAAATTGAATTATTTGGTTTGGAAACCGAGTTAATGACACGAAATCGAAAATTTTGCGCGGTCAGTCACAAACATCAAAAGTAGGTAGGTACCGAATTTTTTTTGCATGTTGCTCTAAACTGTATTTTTTTGCATCTTATTGTGTTGATGTAGGTAGTCGATATTAAATTTAAAACGCCGTTTATAAATTCCATTCAGTTGCGGTAATTGTAACCAAAAGAACGTAACATCGGGCAAGAGCCCAGGACAAATATGGCGAGGCTTAACGCGCTATTTATATCTATCAATGTCCTAGCTAGTGTTACGCTGCGTGTTTTCTCATTATTATTTTTACGCACCTCCACTTATTAATACCAGAAGGGCAACGGTAATAATCACCTGGCTTTAAGTTTAGATAAGATCTCAATCTGTTCCTGAAAGTCGACAATAACTTCTTGGTGTTTCCTTTTTAACAGCTGGGCCGTTTCCTCCGACTCCAGGTGAACGTCGTCGAGTAGTTTGCGAATCTTTAGCAATTCGGAATCGCGCTTTTTGTTTACTTCGATCTGTAAAAGTTGAATGTTAGCATCTCTTAATCGATCTATGCAAGTGTCGTACTTGGGTTTCGACTCCGCCTTCCGCCTCTTCCAAACGTTCAGAAAGCTGGATCACCTGCACGCTTAGGTCTGCCTTTTCTCGTTCAATCTATTTGGGTCGATACATTATTAGACCGATAAACAAAATTAGAACAATTGCAAATAATGTTAGTAGCAGAAAAGTGGATGTGCACTGGCGGCCTTCCAAGTGAAGTTTTTGGAATTTTGAAGATCAATATTTGCAAACTCATCCAAATTGAGGCTACACCAAAAAACCAAAAATAGCCTCGATTGCAAATTGCACAACTACAATATTTTTTGGCACATTCCACGCACACAAAAATATTTGGAATAACGTGTATTTTAAGTTACGTGAATATAATATGCTTTTTTTAATTATAGAAATGGCATCTTTCCAAGTCTATCGACTGTATGAGTTAGTCACAGTGCATAGATTCAGCAGTTAAATTTAGACGCGGGATTTTCTGCAACATTACCAGTGTATTCGAAGCGGACCGTTAGTAAATTAGGTCAAAAGATTAAAAAAAAAAAGAATCTCACCCTAGCTCGAAATTCCCTTTCTGATTCCAAATCATCGGAGAGCAAACGGATTTTGTCCTAAAAACCAAAAATGCTTAGCCTTTTTCTGGTAGCTAATTGACAACACGTTCACTAATCACAATATCACATATCTAATCGCAATACCTCAAGCCTAGAAAGGGCACTAAGATCGGCGCTGTATTCGATGTTAACATCAGCCGTTGATCCTCCAGAACGGTAAGTATACCGAGATGTTCTTGACGTAGCCATTTCGTTTGGTTGATGTTGTACTTTGATATTTGACAAAAAAAATGCACTGACCGTTGATAGATTTCAAACAGTCGTGAAACCCGCGTGCCGGTGTCGCTTTACGGTAGACGTTTGTTCGTTCGTTTGAGCGTCGCGACGGTGCAAATTAAAATAAAAGCTTGACTTTCAGCGTCGGCGCATGCGCTCTTCCCCCCGAGCAATTCCCATACTTTATACAGTGCATATGACTCATTTTTATATAGCTCAATAGAAATTTCGTTTTACTCATTCTGACCCCTTACGCATTCCAATCATCTTCAGTCACTTGCAGGGGAAATAAACACGCTTCATTTTTATTTTTAATTTTTGACTTCGATTTTGCAACATCCAGTGCATAGGTAAACGAGAAAAACCGATAGTGTACGGAAATGTCTCTTCCGAAGCGATTTTCGCCGTTTCTCAGATTACTGGGAGTGGGGACAGCGTCCTTTTATAGACACGAGAATTCCGGCGTTGGTGGAATGAAGAAAAAGGTGCACACCTGTAACTTTCCTCTTCTTTTGCCTCCTTTATACGAATCACACAGTATTCATTGGGGGTTTTCTATTTTCATCGGAATATTTCGTGTTCCTCGAAATAACTTCACAAGTATGTCGGCGCAGAGCGTTCACCTGCATTAGTGCTTTTTAATTCTTTTTTTGTCAAGGTATGGTAATATCTGGAGCCAGTTATATGAGCAAAAATAACATTTTACGATACAGTTCGTTTCTACATGTTTCTGGCAAGTGGATTATGTGTTACTTATAAACATCATCTCTCACAAACAAGTCATTTTTCACAAGTGGGCTAATGAACAAAAATATATCTCTGTATATGTTACCGAATTGATAAAATTCTAGAAATTAAATTGCAAAAATTAATACCTGTGTACTTAGCAATTAGGCACCGGTCCTCATTGAGTGTATCATTTTGGACCTTTTCCAAACATCCCACGAAGCTTCTCGCTGAAATATTTAGGCCATGAATCAAAATGACGCTATTTTATTTTATGTTTAGGTATACATGTTTTTTTTTCAAAAAAGGGGAGTAATAAATTATGAACTATCAACCATAAGTGTTTTTACCTAATGTATAGGACACTGGATTGTTGTTAATTTTCAAAAGGATGAATACCCAGAGAAACAGCCGTAGGACCATTCTCGATGTTGTAGGAAGTTAATTACCCACTCTCCATGATTCAGGATCAGAATTGGCTTGGTCCCCATGTTTATGGATAAGTACATTAACTTACAGTGCCCTCACCAAATTAGAAATTCCTATTTTTGAGAATAGGAGAGGTCTTCCTACATCATTTTTGATCTCACGCGTGATCATAAAGCGGCAGTTATCGTTTACGCACAACATGAGTGCAAAACATATTCCTTGAAACTTGGTGCGTTACATAGTTCTGTCGTTTCTTTTGCAAAATGCACTGTACTTAGTGCCTAAAATGTGATTGCGTTACACTAAGGTGGTAGGTGTCATGATCCCAAGGAACTGAGTTTGATGGAACCGGAATCATTAGGTAAATGTGGGAGTTAGACCGGAACAAGTAATAATTCACAACCGGAATTAATTCTATTCGGCCCCATTTAGGTGTATTTTCTTCCAGTAAGATATTAGAAAATAAGAACTATTTCGTTAATAAATAATTGAATATTCTTGTTTTATTTACTTTCCTATATTTCTTGAGGCGAAGATTTTAACCAAGAGCGTGTTTTGGCAACCTAATGCAAAAAAGAAAAGAATTTACGTCGAATCATTGAAAGGGGCGCGTATTAGTGATGCTATTAGGTATACCATTGCAATTTCAATAAAAAGGCACTTTTACAACATTTATCGCTCATGTTACCAAGCAATCGTTCTATATACAGTGTGATCCAGTATGCAACGGAGCGGATTTTTCATTATTTGTAGTCGAAATAGAAATACCAATGTTCAATGACTATTTTATGTGCATTTATTAATGGCTTCAAGTCAAACAGTAGGTATACAGGCCAGGTCAAGAAATATAAAATTTGCTTAAGAATATAAAAAAAATATATAAAATCTTGGCCTCCTATTCACATTTTTTGAATGTTTCATGTTGCATATTGCTGTGTGCAATGGCGTGTGGTCATTACACCTCCCACAAAACGTCTGTCCAGCTAGCTCAAATCAAATTAAAATTGAAACTTTTATCATCTGTCCTGGTCGACATTCGGCATATGCTATAAAGAAAAATCCTAATATGGACTCAACACTTCTCAATTTGAGAGACTCGGTGGTCTTGATCAACTTTCGAAAATTCCAAAGAATTTATTACACAACTTTTGATTAACACCTCAAATAAATTTTGGCCACGAATAGAAAAATCTGAAATGAAGGCTCTATCTGCGTCGCACACAGGATTCGAATAAATATACAAATAATTGATTGACAATAACAAATATTTATTCCAAAACACATGAAACAATTCAAAAATCCTTGCAAGAAAGAGAATAAATAATTAAATCTGGTCCTAACTTGTCGATAATTTGCATCTTTTAAGATTGCTTCTTAACTTCTGCACACTTTATTTCGAAACCCACGGACTGCATCTTCAACAAAACAAATATAGGATCAAAAGTCCAAGAATTTAGCGTAAACAAAAATACGCGCTTTTTGCTGTCAGCCTCGTTCTTACGTTAAATGCATTTCCACTTCCACCATAAGATAGTCTCAATTCACAAAGTTTTCAAAAACACCGCCAATCACAATGGCACTTGATAACGCCGAAAAACCGCGCAATGCGTCGCAACACTTATTGCGTCTTCGTTATCAGCACCAGATGTGCGATAATTATTTTTCGCCTGATAAAACTCCATTATCGCAAATGACCAGACACCCAATTTCACGTTTTACAATTAAATACACACACAAATCGAAATAAATAATTCGCGATAAAAACAGAAGAATAGAGACTGGGACAACAAATTCAAATAAAATACACCAACTTTATGTTTATTCGTAAGTAATTCCCCAGATTTACTTATGGCCGTTTGCACCGATAAATATAAGCGGAGCTTAGCTTAAGCTTAGCTTAAAATCCATTGACCATTGTCTCAATAAAAGTTGCCATGAAATTTTAAGCTACTCTTAAACTAAGCTCCACTTAAATTTGTCGGTGCAAACGGCCATTAACAAATTGAAAGATTCTCATATACAGGGCGTCTCGTTATAATTTTTGGTGTTTATGGCGAAATGGCGTCTATAGTCCATTTGTAATTAATGTTCCGATATGTAATTAACCCCACTAAATGCAGGGTTAACTTTTTCTACTTCACGATGTCGATTTAAACATAAACAATTCTCTCAGACAAACTGCAACGCGCAGAATGAACAAAGTACGGCTCCAAAACGGTTAATCGCTTCTAGACCGTATTGCTTACGTCAAATAATACTAATTGAACTGAATTTTGCCTACATCAAGTTTTTGTTTACAGCAATGTTGTTTACGGCTACTTGGTGCCATGCAATGCAAGCGAAATTCACTTCAATGAACATTATTCTTTAACGTAAGCGATACGAGCTAGAATCGCTTAACCGTCTTACTTAACCGTTGCGGTACCTCACTTTGGTCATTCTTATTCTGCACGTCAACAATAACACGTTGCAGTTTGTTTGAGAGAATCGACGACGTGAAGTAAAAAAAAGTTTAGGCTGCATTTATTGGGGTTAATTACATATCGGAATAGTACGAGTAATAACGGATGGACTCTCCACAGTAATATTTTTCTTGCTCTGATTCAATAAGTGAGTATGCACCTACTCAAATTCCTTAGCTTCTTTCATATTGAAACATCATCCCTATTAGAGTTTAAGAAAATTATTCAGGAGTAATTTGGTTGTAGACGAATAAAATGTGTTATACGGAGGAAATCAAAAATGTTTAGAATTTAAGTCACTTCATTCAGAACAACTTTCCTCAATACCATTTTGATATCTTCTTCGAAATTATGGGCAACTTTTATTTGTTTACCTGCTCTCTGTATACTGTTTGAAGTTTGACTTGAAGCCGTCCTAATTGCATATTATAGAATGGTTATCGAACATTTAGACTGCGCAACTTATAAAAAAACATCCGACCTATATGCACACTTAATGGACCACGCTGTATGTGTGTCACTTGATTACAAAATCAAAAACGAAACTATCTGCCCAAAACTAATTAAAGGATTACCTTTGTGGTGAAGTAAGAAAGAAAGCTGATAAGTACATTTTTTTCTTTAGCCAGAGAGGCCCCACCCTTGTACAGGGTGAGTCACGATTGCGCGGAGTAACTTAATGACTTGAAGATAAGATTTTTCGATAGAGTGCTTCTGTATTATGATATGGTTGAATATTCTCCACATTTTAAAAATATTTGGAATTATACAGGGTGCGCCCACAAAGTAGGGCGCCCAAATGGTACATTTTTTTTAATAGAACCCCCTGTATTTGAATGCATTTTTGAATTCTACGTGTAATTGTACGTCTTTTTTATTATATGGTTAATATCCGAAAAACGAGTAGTTTTAAAGATAATTGGATTTGTAAGAAAAAATGGGCATTTGCAAGCGTCAGTGTATTGTCAAAATTATTACGTAATTTTTGATTCCAGATGTTATATCTTTTATCCTGGGTTAAGTAAAAGTCAAATAAATACATCTACTATGAAACATTAAAAAAATAGCTTACAGGGTGGTTTTTTGGTAGGTCCAACTTCATATTAAAAAATCTCACTTTTTTTAAATGGAACACCCTGTATATTTTTCTGCCATCTTTTAGCTCCTCCAAAAACCTTCAACTTTTGATAATAATGTCCTATACCTATCTCTGATAGTTTTCGAAATATCTTGGTTTTCCTGGTTTTTATATTCTAATCTTAAATAAGTTATATGTAATTTACATAATAGTGAGGTGGCCATGCAAAAAAAAGGCAATTTTTATCTGCCTGGTTCAAAGCTAAAATCATATTTATTAATTCATTTTTCTAATAATTCATTTAAGTCTATAAAAACTGGAGAATAAATTTGATAGTAAAAACATAAACAAATATCTTGGTTTTTCTACTTTTTATATTTTAATCTGAAATAGTTCTAATTTACATAATAACGAGATGTACTTTGTATCTTTCTTTCATTATTGAATAAACATTATCATTATCGAATATGAAAAAAAAATTAAACTAATATCACTGACTGGATGACATTAGGAGTTAAATTAAATTTGCTTTGTAGTCAAATGTTTTTACTTATTCTCCAGTTTTTGGACTTAAAATAAATTGTTTGAAAAATAAATTAATCGATATGATTTTCGTTTTGGACGAGATAGATAAAAATTGCCCTTTTTTGCATGGCCTCCTCACTATTATGTAAATTACATATAACTTATTTAAAAACCAGGAAAACCAAGATATTTCGAAAACTATCAGAGATAGGTATAGGACATTATTATCAAAAGTTGAAGGTTTTTGGAGGAGCTAAATGATGACAGAAAAATATACAGGGTGTTCCATTTAAAAAAAGTGAGATTTTTTAATATGAAGTTTTGCAACTTTGGACATACCAAAAAAAACACCCTGTAAGCTATATTTTTAATGTTTCATAGTAGATGTATTTATTTGACTTTTACTTAACCCAGGATAAGATATAAAACCTGGAATCAAAATTTAAGTAATATATGACAATATACTGACGCTTGCAAATGCCCAATTTTTCTTAAAAATCGAATTATCTTTAAAACTACTAGCTTTTCGGATATTAACCATATAATAAAAAAGACGTACAATTACACATAGAACTCATAGAATCTAAAAAAATGTACCATTTTGGCGCCCTACTTTGTGGGCGCACCCTGTATAATTCCAAATATTTTTAAAATGTGGAGAATATTCAACCATATCATAATACAAAAGCACTCTATCGAAAAATCTTATCTCAATCGTTGACTAACCCTGTACAACCATTGTTTAGATAAAGTATTTAAACAATGGTACAACCTACGATTATGTATACATTTTTTAGAGCCGGCAACTGCGCGGTCATAGCTAGAGTACCAACACTGGCCGTAATTGTTTTCAAGAATTCTGTTACGTGTGGCTTACGAGCCCAGTAAATTTAGAGTCTCCTACAATCTGGGCAACCTGAGTGTTGAAAAAAAAATTGGATGTAAAATCGTAATTTTATTTGCAAAACTACTTTTGTGGCCTTTTGCAGTCATTCTCAGTGGGGAACAATGAGGTGTTACTTTTTTAAATGTTAACTGTGGAGCCCGGAATGACATTTTAGCATTTTGTATTTTTAGATGGGTCATACAGAACTACCAGCAATACTTGCCGGTTATTTAATACCAATTAAATTAAACAGAAGGGCGCCGGGCGGTTGCCGAAAATGAGTTTAATTAGAAAATAAAGTATATAGTATATTGATTGCAAATCTTTTATAGAAACTAGAACAATAATTAGGTAATTACACACAATGTTGACTGGGTTAGACAGGTTGCAAATATGCGAATTCTTGTAGATTTTATTTTTGTATGTAAGCTGTACAGAATCTAGGAATAAATACGATATTCGTGTTAAAGTCATTATCACTGGAGTTCCAGGCTGAAACAATTTGCAAGGTGCCGCTTTTGCACTTGGTTGCTCCATCTTCAGGCACATGGGCACAGGGCTTCCAAGTTTACAAACTAGTAGCACGAGACTGTGTAGGTCACACTCAATTAATATTAAGTTAAGAGTGATACCTATTATTATAATCTATACACCCTGTTTTTTTTCTAAATTACTAAATGTTATCCCCATCACATATTGTTCCTACATTATCTCTTGCCAAGATAAATATTTTTCAAACTTGTACCACATTCCTATGAGCTAATCATACATTTTCGAAGGTTAAGTACCTACCTTTTTTAAGAACTCCGCGCCCTGTATCCTACATTGCACATAGCCACAATTCAAAGTTGAGTTATTCCCTTGCTGCTTTGCCAGCTTGATCCAAAAAACGTCAAAGCTCAACATAGAACATTGTAGTACTCTGTCAGTAAACTGTTTAGTTAAAGATCAACCTTAATTCAGTAGGTAAATTGAATAAAGTAGGATTTTCTCTTCCATTGATTGCATGATGCTATGTAAACATACTTAGTGATGACGTCGTAACACACCAATGAAATGACGTAGCCGAAAACTTACTATACAAAGAGCACAAAATGTGCGCCACCTGAAAGATTTATCACAAAATAAATTCCATATTTCTTTTATTACTTTCATCCTGCAACCTCTTCTTATAATACAGTTTCAAAATTTAATTGATATATTTCTTAAAAATAAATCGACTATATTACAATTACAACCAAATTAAAATATTTACAACTAATACTAGGAAAAAATTAATAAATGGCAACAAACAAGGGAATGTTTCAACATTGCGTGAATTTCAATTTTATTGTATTAAAAAGGTTCATTCGGTTCAGTTTTTGCATAGAAATTTATATCAAATCTACAATTCCTGATGTGTATACAATATATAGGCATATGAGACAATTGATAGATTCAAAAGAAATCAAATTTTCACTTAATTGATTAGCTTACGTTTTACATAGAAAAGGAGTTATTCAATCTAAGCAGTTGATAAATAATGTATTGTACTACCACAATTATACGTAACGTAATTGATTTACCCGCTTCAGATAAGTGCAGTAGGTAGTATTCTTACATTGGCCCGTCGATAACGCTAACTTTCATCGAAAAATAATATATACTGCGTCCAAATAAGAACAACGAAATAATAAAAGCGCCTACGTAGACTACAAAGATGCCGTTGTGCATTCTAGCATACCAATAGGTTCCGGCGGTCACACCGATGCCAGCTAAAAGCATTATCAGTCCTAATATGAAGTATGCGACACCTCGTCCTTTTTTAAAATCTGGGCCCACTGAGGAAACCTTTCGACAATGGGGACAACGTGCCAGTGCATTATTTAGAGTGTTGAACTGAAATTAGAAGATTAGTACATGTGAAATAAAGGTTCAGGTGTTGTTTAAATACTTTATAGTTGAACAAATCTTGAACGAAAAAAGTAGTTCTGGTCTAAAAAATCAGTTGACGCTACTACGATGATCTGAACAAATCGTGAAGTTATACTATGCTATAGCATTACAAGAATTAAACATAAGGTACGCGCACTGGCACACTCATTATGTCGTGCTTATCCATTAGATGGCGCTTATCATTAATGTGCGAATTTAGTTACTTTAATGTGTGGTTTTTAATTAATGAATTGCTATACACACGATCATATATTGTCTACACCTGGCTTTTAAACCAATATCAAAATTAATTCATTTTATGAATGTTTAATCAATGAATAAATGTGATATACAGGCTGTTCTACGCAACCGTCAACATTTTTTACTTTTGACTGTTTTTCTTTTGAGCCCTGTATCTATGACTCCATTGACTTGATTGTAAGTCTTCCAAAATCAACAATTCTGACTTGATGGTACATGAGAATAAATTACATTTTGATCGCCCTTCTACAGTGTGTTTGAAAACTAATGGTCAATTCAAACCCTAAAAAGTTGATTTTTTCAAATAAAACGTATATGAATATATATATTAAAATTGATAGTTTTTGCCAGAGCTAGAGAGGTTAAATAGAAATACTAATAATAGTCCCGCATTAAAACTTCTAGTACCGCTTTACGAGATAGGTATGTAAGGACCACTTCGTTTAGCCCGACTGTATCTCAAACAAATTACAGGGAGGTAGTAGCACTGCACTCCATAGGCGCCTACATTAACTCTAGGTACTCAATTTTAACGAAACTAAGAAGAAAAACGCCCAAGATCTTATGTTAACGGGCTCAGGGATCGAACCCGGCAAAATCCATACTATTGATGAGTAAAAACATCCGACGCGCAGCTGAGATCGGTACCGCCCACATTTTATTGCACTAGGTCATCCTTGGGGTTGCCACTTGTATGGCACTAACAATTTTACCATGCATTTGTATGTCCGCACAAACAAAATGAAACTCGCCTGCCTCGAAGACCGAGTGAAATCTAAAGGCGTTCCACTGCTATTAGATGATTCTGGCTGGGCTATTTTCCCCTTCCGTTCGTTTCGGTTAGGTTTAGGGTAGGTAGAAGCCAGCTCTGATTCTTGTAACACCATTTATTAATAACTTTGAACTTTCTGTATACACCTCAAGCTCAAAGAGCGCAAGAATCGGTGTTACTATACTACCGTTATGGCATAAATATTCTTATAAGAAACTTAGTAATATGCAGTTTGCGCATGCGCACACCTGATGTATAAAATAGCGATATGTTTGACTTTACTAGGAGAATGTGTGGTTAAAATGTCATAAAAATATCTCTATAAATAAGTTCGTTGACATTGCGCAGTTTGCACATGCGCACATCTAATTTTACAATATGCGATATGCTTGTCCTTACTAGAAGAATCTTTGGTTACAATTTCAAAAAAAAATTTCTATAAATAACAAAGTTGACATTACGCCAGCGTATAATTTTTTAGAATCCATCATTGAGAAAAATTATAATTGTACAGGGTGTCCCTTTTCCGATATTTTTATAGGGTATCTGTAATTGTCAGTGCTATCAAAAAAGTAATATAGGCGTCACGTGCTCTTTTTGGGTCCAACTTAAAATGGTAAAATCAGAATTGGAAAATATTCGCTCGCCTAAGAGTATACAGGGGAGAATCAAAAAATTGTCAATTTCTATATATTCTTAGTTAAGAGATACAGAAAATTGTTTATTATTTATTATTGTTGAATAATCTGTAGTTTTCGGAATAAGTATACAGTCCGGTAAAAAAATTATCGGACCTAACCTAATTTTTTTAAATAAAACATCCTGTATATTTTAATCCAAAAAGATAGCATATTAAAGTCTTTTCAAAAAAATTTAATATTGCTTCAAAAAGAAAAATTCTAAAATAATTAAAAAACCGTTTTGAAATTATTTTGTTTTTAAAATCATTTTTTAATCTTTTGAATTACATCTCTTTTTACTATCATTTCTTGCGTGTTAAATTTTTGATAAGAGAATTTAATATGCTAATCTATTTACATTAAAATATAGGAGTATTCTATTTAATAAAAATGAGCCTGTACAGCTATCTTAAAAATGGCAAATTATTGATCAAAAATTACAAGGGAGCTTTTCCAAACATTCCGAAATTGACAATTGTAAAGTAAAGTGAAGTGTCTTGAAATGTGTTTAGCTGGATAATGGCATGACATTTTTTTGAGGAGATAGTTTGTAGTTATACCACCATTTTGTAGGTATGTAAGTATGGATAATAGGATAGTCAATAAGTGACGTCATAAAAGTCAACATTTTTCTAGGCCTACTATAACATTTTGGAGGGAGTTGTAATGCCCAAACCCCCTCCCATGAGTGCGCCCCCGATATTTTAAAAATCTGATGTAATTATTTTCATGGTTTTGTTGCCTCGAATAGATTTTGTTTTTTTTAATTCATCACAGCCCACCCGATTAAAATATAAAAACCGTTGATATAACTGGTATCTTATTTTCAATCTTATGCTATGATAGCTCATTGAAAAGAGAATTAAAAAATCTATCAAATATAAATCTAAGAATCCAATATGGCGCCTATTTAACTTTAGGAAGTAAATGTTCCTCAAAAGTAGCAATCTTGAATTTTTTAACATCATTCTAAATGAAGCGTATCAAAGACAGTAACTTTTATATAAAACTTTTTTTTATATCTCTTGTACTTTCAATGATATAAGACATTAAAGGAAATGACCAATTTTAGTTTTTTGAATTTACGTCGAACCTATTCGACATTTTAAATTTCCACAAGGAAATGTTAAATAAGCACCTAAAACTGCAAAACATTGTCCATTTAACCAATTCCCTATTTACCCATGCAATCCCACGGGATCTGGGACACACTGTATATGTTTGCCTAGTCATAGAGTGGTTATGTATGTGCAAATAGGTTGCGAATCTATGGTAGTTTTTTGTATAACGCGTCTAATAGCGATACCCAGATACCAAATTTTGTCAAAATTGGAATCCCTTTAACAGTAGGCCATCTTGGGGTAGGGGTATTTTCCATAATACTATCTTCTTGTTGTGAGCCTCAATTGGAATGATGTGCTTCACCTTTAAGAGGCGATAATACACATAAAATACAATAGACTGCAATTAATACACAAACACTGCCCGACACGGTTTTAAATTTAAAGGTAATGGGAGGGAAAATCCTGTATTGTCAACCCAGTCTATATTTTCAAATGTTAATAACCTGAGGTACAGTTTCACTTTCTCTTTGAATGAATACTGAAATGTGAGACGGACTATACCAACTGCTTATGCTCAATTTTTTTAACATTTTTATTGACAAAGAAAAGAGCACTGCTTAATTGAATGCTCCTAGATTGATGTTGATAGCTTTATCTACCCTAGACTTTATTTTAAAAAATACTTAGTCAGATTGTGATCCTCAAAATTAATGTAGTTTTGTATTCATAGAATGCACAACATGACAGATGTGCAAATGCTGAAACATAAAAGTAAGAATTTTTACAATGGATCTGTTCAACTATAACGTATTCAAAATAATGGTTGGACACATACCAAGAAGGTATCGTGACAATGGCCGCATGTTACTCTACACATGCCGGGCACCGACGGAACAGGCGGAGTGACAGGGCTAGGGGCAAGATTAATTATTCGTTTACAATTTGGCCTAGGACAGGCAATACGCTGCGATGAACTTTTACATATAAGTAAACAGTTGCATGGACATCGAACGTATTTCTTCCCAGGCGGTGCATTTCGAATCGGCTGAAATAAAAATACTTTAATACACCAATTCCGTTAACCTATGGGGACTTACAGTTGCTTCATTGCACTGCGAGCATTTGACAACGTGCTGATCTCGTTTTCCGGATATATCGATCATAGCTTGACAAACTCTGCACGTGACCATAGGAAGACCCGGTCCGGCAGAATTTTGGTAGAAAGGTGGAGGCAACTCATCTGGGCCGATTGGAGACACTGTCGTCTGCTCCCCTACAACTTACACAGTTATCATTCTCATAAGATAATTAATCATCAATTATGTTGCACAGATAGTGACTCACTGTGTTGGATGCTAGTGCAAAGATAAAATTTGCTTTTGGTAGATGACAAAACAAACTTACCAACGGTGTTGGTGTTGTACGCACTTTTATCTTTATTTAGAAGGGGCTGCCTTTCCGCATCGTTACCGTCCCCCATCGTGCACGATCACACAGGCAAGTCCTCCCTTTATTTTTACGAAAAAGTGACACTTCTTCTACAGCACAATAACAAACTAGGGATATTTGGATTCGATGTTTTTTCGGTATGTCACTGTCACATATTGACAATTGCCCTGTTGTCACGTTTCTGTTCTTCGAAATGATTTTTTTTTGCAGAATCAGTCTGCACGTATTAATGAAAAAAGCGAAATTAGTTACGAAATCGTTTTGTCTGTCCATCCGGGACTGTTCACACGATAAGTAGTGATGAAATGAATCAAGGATCTGGACCGGAAACCCGAAGATCCTATCGAAACCGTAGGGACGTCTTTTCAGAACCGAAAGTGTAAAGCCCGAATCACATAAAGCAATATAATAATAATAATCTTTATTTCCACCAAAAAAACAGAAAAGGGAAAAAATGTACATAAAAAAATACAAATATCACAAGAGGTGGAAAAAGGACCACATTCAGTGAGAAAGCACTGATGCTCTTCCATGTAGCATTAATTGCAATTTCATGCAAGTTGCAATTGGGATGCGCAGTTCAAAGCCAGCTGATCAAGCCAACCCATTTGCAATGTGTTTGTTTATACATATCAACCCTCCGTTACACGCTCTGTTTATTTTAACGTCGTTACACTCGTGTGAGGGAAATGCTCATTTATATCCATTTTGCTAAAATCGTTGAAGAATATCAGCATGGATAAAATGATTATAGAATATATTTATTTTTATTATACAAGACATCTCATAAACAAAAAGGGTTATGTATGTAACAAAACCAAGTACAGAAATAGTTAAATGTTTATTTCAAGGACGCTAAAAGTTTATTCATATATCAAAACCAAAACTACAGGTCTCCTCCCCCTAGTTAAGAATACAAATGGTGATAATAATATCAGAAACAAATAAAGCGCTTTAACTTACCCAAATTTTATTTAAAAGGATTGAAGACCTTGAAAATACGCAAAATACGCTCAGCAGCTTAACTAATCGCATAAAAAACCTCACTCATTAGTCATGCCAAATGATATGTCAGTGTGCGTTTACAATGAACGTATACGTAAATATTTCATAAACCGTAACTCGTACATATTAAATTATTTTTATTTTCATAATGAGTAGTTTAAAGCAAAAACTTTTAATCACTGTTGCTGTTCTAAGTTCTGTATTACTGGTCAGACAACTTAGACAAAGGCAGTGTAGAAAATTAAAAAAGAAAAACCGTAAAACTTGGCAAGAGAAATGGTTGCAACGAAGAAACGCAGGCAGAGGTGTTTTAAACACTTGCTATATTCTTCAATCAAACATGATATCTGATCACTCGACCACGACATCTCAAATTTCAAGTTTTAATGATAATATAAGTAAATATAACGGTATGAAACACAGTACACAATAATTACTCATCACCATCAGCGATCAGCTGTGAAGTGTGAAATGTGTGTGAAACCATTCCACACGATAACGCATGCGTACTTGAGAAATTGAACGAAAAATTGTATGAAAATAGAGCATGTTCTAAATATCTTGAACAATTTGGATATTGCATACAATTTTCCGTTTGATATTACACAATATTTCTAGGCTCAAAAATTGTGCAACTTCTTTTGCAATTTATTGTGTAATGTAAAACGGCTTTTAATAAACCGGAAACTAATGGCGTTGTCCGTATAACAACAGCTGATTCTTTGCTTTGCTTCTTTATTTGCTTTATACGTTATTTGGGCTCTACCTTTAATTAATCGTGGTAATTCTGCGTAGTTTTTATGTTTGTAAAGAGAATAGTTCATAATATGCAATTAACGTGAAGATAAATGTTTACTCCGAAAATAGATGTATTCAACAGTCCGACTATTCCCGCGCGAAGTTTATACCGTAAGCATGCGCATAATGATTTGGTACAAACATAAGTCTATCTCTTTTTTTGGAACATACATTGTAAGTGAATGAGCTATCCAGTAGTATATAATCAAAGGGTTCCACCCTGTATATACAACTAACGACGATACATACATTTTTGAGAGTTGGCAATCATGCAATTTCTAGGTGGGAAACATAGATATATAAATACATAGATACAGCCATACCCCAACATAGTTCAAAAGGACGTACCATCTATTACCATCACTTTCGGCACATTAATTACGTATAGCGCTATCCTTTATAGAGGTTTGAGCATGGAAGACAAGATTCGCATTATTTATTATTGTCAATCAAATTGTTAGCACAAATCACACAGAAAATTATCAGATTTGAGACTTTACAACATAAATCTTTTTATTTATTTAAATCGCATATATGTTACATTTAAAATGGAAGATGTTACTTAGAAAGCTGGAAAATGAAGAATTTGAAAAAATTACAGCTGACAAATGGAAGAAAGTTTGAACTCTGAACTTTATAATAAGTGTTAATAATGACAGTGATGATTCGGATTTGTCAATTTCATCTGACGATGATTCGGATTGTGAACGTTCACTAAATGAGTATTATCACCAATTGGATATCATTGCTAAGATGTTGTATTTATTTTAAATAAATGTACACGTGTAGCTTACTTACTACAATTAGCACTATAATTTCAAAAAGTTTGGACATATGCCGAAAGGTAGGCAAGACGCGTAGCGACCAAAATTTGATATTGCACGCACACACAGTCTATAAATCTCGCTAAGAATATTGCACGGATCCTTCTTTGTGATCATGATACAAACGCACTGCATCAACATCATATAGGCCAAAATGATAATTGGAAACGAATTCACTTCCTGTCGCAACTTAATCTTCGTAACCATTACGCCTACAACCATGCAATTAAAATTAAATTGTTGAACATAAACTTTACTTACTTACGGTTTTTTTTTGATATTCTACAAGCCAGCAATGAATTCACTGCAGCACATCATGCCAAACAAGGTAAACATAGTCCTAAATTTGAATGGCGTAGCTCTATGTAATAAAACTATTTCAGGAATAACAATTATGGACGCGTCTATCATTATGGCAAGCACTAATGTTATTCGTATTCAATTGATAACGTAGGGAAAAAACCGCCCATCATGTTTAGGGCGAATATTTTTAGTTAGATTTGATTTCGCGCGATCGTGAAATGTGTCAACTGTCACATGACTTATGGGACGCGCTAAGTTTGTTTTAAGCGTCCGATTCGCGTACGACATAGTGGTTAATGCAATACATGTTTCTTCTTGGTTAGAAAGTAATGGAGAGATGTACAAATTTCTTTGATATGTTTTTTAAAAACCGAGGTACGTTTGTTAAGGATGGCTGTATCTAGGTATTTATATATCTATGGTGGGAAAAAGCTGCCTGCGCCATCTAAAAAGCACGAACGGGAGCACAGAATACGGCCTTCTCGGGAGTTACGTTTGGCATCTTGTCCTGAATGCCGGTCGTGAACGCGTTGCTCGATAAATGTTTGTTGTTATTTAATGCAGGTAGTAATTTTTGCATTTCTTTATATCGTATTTGTGTTTTGTATGCCGCATTTTATATTTTGTGTGTTTGAATCTTTGTTTTTGAAATTTACTTGGTTTAATTGCAATGCAGAATCATATGTGTGATACCGTTATGCTATTGTTTATATTTGTTTACGTTTTTGGTGTAATGCTTGCTTAATTTATGTTTATTGATGTTGATTACTTCATACTTGGTCTTGTCCCTGAAGTAACATTCATGTAAGTTTTGATAATTTTATTTTAATATGTAGAAATTACCGATTCGTTTGATGTATGCACTGACTTGTTGTTTGTTACTAACAATTTTCTCCGTGAATGAAGCAGTCACGGGGGTGGTAAAAACTGTAGTCAAAACTGAGTTACGACACCTAATTCCGTGATTGTCTTCGACATTCAACTGTAGACTCGAAACCCCGAAACCAGGGGCGGGTTACCCATCTTGCAGGAGCGGGATTACACTAATCAAAGCTCTTCAGTTTAGAATGTGCGATAAATGGGTGGCGATTCAATAATTTCCACTTGCTGACCTAGTGGGGGGATCTGTATACCTATCTATCAAACGATACATCATTTATCTAGTGAATATTGGATGTCTACATTATTGACCCATTGACACACTTACAAACATTATCTTTAACAAATTTTTATTGTGTAGTTAAAAAATGTCATTTCTTTTTTCACATTTAACTGGATGGTGTCTCCATAATTTGATTAATTTTTTCTATAACACTTTCAAGCTTAATTCTACGCCCCTTTGCTGCTACCATGTTAGACTTCTTTCTCACAATTTCAGTCTTCGTACCAACCTGGTTATAGTCAACGCGCACTTCATCGTCCCTTTGTAAAATGTTCAACCCAATGTTACTCTCCCCGCTTATAGTATGATCAAACACTGCAATCAGAATAGGAACGTTATGTCCATAATGAGAAATCGCCAAAATATTGTCATGTGGATGAAACTGTACGCAATGAATCGTTACTCTCTGCTTGTTGAATGGCTCATAAGTGGCAATCAGATCGCCTAAATCTGCATTCCAAACGCTTACTGTGCCATTTTCGCCGCCTGCAAATATGTACGTGCCGCACGGTGAAAAACTACAAATTGTTCTGAACCTAAAAATATAGTCTATAGAGATTGCGAATTGGTTTTCTGGAACCTATTGTTAGTTTCTCCTTGAAGCCATTGAAGGGTGCATCCAGTCTTAAGGTCCACCAATCGTAGTGTGCTATCACGGGCATGTATTAAGAGTCGACGCTCTCTTTTATGTAACACAATTTGATTTATAATGGTATCCTTTAAATCTATCCACTTGTACTCCCTGAAATTGTTAAAAGTTACTCATTTTCCTACCGTTGTAGGACTTTCATTCAAACTTGGTTACCTAAACCAAAAGCATTTTAAGTGATCTCGAGACCAGTTTGCATTTATTGAGTGTGACTTTGAGATCGAGTATAACTTACAGACTATTGTATCATACAATCGAACTATATACCTGCTAAAACTCCAAAGGTGGTGAGAATCTTCACCTCTCCTCCACTCGATTACGATTCCAACCGAATCGGCCGAGTACAAAGAGTGATGGTTACTCGCAAAGCACAGGGAAGTTACGTAGCCCTTGTGACCTTCCAACTCTTGCAGCAGGTCGTAAGTTTCGGATGAAAGTCCCCACATTCGAACTGTATAATCGTAACAACCCGTTGCAATCGTATTGTTTCGATCAACATCGCTCGCGTACACGAAGCTGGGATGAGGCAGCATCTAAACACGTCACTTAGTAGGGAATAAGAGGAATTCACGTCCTATACTTCAATAAAACTGCGTTGTTCGAAATTCCAAATTCCCACAGTGCAATCGGCGGAGCTACTGACGATGTAACGATCATCAGCCGACCAATTTATGTTGTAAATCATCCCCTGATGGGCCGGATATCGGTAAATCTCTTCTAGCGCCTTTACCGAGTACAGCACTACGAAGTACATTGCGTCGATTTGTATGGCGCAAGAGAGGTGTAGACCGTCGTGACTGAATTTCATTACGAAGCAGCCCTCCTTAAAACTGGGAAGTTCGGCAATACGTCGATTGGGCAACTTACACGTTTGGTAATTCAGTCTGGACCATAATTTTTGGTCTTGTTTCTTCATGGTGGTAATTTCGTTCGATAACTGCGAATTGCGCCGGTGGTCGGGATCGGTTTCTAAAGTCTCGGAGGAACCGCGTTCCGGTTGGATGGGCGTTTTCGATCGTAATGTTCTCGTAGTGCTCTCGGGTGGTTCGATTTCGCATACGCTCACGTAGAGAGACGAAGGATATTTGACCAATTTCTTCTTCCACCAGTGAAATATGGGGCAGACATTCGACGGACATTTTTTATATTTATGGGATTGATACAATTGTAAACGAACCTTTTTGTTAATGTTTAGTTCTCCATTTTTTCCTAGCGGTTTTAGAAATCCCCACGCTATCTTGTGCCAACCCTCTACAATGGGTAAATGCCTTCAATTATATATTGAACTTACCACATCCTACTATCAATAAAAGAAATTTTAAATTCAACCCGAAGCCCCGATACCTAGATCTGAACCAAATGATACAAATTTTATGATATAATGGGTAAATTTTTTTGTTTCGGAATTTTTTGAATTTGTGTGTTAGTATTTTAAAGAATTAAGCAAATTAACAAAACAATTAATAAAATCTGGAAAAATAAAAAAAGAAAAATCCGAAAAAACATTCAACAAATTTAGGAAAAGTAAAAAAATGATATCATAATAAGAGGTAAAAATCTGCTGTACTAAACAATCTCCTGAAAGATAATATAGCCCTACTGATTTGTGCTCGCTAGTACCGAAAATAAAGGCAATAGAATAAAAACCAATATAAGCGTTGAACAGTGGGCGAAGAAACAATATTACAGATGAAGAAAGGGAAAGTAGAAAAGGACCATCAGTTGACAGAATTGAAATGAACACCCAAGGTAAAAACCGAATTAACATGTTTATGCAAAATAATAACAGGCAACCTGGCTGAAGCGCAACTGCTAGCAACTTAGCGTCGTATACATTTTTTTCAGTGATGATAATTTAGATAATGTCTTCGTTCGCCAGAGACGCACGAAAATATCAGCGGCGACCTCGTGCTACATCTTTTAATCAATAGATTATATTAATAATAATTGATGACTTTAGTTGGAATACACTGTATAGAAAATTTCTTTTGGGGGAGATACGTTATGTTAACCACAGACATTTTAAAAGAGTGTGATGTTAACCTAACTTTTGTGGTTTGACATTTCCCTGTTTTTTCTACATAAAAATTTACATGATTCCTACCTGGTTTTGTTTGTGAATTGGCCACGGAAAAACTCACAAAATCTATCAGTTCAAAGAAAATAATTACGCCTTGTTCGAGTATGTAAGTCATATCTTCGTTGATCAACAACATTTCATCCCATTCCGGACAAACAGAGCTACACGATTATCTATTAATGAAACTAACTACTTCATTTCCGGCTACTTACTGATTGTTGTGAAGATCGTATGGTTTGCATAGTAACGGTGTAATGTACTCTATGCCTTTATTTTCGTAATAGAAGACTACGGCCCGATTGTTGTCACTTTTTAATATGTAATTGCCGCTACTCATATCTACAATGTGAACTTTAACTAACGGATGTACTACAAGTGAATCTAATAGCAATCGATCAGTTTTGTGAACCGTTATTGCCATAAGTTTATTGTATGTGTAAGCTCCTTCGTTCGGCTTTGAGTCGTCACACTCTCGTAATTCGCCGTTATCTAATTGCTTTTCAGTGATTTGTTCTTCATCACTGCTCTCAATAAGGATCGCCGTCTCTTTACTAGATTGCAATTTCAGTTTTGCACTGCTCGAAGTTGACGACTGAGATTCAATTTTCTCTGATCGATTCGTACTACTTTCGTCAATACTTGATACAGCATCTTGCTTTGATTTTCGTGGTAGCGGTATTGGTCGTTTCGGACTTTTTTAGGCTATTGGTGTCATTTAAAAATTTGTTTAGAATAAAGTTATTATCCTTATTTTCGTGGCTCAACGACATCTGTAAAGTTTCTGAACTCTGAATTCCTGAACTGACTTTTTGGGCCATATTTGTTTTTGTGATTTTTGCCCTGTAAGTTAATTGTATGTTTGTTGTTACTTTGCTTTCCTCTCTTCGGAGGACAGGGGGCAGTGCATCCATGTTCAGTTTTGTCATTTTTTTTCTCTCACAATTTTCTCAATTCTCAAGCATTTTGATTTTCGTGGCTGTAATGGGCGTCCTTGACAATGTTACCATTCGAACGATGCGCAGTGCCGGAACAGGGATTTTCTTGGAGATGAAGTAAACTCTGCGTTTTTCGTGAAACCGCTTTTTCAACGTTTTTTTACTTTCTTAAAGGAGTATTGTAATCGTGATAAATTTTCGATATGCCGATATTGCGTTTTCTGGACGTTTTCAAGCACACAGACTCCAAAAAATTTCCATTTTAATGCTATCTTGGATTCAACCTTTAAATTTATGTTACAAATTCCCATTATTTAAATTTTGGATTAGATTTTAAAATCATTTAATTTTTTTCGTCTTGTTTACCGTTACGCCTTTACTTTATTTTATTAAGTAGGTACCTACTTATCTACGTTTTCGTGAGGGAGAGGATTATTTAGTGTATATTCCTCTGAATGACGGTTATTTTATGGCGAAAAAACTTTAGTTCCAATTCTTAGACTGTATTTTCTTTCTTGTCTCATAGCGGCTACCACACAGTGCAAGATATGTTTGTTCACTTCAACAAGGAAGTTTTTGTTGTTGCAATTTTGCTCCAAAGTTGCCAGCTGTAAGTATGGAGTGTCAAAGGTGTGGTGCACCTCAAAGATCATCAAGGGTTTTTTTTGGAAAAAAGTCTCCCTCCGGTAATAGGCTACTCTTGTCAAACCAAATGAGCAGAAAACACACATTACAGAATAAATAAAAAGGATTAATTTACATGATAATAAAGTTATCGGAAAAATTTAAGAATTGTATTAACATCATTTTTGAACATTTGTAGCATATACACTGATTAAAATTATAACTGTAGAAATCCGGTCCAGTTAGCAATAAACTTGAAGACTGGTGACATATGCACTTATGCAGTCTCTGCAATCATATCATCTTCAATGTTCCATCCTATATAAATACTTACACAAAGACTAGAATTCTACTCTTTCTTCTCGTGCTGGAGCAATGGTTCTAAAAAATCAACTTGTAATTTGATTATTACATTTTACAATGAAGTTACCAGTTTCTTCATCCTCTTCATCGGCATCAAGAATGTCTTGACAACATATGGAATATAAAATGAGTGAAAGAAAACCGAGAGGAAGTCCAAATAAAACTGTAGTAAGTACAGGGTTTCCCTTCCACATGTCTCCGATGGATGTACGCGCTTCGAAATACGTACGATACAATCGAACTGGAAAACTATTCCCACCATAGGCCTGCAATATGATAACACTGATGGCCTAAATTTTAAAATTTCAAAAACTGAACATTTTTGGAAACTTCATACAAAATCTCTTCAAAAAAGAGTATGGACTACTCCCAGCAAAAGAAGATTCAATAATCGTTTCCAAAAAAAATACAAAGGAAAAGAAGACTGAAAATTTCAGTCATATTATACAGGGTGATTCAAATGCGAGGGCCACCATGGGGATTTCGGAAACTGTAAGAGATAGGTAGGTAGTTTAAATTTGGCAAAGTTGCGTATTTTGATGCTTAACGAAATGTAGTTTTGAAACTTAAAAAGTTCCGACTACTTTCGGAGATATCCGGAAAAAGCCGAAACTTTGCAAAATCGTTTTTATCTTTTACTGAAGTTATTTAAAAAGATATTTCAAAATAAATGGCACATTATTATGGCCACTTTTGTCCCTCTACAAGATGCTACTTTTAAATTTTAAGTTTGACGTTTCGTCTCCAGTCAACCATCATCAACTTTGTTTTTTCTTAACGGAAGTAATTTTTACTTTTTGTGTCATTTGATGGAGAATTTTTTTCTGATTTCAAAAATGTAAACATCACTATCTTTTAATCGTAAATAGCGCTATTAATTCGTAAAAACGCAAGAAACTAGGTATGTACTACATACACTAAGACAAAGTTTTCTAGGCAAAAAAGAAAATATTTTAATAATTTAAAAAAATTGTGATTTTTCTATTTTTGAATTCTCTATCAAATGACCCAAAAAGTAAAAATTAATTAAATAAGAATTAAAAAAATTTAATGATGGTCAACCGGAGACGAAACGTCGGATTTAAAATTTAAAAATAGCATCTTGTAGAGGGAAAATAGTGGCCATAATAATGTGTTATTTATTTCGAAATATTTTCAGTAAAAAATAAAAACAATTTTGATAATTTCAGTGTTTTCTGGATATCTCCGAAAGTAGTCCGAATTTATTATTATTAATAAGCATCAAAATACGCAACTTTGCCAAATTTAAACTACCTAGGTACCTATCTCTTACAGTTCCCGAGATCCCCATGGTGGCCCTTGAATTTGAATCAGCCTGTGTACGTACTAGGGAGTTGGTGCTATGCTATCTCTCACAAAACATTTAGCTATCAACAGTTTGATAATAGTTTTTGGGAAGACGATCAGATCCTTTTCTGCAAAAAAGTATTGCACAAAACGTGGCACCACCAATGGTATCAATACACCCCCGCAAAGGAAGATTCAATGATCATTTCCAAAAAAAACCACAAACGTCCTAGTAAAGGAAGACTTGATAATTTCACATAATATATCTTTTTTGGAAATATCAGAAACTGGGCAAAAAAAATTCAAGCGAAATAGTGACTTTTAGGTAATTAAGTTAATCTTTGGTATGGTGTGGGTGGCAAACATTCAAAGCGCCATCTAGCGGCCATATGAATTGAAATACCCAAATGTTGCTGTGCCCGTGACTAATAAGCTATTATAGTAAACTCAATGCTGTATTAATAATAGCCCACCCTGTATATTATAGACACTTACAGGTACACTCTGATTGTATATTTGTTCCAAAAATATGCTAAGAGCATCAACGGTCAACTGCGTAGGCTCATCCTCGGGTATATGATGATGATTAGTTGTCGAATTCAAAACGAGTAGATACGGTAGCGGTAAAACGGTCATTGCTATGCTATTCGCCAACTCCGGACTACCGATCCAGCCAAATTGGAAATGTTTGTGGTACTTATCTCGATTTTTTCTAATAACCGATTCGACCATGTCTCGAAACTCCAGCATCTCTGGAGAGATCTGTTGTAGTTTATTTTCCTCGACGATCGCGATCACGACATACTTTTTCGTGTGAAAAATCTCGTGGATATTGCCACGCGTGATTTTGGGGAACGTTTCGAACCGTTCCTCGTTTATCCATTTGTTGAGGGTGCTATTAATGTGATCCAAATCCGCGTCGCTCTCCACTAGAAAACTACTGTAAGTAAAAGTGGCAGTCGGTAAATGCGAGACCTGTGTAGAAATAGCAGGAGTTCTCTTTGCAAACCATCGCAGCAGGATCTCCTTCGATTGTAACATGTTGACTGGCCACATCGAAGCTTGTTGCGTAGAAAAATGCGTACTGTTGAAGTTTTACGGCATTCTGTACGTACGACTCCCACAAAGGACCCTCTCGTTGTCCCACATACAGAAAGAAAACGTTATTACTACTCTTAATGTTGACGAAACTATCCGGCCGAGTAATTTCCTGCACGGGAGGGCTCGACATTCGCAAGGCGAAATTGACAATGTCTTCCTTCGTACGATCACCATTGTACGTAAAGTCTTGATCGACTTTAAAACTGCAATTACTTTCATAACGACGGTTCAGACGACGAGACACTTACAATTTGATTGTGGGGAAGCCGTTAATACCGAACTCCTTCGCGAGTCCGGTGAAACGAGTGCAATCGATCTTCGCGACACGTATATTCGTCTTGTATAAGGTTTGGGCGATGTGGCCCCATATCGGTTCTAAACGTTTACAGTGACCGCACCATGGGGCGTAGAACATAACCAGCCAGTGTCCGCCATCCCTGCGGATCTCCGCAAACTTGTCTGTCAATTCTAAAACTCGAGAACCGTCGCACAGTGTTAAAGTAACAACTAAAACATTTTTAGGTTAAGTTAACCAATCTATTTCTATTTGGGAGAGTACCGAAAATAACGAGTATTTTTAGTGTGCTTCTCATTCTGTTCGCTTTATGTGTTCTTAAAGCTGTACAGCATTTTTAAAATTAAAAATTGCATTGTAGAGTATTGATCACTACTCCATTTAATTTTTTTGCTGTTTAACCCCTGTACATACACCCTTCCATCCACCTACTATTTTTATTTAAAAATCATTAGGTTTAGGTAGGTAATTCATTTATGGGAAGCACTACAGTGATTTGTAGATTAGTTAATTTACGCCGTAAATAATTAAATTTCGTACCTTAAGGCTATCTAAAAACTAAATTTCCGCTCATAATCATTTTTATAGACCACGAAAGTCTGACTAATCATGGTATCTACCTAACCTACCTACCTTATCTGCTCAAGGATCAAGGTATTCATGTGCACATGCACATATTTATACCTAAATAAAAGTGAATGTTTTGCCCGTCGCTGTTTCTATGTACCTACCCTATGTCTCTTACCCTCTTATACTTCCTAAACCGTTCATACCATTGCAATGAAACTTTGGGGAATGGTTGCACGGTATGCCCGCGAAGGTTTCTGATGTAGCAGTCGAGACAGTGTCTACTCGCCTTTGAGATTGCCCATGTAAACAAAAATTCCAAAGGTGACTCGACAGCAACTCGTTTTTGATCGCATAGTAGTAAAACCCACTTCCCGAAATTCCCACGGGAACGTAAAAAAACGGATTTTTACGTTTTCAGTCGAAACTGTTGGAAGGCTTGACATTGAGAACGTAGGTTTCTTTGAAGACGTTAAAGTATACTCCGAAAGCACTTCCCGAAATTCCCACGAGAAAGGGGAAAAACTGAATCGAATCACGACATAGGGCGATGCTCATGCTCGTACGAAGTCGCGAGCAAATGCTACCTAGTAGATTATTTGATTTAAACAGAAAAAAATCTATAGCAGTTTATACGATGTGTTATGAATTTTGTTAAGAAATTGGCATTGAGCCGATTTTGACGAAAATCGAGGCCTAAGGTTAGAAAGGCAAGGGCACATATATGAGAGCCCCATATCAAAATCTGACGACGGATGCGTTTCAAGTGGGCTCTCGAATTTTTGAGGGAGGTCTCCGTCGGTAGCAGTCCGTAGCGTCGCCTCGACTTGGATTTGGTGTCCTCACATTTCTTTGGCTTTTTTCGTACCTCTCATGCGCGAACCACTTACTAATTTGTGGCCATCGTTCACGCACCCTTCTGGAAATATGTTACACCTCGAAACAATGCAGTTACTGTCCAACAATGTAATAATTGCGATGTCTGCAACTTTTAAATGATAGCTTGTTATATGGAGGAAGTTAGATGTCTTGATTTAGCTTTTGTACAGTTCATACAGATTGATGGTAAAATTTAGTGTCACTTTGCTATCCGTGTTAAGTGTTTTTCCTATTTCGATTTATTTGAAATTGGCCAGCTAATATTAATCTTCATTTGATTGTTTAAACACATTTAGATTGATTAGCGACTTCAATTCGAATCTGTCTTTTTGTAGTGTAATTAACTGTTTCGTCCGTGCAGAGGTAGATGCCGAACTGGTAAAAATACTTAGCGGCATTCACCTGGAAACACAACTTTAGTCTAAGGTTGCCGTATCCAGGAGGCTAATTAACAGTGTATTTCATGTAGATACTTTATGTAGGTAAGAGACTAAACAAACGAAACACGATGCATGATAAAATAATAACAGCCGTAATTTGTCAATTATTCAGAAAGTGGAGTTTTTTGAATTTGTAATCTTTTCTAAAATGCCGATTTCTAACCAAGAAGCATTTAATATTCTGGCGATATATTTTGAATATTTTCAAAATGCGACCATCGCTGCCCACATATTCTATTTGCGTTATCCGAATCGACTACGAAGCATCGCCGCCAGCATATTAAATGCTTCTTGGTTAGAAATCAGCATTTTAGAAAAGATTACAAATTCAAAAAACTAGAATCAACAATTGAACAGCAGAATAGTTTACACTGCTGTTATTATTTTATATTGCATCGTGTTTAATTTTGTTGTTTAATTTTCCAAGGCCTACCTAAAAGTGTAGGGTGCTTTTCCAAACAAACTTTCGCGCCATCGACAAATACCGGAAATACGTCAAAAGTAAATTTAAGATACTATTTAAGCATTTTTATTAATTAATCTTTCGAGATGTTGAAAAACGGTTTTCACTGGCCTCTTTGGATGTTATTTGGCTACTTTTTCATAAATAAAAAGTCATATCTTTCCATTTGATTTTTTTATGATTTTGGATCATAGTGAGTGTGGTGTGGTGTGGTGGTTGATTCTTGTTGCCCAAGGAAAGGTTGATTCTCACTTAACATAACTTTCCATAACCATTCCGTAAATTATTATACCTATGAAATTAACCTTTAAGTGATATGTGCGTAAGACATTTAGCCGCGCGCTCATACACATTCTCCTTTCCGTTCACATATGGAAGGCGAATGTGTATTAGCGCGCGACTGAATGTCTTACGCACATATCACTTAAAGGTCAATTTCGTAGCCTATAATAATTTACGGAATGGTTATGGAAACGTTATGTATAGTGAGAATCAGCCTGAATGCTCTTTTCAACGATAGCAAATTTGTTACAATCGGTCAAACGGTTAAGAAGTTAAAGCAGGTTAATTGCAGAAACAATTGAACGCCCCACACCATCTTTGTTTTTGAAATAACTGAGTTTTTGTTTTTACGAAAATGATAGATAAACTGGTTCTCTTTAAAAATGTGAAAAGAGAATGTTTATTTATTATGCGAAATTTAAAGAGAATCCTAAGATGACAGTAACGTCCTCTCGTGGTAATTTTTAGAACTTGAAAATATTTTCCAGCGATTCTTCATGACAGATTTACCTGGTAATTTTTTTACCTCTAAGTCATACGACGAACGGTTCCCGAGATGTGGCCGAGGAACAGTCTTATTGGGTCACCCGGTACTCCCATACTTGGATTTAAATTCGCGCGTTCTTTCGTAAAACGTGATCCTAGAATCGCGATCTTAAAAATCATGATCGCGAAGTAGCCGAAAGAAAGCGCCTTGTATTCGGTAGAAGTAAAACTGACGTTGAAAACCGGTCGCAAATTACAGCGCCGCTATGTTGCGGTACAGAGTGAGTGTCATCAAAGATCATTGATCTTTGTTGTCATACTGTAGGTAGTTCCACCAACAATTAATATTTCGCGCGGCATGGGAAATTTTGGCAGTCGATATTAGTTTCAGTGGTTTTTGCATTATTTAACTTAGCTTGATACCTAAGGTTTTAGACAAATTCAAAACAAGCTTGGGTGAAATTGTGCTGAAGACTTTTGGGATCACGCTATCTGGAACATTTTTGGAACAGGCCTCAGTAATATGAGTCTAGAGCGTAACATTAGCAAAAACTAAAATATCACACCGTAATATTATTGTGCGTTCATATTTGCACTCTGTATAAGCCATACTGGGGGATATATTTTTTTTGTAGTGGAATAAAGAAGTTGGCAATTTCGCCTGTCTAAATAACCTCCAAATTTTTGTTGGAATGTTATTCATTTTTCTTTATTTTATTAGCGAAGCAATACTTCTTTAAAAATGGGCGACGCCGAATTAGAAGAAATAAGAAAGCAGAGGCTGGCTCAAATGCAATCACAATACAAAGTACTAAAAATGTCCACCTGTTCGTGAGACACTTATTCACTTTCGTTTTAGGACGGTAACCTTCAAGAACAAAAAAAGGCCCAAGAAGATCAGGCTCGAGCTCAAGAAGAAGCAAAACATTCAATTCTATCACAGATTCTTGACCAATCTGCGAGGGCAAGATGTAACGTTCTCCCTGTCCCCATCGCATTTAATAAATTCATTTGTAGTGAATACGCTGATGTTGGGTAAACCAGAGAAAGGGAAGATGGTTGAAGGCATGCTAATTCGTATGGCGCAAATGGGACAAATAGGAAAAAAAATTGGCGAATCCGATCTGATTACTTTACTGGAGAACATGAATTCACAAATGTCCCAAAAGCAGCCTTCTGTGAAATTTGATCGGAGGCGTGCTGCACTTGATTCTGATGATGAAGATTTTTAATTTATACGCTCACAAAACAAATTACTCTTTTGATATTTTGCGCTGTTTTATATAAATCGAAAACGGTTTTATTTATATGTTGCATAAGAATGATATTGGATGTTATTTCATTACACATTAAATGCACTTATAACGAATGCACTTTAATTCATTAAAAAATAATTTAGGTACAAATATTCAAAATGCTTACTCACTATCCGATCTCACCCTGAATACAGTGTAAACTTTCATCTGTTTATTACACCTATGTGTTAAAGTCCCGTGTTCGGGCATGGATGTTTGTAAATGTATAGTGGGTTGGGTTGGGTTGATAGAGCAGCCTTGGCTGAAACCCCGCTCACGCAAAAATAAAGGCAAAATAAAATAGGTATTTGTAATAAAATAGTGTGAACTGCTCCTTTGATTTTGAAGCAGTTTATATCATGGTTGATCCAATCCAATGTAGGAAAGGGAAAAAAACGTAGGTTCTCTGTCATGTTTCCGCTGATTTTTTTTTCTTAGCAAAATCTCATTTGCTTGTAAGTCAATCCGAAATAGATATGAAAAAATATATTGAAAATCAACCGTAGAGTGCTCAACTTCTTACCTACAAAAAAAGAGACGATTTGTCTATGAGCGGTTGTATTTCCCTGTTTACGTCTACAATATGACATGCCTTTCCAGAGCTTTTATGCAAAATTACACCGCCCCTTGCACAAACCGAAATGTGACGAATATTGCGTACAAAACGTTGCTGTTTAACTGATCCAATCCAATCCTTAATTTAATTGATTTGGTAATTTGCCTTATGTCAGGGTTTTTTCTGGTCGCGCTATTTTAGACCTTATGCTTGCTTTGCTTTCACAATAAACTCCAAATAAACGCTTTCGGACAGTGATTTATTTGAGAGTTTAGTCTCTTAATAAACTCCATGTAACTATAACCAAGGGGACCCTGCCAAAAAAAGTTATGTGCCAAACTTTGAATGACTTAAATTTAAACGGCACTGCAATTTGGACTTGCCCTACACATTCCCTATATTTAGTTCAGGTGTATACCTACGATTTATTCGTTTTAGTTGAATTACCATTAGGTACCACCACTTTATAGGAGCTTGCTGCACCAGTTGACTTATTTGTACATAATAACATTGAATATATAATCATATTATTATATATATTATATAATCAATGATAATACATAAACAATGGGTAAGAACTTTGAAAATAAAAATCTTACTAATATGGGAAATCTGGCAACTATGAATAAACAAAATATATTTTACACTCAATTCCGCGACAATAGCCACTTCCCGGAAACGCCATGTCAGCTGCCTACTTGCATTGTTAAATTAATAAACAATGCTACTTGGCTTTGTGCATAGAACAACAAACAGAATGGAAACTCTAATGTAATGTAAAAATGACGCGCCACCTCGTGTATGTTCTCAGCAGCTTTTGCGTGAATGGCGCCAAATTTAAATATTAAAATGTAAGCTACGTCCGCATTATACTGCATTTCTCCGGATCTGTAACAATAACATTGGATTTGACTAGCTGAAACCTAAAAGGTAAATGAATCCAGCCAGTGAAGTCCAATTTTGTTTGTTAGAGATCCAGATAAATTCAGTTTAATGCCGATGCACCTCAGCAGTCAGGGACTTCAAAGAGTACAGACCACTTGTTTTATAAGTAACAACTCCAATTAATCCAATCAAGGAGTTATATTTAATTTAATATGGATATACAAGATACAAGATCAACTTCATGGAACTCTACTTTATCATGCTCTCAAGATCGTTCTAAAAACAAAATATGTAGCAATTATTACAATTCAATTAGTGTTACCTGCTAAAGATAATGTGCGTACTGCCACACGCTTTAAACCTCTTCGTGTTCCACGTTCTAAAGCGCAACCAGAAAAATGGCGTTCACAAACCAAAAACTTTTGTGTAAATTTCTTCCAATAAACCAATTCTTAAAAACTTCGGGCTCCATTTTTGGGAAACGTCTTCACAATTTGTCACACAACATTTACGTTTTCGATTTGTATACGCATAATTCATTGTAGTAATGAATAGTAATTATACTTAAAGTACAATAAGTCGTCAATCAAAATTCAAAATTCAACTGTCATAATGGCGACAGTACTAAAGTCACTAGTTTTAGTAACTTTAACACGCACGCTAACTATGCGCCATCTATTGAATGTTCTCCAAACTAATTATATTTGTACTCAGTTGTTCCCGTTTACGTTTCCCTTCTAAGTTTTTTGTTCTGGGGCTTTGTGCACCGAACTAAAAAGTACTGTGGCTTTGTGCTCTTTTGGTAAATGACTGTCTCTCGAACGTAATAAGGCCTTACTTGCCTTTAGCTTCTGGCTGCTATCAATTTATGACATGTCGCTCATTATTAAAGTTGAACCGGGGCAAGATGAAGAAATAAATGCATGTGTTAAGGATCAGGCTTTTTTGACCAATCATGTTTCAGAAACCATAAAACAGGAAGCTAAGGAAACAAGATTGAGTACTGATTATTCTCATACTCATAATGTGGACAATCAAACTGAACTGGAATCAAAAGATGTATTTCTGAAAACCTTTTCGCATGACCATTCTGAAAAGTTACCTAAACTCTCAAACAATTATAAATGTATCCAGTGTGATTACTCAGCTAACAAAAAAGGTCGTCTTAAACAACATATGTTGTCGCACAAAACACCCAAGGATTTAAAATGTGCTCAGTGTGGTTTTGAAACTAATTATAAATACAATTTTCAAAAGCATCTGTTGATGCACAAGGATTTCAAGGACTTAAAGTGTATCCTGTGTGATTATGCAACCAACAATAAACGTTCTTTTAAATATCATGTGTTGTCACACAATACGTCAAAGGATTTAAAATGTGGCCAGTGTGATTATGCAACTAATTGTAAGTGGAGTTTCAAAAAACATCTCTTAACGCACAAGATTTCGAAGGACTTAAAGTGTCCCCAGTGTGATTATGCAACCAACAATAATGATTGTCTTAAAAATCATTTGAAGTCGCACAAGAATTCCAAGAACTTAAAATGTGGCCAGTGTGATTATGCAACCCACATTAAAGGTCGTCTTAAAGATCATTTGTTGTCCCACACAACTTCCAAGGATTTAAAGTGTATGCAGTGTGATTTTGCAACTAATTATAGATACAGTTTAAAAATGCACATGTTATTGCACAAGAACTCCAAGGACTTAAAGTGTGCCCAGTGTGATTATGCAACCAATAATAAACATTCTCTTAAAAATCATTTGTTGTCGCACTGTAAGACTTCTAAGAATTTAAAATGTGTCCAGTGCAATTTTGCTACAGTGTAAATCGAGTTTCAAAAAACATATGATAATGCACAAAAATTCCAGGGAAATAAAATGTGCACTGTGTGATTTTGTAACCAATTATAAATCAATTTACATAATCCATTTGTCCTTGACACACATTAGGACATAAACCGAGTCTTTAAATGTGTAATGAAAAGCAAAGGCAATTTTAAAAATCACCTGGTAACACAGAAGACTTACAAGGATCTAAAATAATTTTCGAGCATGCCAGCACAAACCGATCAACCAGAAGGTGTATCGCAAACATCTGAAGTAAGTGAAGCAGAACCTATACATTTACGGAAACACCTTAGCGCACATAAAACGAACAGCGAAAGAAAGAACTTGAACTTGAAGAGAAAAGGATTATGGAATTAACTTTCATGCGTAAAGCAATAGAAGGGAATAACACTATTCAAAAAGAAAGATATGACACTTCAACATTAATGTTAGGAAAAAGATAAACTAAACATAAAATCACACATTGTTCTATTTCTGGAAGATATTTACAATAAAATTGCTTTTTTCTACTCTATTTTTATTGTCGTTATCATAGTTCGATTTGTTCATTTTCGTTTATTTCCTTTCCGCACATACAAGTAAAATTATGCAAAACACAAGCAGCAGTAATTCCGTAATATCTAAGTATTTCAGATAACAAGATACTGCTTCCGACAGAGTTGTATATATAATACAATGGTAAGAACTTTGAAAATAAAAATCTTACTAATATGGAAAATCTGGCAACTACGAATAAACAAAATATATTTGACACTCAATTGCGCGACAATAGCCACTTCCCGGCAACGCCATGCTGCTGCCTGCTTGGCTTTGTGCACTGAACTAAAAAGTACTGTGGCTTTGTGCTCTTTTGGTAAATGGCAGTCTCGAACGTAATAAGGCCTTACTTGCCTATAGCTTCTGGTGCTATCAATTTATGACATGTCGCTCATTATTAAAGTTGAACCGAGGCAAGATGAAGAAATAAATGCATGTGTTAAGGATCAGGCTTTTTTGACCAATCATGTTTCTGAAACCATAAAACAGGAAGCTAAGGAGACAAGATTGAGTACTGATTATTCTCATACTCATAATTTGGACAACCAAAGTGACCTGGAATCAAAAGATGTATTTCTGAAAACCCTTTCGCATGACCATCCTGAAAAGTTACCTAAACTTTCAAACAATTATAAATGTATCCAGTGTGATTACTCAGCTAACAATAAAGGTCGTCTTAAACAACATATGTTGTCGCACAAAACATCCAAGGATTTAAAATGTGCCCAGTGTGGTTTTGCAACTAATTATAAATACAATTTTCAAAAGCATCTGTTAATGCACAAGGATTTCAAGGACTTAAAGTGTATCCTGTGTGATTATGCAACCAACAATAAACGTTCTTTTAAATATCATGTGTTGTCGCACAATACTTCAAAGGATTTAAAATGTGGCCAATGTGATTATGCAACTAATTGTAAGTGGAGTTTCAAAAAACATCTCTTAACGCACAAGATTTCGAAGGACTTAAAGTGTACCAAGTGTGATTATGCAACCAACCATAAACGTTCTCTTAAAGGTCATTTATTGTTGCACAACACTTGCAAGGATTTAAAATGTGTCCATTGTGATTTTGCAACCAACAATAAAGATTATCTTAAAGTGCATCTGTTGTCACACAAGATATCTAAAGATTTAAAATGTGTCCAGTGCAATTTTGCAACTAAGTATAAATCTAGTTTCAAGACTCATATGTTAATGCATAAGAATTCCAAGGACTTAAAGTGTGCCCAGTGTGATTATGCA